ATTCAAAATTATAAAAATTCAATACAATTGAGAGAAAAGATGAGAGTTTTACAAACAAAGTTTTACATGCGAAATTTCACAAACAAAATTTTCCAATTACAAAATATAAACAAAAGAAAAATAACAATAGTCAAGTTGTTTGGACATTTTTTTTTCTTTTTCTGGATGCTGAAAGCTTGCATTTAAATGACTGCCTGATACTTCCAAATGCCGCTTTCTTTGTTCTTTTTTTGCTCTTAATCCTGGCAAAAAACTGCAGCTCAAATTATGTTTAGTAAAACAGGCTTTTTCGTCTTTGATTTGAGCCTCGCAATTCAGCTTTTATTATTCCAGATCAGTCCTTATTCAGTTTTTTTTTTTTAATTTATTTATCCCTTAAATTGCACATTTTTTTCATTTTAGTTATTGCAGCAACAAATATTTTGCGTTTCTATTTAATCAAGTTGTCATTACAATTTTTTTAGCTCATTAGGTATTAAACAAAAATTAAAAAGATTGATTGCGATCAAATAAGCAAAAATTTTTAATTGGATGTGTTGAACCTTTTATTTAGTGTGTGGTTCTGTTTTTGATGAAAAATTTTTAGAATATATTTTTAATCAAAAATTTTGATTTTAAGTCATCTTTTCCATTTATCTTTGAAAGCACATTAATTGCAGGATTCGCTAATTTTGCCCATTAACTGAGTTACTTTGTAAGTTTTTAGTTTAATTAATTTAAAAGTTGAGCTCTCGAAATAAAAATTCTACTCAACTTATATCGGAACAGCTGTTTCTAAATGTAGTGCACTGCGGTTTGTTTAGTGACGAGAATTTATTTTGCAATCTCGTGCGGCAAGCAACTTTTCCAACTCCACTCTCCGGTTTGCACACCAAATGAATTATTCCTGGCGAGCGAATGTGTAACTCGCGCGTCACTCTCTCTCTCTCTCGCGCACAACGAACGACTTTTTAATGCTCTTCGGAAAAGAAAAGCAAATATGCGAGTTGGAAATTAATTCGCAAAGTTAAACGTGCTGCCGGGGCAGTAAAATCTGCGCTTTTACGAGCTTCGTCATCTGCGTTCGTTTTCCGAGAGCAGCTTATTCAAATTCGCTGCCGCCGCGGATGAGGGAGGAAAAAAGACAGACCGACCCGCCCAGGGCAGATTCGACTCGCGCGTTTGATTGAATTGTCATTACCGTTTTTAGTCCTCTTCTTTTTGCTCCGCCGCCGCAGAGAGCAGCGCATTAAAGATGCAGATTTCCCGGAGGTGTTGACTCGATCGAGAGGAAAAAAATGGAAATTTTCAATTCCGCGCTCGGCTGCGTTTGCATGATTTTCCCTTACGCCCGCCCATCTCGTCAGCCGAATGCAAATCTGACCGAACAAAAATCGACAGAAATATTCTCTCGAGAAAAAAGGCCACCTGTATGGGAAATAAATTTAGCAGCTTCAAAAACCACCGGATTGAACCTGGAAAATCTGATTAATATAATTTTATTTTAGGAAAGGGAAATTTTATTTAAATTTGCAATTCTGTTTCAATGAGGGATTATTTGAACAAGAGAAAATTCAAAATTCCTTATCCAACAGGCGCCATTTATAAAAAAACACGAGCCAAGACATAATTATTTAAGTAAATGCTGAAATTAGAAATTATATTAGTTTAATTTTAAGATTATTCCTTACCGCAGTCCGTTTTCCAGTCAATAATTTTTTTCTGGTTCAAAATGGTTTGTATTTGCTTATTATTTTAGTCTTAAAATGTTCCTCCAGCCAAAATTTCTAGTATACCCATTTAATCTCCCAGTTCCAAAACATTTATTTAATGTAATTACCCAGTTTCCTCATTATTTGGTCTTATCTTTCAACCGAACTAAATAAATTCTGCGTGGATGAGGAATCAAGATCGAATGCATTACCCTATTAAAATTCGAAAATGCAGCGGCTGTGAAAGGAAGGGGTCTCAAAAGGGGCTGTGCAACTTAATGACGCTCTCGCCGGGCGGATGAAAGCAGAGCAGGTGCTCGAGGGCTCGGCGCGCGAGCAAAGTTTAAAGAAGATTAGCGGGCGGGCGGAGCGCACAGCCCTGAGGCGGCAGGTGAGCGACCAACTCTTTGCTCAAGAATCACACCTTTGTGCCGAAGCGCGCCACGGTGCGATCGATACGGGGGTGCTGCTGCTGTTGACCCCGAAACGGCACCTCGCCAACAAGCACCCCTCTCGCAACAATGACAAAGAGAAAGAGCCACACACACGCCAGCCTAACAGCCAAAGCCGCACTGGAGACGCATTTTTCTGCATTAAACCCCCCACCGACCCCTAATTCATAATTTATCACGTTGTTTTGATTCATTCTTGTGGGTTTGTTTACAGGTTAAACCAATTTTAATCACTCACCCAAACATTTTTACTTTTTATTCATTTTGTAACAATTTTTTTTTTAGTATTTTTAACTAACTATTTCCACAAACAAGATCTCATTTTGTTCTAAAAAAATCTAATTATTGAAAATTTAGTATTCCATTTTTCAATAAAAGAAAACACTATCTTGATTTTCATATTCCTATTGGTATTTTCAGCAAAAAAAAAAAAAGAATTTTTAACATTTCCAACAAAATTTTGGATTTTAAGTTTTAAGTAAAGCCAACTGCCAGCTTTATGTGACAAATGATAAATTTTTAATTTTATTACGCACTTATTTTTTTTTCAAAATCATATAATTTTCACCATTGACTCGCTACTCTAGAAATCTGCTCGCTTGTACGCTTGGAATATAAACACAGATCTGCTGAGCCTATCAGGCACACGAATTCATCGTTGCAATTGAAATGAGGTCAATTTGCATTTAGGGCAAACTAGAAGTTCATGCGCGAGTAGATTGGATTTGCATGGGATAGAAGAGTAAACAATTTGCAGGTGGCGTTTCTCGCTCGCTGCAAACCCGCGACACATATATATTTGATTTGTGCAAAAAGGTCGCATGTGCCATATACAGTGGAAGACGCTCGCTGCCTGTGGCATCTGTTGCGACGCGAAAATCAATTATGCACACACACACACACATTGCTGCGAGAATCGATAGAAAAATGCGAGGAGAAAAGAGAAACGTGTCTTCCTTTGATCTTGGCCCGCAGGTGGATTCGCCTGGCCTTTAATTAACTTTGCGGTCTGCTTTTCTTTCTTTCCGTTTCCGTCGAGCGCAAGATTGATTTTGCCGGCGGTGCAGAAAAATCGTGAGGACAAGGAAGGAAGAAAGAAAGAAGCCTTTGCAGCGCTCGCTCGCCTTTGCGAATCGAAATGACCCTCTTTTGATCGCGCAATTTTTCCCTATATTTTTCGCAACCGCAGCCAGACCTGAGGTTCATTTTTTTACTCGTGGAAGGGAAAAATAAATAAATATAGCAAGTTGAAGCCAATTAAAATGGAAAAACATTATCATTTGTTTAAAGATTTAAAACAAGATAACAAAATTATTTATGTAACTTTATATAGCTATTAGCTTCATTCATAAATAATTTATTAAAAAGTTGGAGCTTTAAAAAAATCCAACTCACTTTTAGGATCCTTATAGACCGAACTTCTTTATCTCGGAAAATTTATCTTTGGTTGAAATTAGACAAACATGGAAATTATAAAATTTTAATCTAATTTAAAAAAAAAAAATATAATAAGAACTTTTATTTCAATAAGCATCTCCACCTCTTTAATGATTCAAAATTAACTATTTACAAAGCTGGTTCCAGTAGAATCCTGTAACATTTTAGAAAACAAATGTTTTCAACAAGAAGAAATTTGATCGATCCGGAATGAGCCAATCAATCGGCCTTTAACCCTTTTCTATAGCCGCTTTGTTGCCTTCTAACGGCGTAAATTTTTTTATCGCACATTGTCGGAACTGTAATTAAAAGGGAGCTGCTTTTTACTGGTGGCAGGCGAGGCGAGCAGAGCAGGATAAGGGCGGGGGCACCATCTCTCGCCGGCGCACCAAAGCAGCGGGGGCGATGATTTACTGCGTGGAACACATCAATTGCACGGCTGGCTTTTATTGTTTCCCTTATTGAAACTGTGCTGCTGGCCGCTTTCCAGCCGAACGGAGCGCGAGCGGATAATTGCTCGTAAATCTAATGAAAGGAACCGCGAGCAATCGAGGCAAAGAACAAAAAGAACATGCTAGGAAAAATCTAATGTTCGCAAACTTTCCCGTTCTGACGAGAAAAATCAACTATAGCTCGCCTGCAACACGGATAATGAATTTTTATTTTTCCTCCTTTCATCTCCGGCTCGGTGCAGGCCGGGAGTTGTCAAGTTTGACGCGGCGGAAAGAGCTCGAGTATCAAAGGAAGTAATATCAACGATGCGTTTCCGCAACTTGTAAAAGCTCTAGCAATTAAATTACGACGCGCACCTCCAACTTGCTCAGGAAAACCATTTTCACACCCAAGAGGTTTCATTTATAAAACGAGGATTTTTCCTCCTCTAGTTATTTGCATATTTCTACTAACAAATTATTTAAAAAATCGTTCTGAACATGGAGTACCGTGACTGTTTAAAATATTTAACGTTTACTTTATGCACTTATTTGAATTTTTCTTTAAATTTATTTTGGTAAATAAATCACCAAAAAAAGCGCCTATTTAGGAAAAAGCACAAAACTTTCCAAGTGGAATAGCATTAATTAATTCTAATAGCAACTGGAATATATTTATGGGCTGGAAAATTTAGCTATTCAACTAGGATGGCACAATTTTTTTTTTTTTTTTATTAATTTTTACTGGAATCTATCTTCTAAGTTGTTACGAATAATATTAAAGAAGAAATTTAAGAAATTCATCAAAAATTGAAAAACGAAAAAAAAGGAGAAATGGTGTAATTAATTACTAATGTTCATTGTCTTGATAAAAGAGCACACAAACATTATTTATTTATTTTTAATAACAAGAATATTTTAATTAACAGAATTTCAAATGTATGCAACAAACAATTTCAGTTTTTCACAAAATGTTTGCTTTGTTTCAGGGCCTGCACGATGTGCCGGGCGTTCGTCTTCCCCTGCAGACGGCGTCGTACGCGTCGCCCAGTCCGACGCACGCCGTCTTCATGTATAGCGGCTCAGGCGACGGAGGGGGAGGGGGCGGTGGTGGTGGCGGCCGCGACAACGTCGTCACGCTGCAGCTGCGCGGCACCACCGTTGGCGTTGATGACGACGACGACGAGGACGTCGAAGACAAAGTCTCAGGGGTGGACGCGAGCGGCACCAACCTGGCGTCGGTGCTCGCCAGACTGCAACAGGAGGACGCCACCCTGAGCATCAGTTACCAGGACGGCGACGTCCTAGCCGAGGGCAGCATCGACGTCCTCCTCGGATCCGGCGCCCTCCACGCAGCAGGTAAGCCAACTTGACCGCGATTGTTCTAAAATTTCTAAATTCAAGGCTTAGTCAAAGATTTAAAATGTTGAAAATCTGATTTTATTTTATTTTTTAATAAGATTGGAATTTATTCATCAATTGAAAATTATGTGTATAAGTTTCTAAGAAAAAAGGAAAAAGGAGGAATTTTTTAGCCACAATCAAAGATTTGAAATAAATAAATTTTGATATTTAACTTCATGGAAAACCCAAAGAAACATGACCAAATTTGATCCTTCTTGATCTCCACTTTCCAATTTTTCATTTTCGTTTATTTCAATATGTAAATATGTGTTTGAAATTAAAATAAAGTTTAAATGAAAATTATTTTTTTGTCAATTTCATCAGATGACTGAACCTATATATTAACTTTTTTAAACAAGTAATAAATTTAAAAATTCATTTGTTCCCCTTTTCAATCATTGTGAATCAAATTTATCGCTCATAATGTCATATCTGCTTTAAAAAATTAATGAAAATAACCGGAAATTTTAATAATAAAGTAGTATAATTTTTAATAGAATTGATACGGAAGGAAAATTAAGGAAAAACTTTTCACAGATGCCACTTTTCTGTGACTGCTAAAAGAAATTCCAGCAAAAAGGAAAAGATTTTTGCCTTTCATATTTTGTAATTCTTCCAAAACGATGATTCAAGGAAATTCTCGGTGCGACGAAACAAGAAGAAAAAAGCCCCGAGTTAGCTATAAGGGTGGAAATCTGTGCACATTTTCATTCACAGCCGCGCGTGGCTGCGTTTCGTTTTAATATCACGGCGGGAACGAGCAAGACGGATTTTGGCGCGTCATTCCGCATGCAAATTTTGTAATATCGCGAAATGTGGCGCTCGCGCGTTCATCCCGGTCGGGCGAAATTTCCGCTCGCTGCTCTTCGCACTTGATTTTCTTCTCTCTCGGTTCGTTCGCTCGTTCGGCCGACGACGAAACACAATTGTTGCCGCCGAGTCGAGCGAGAACGATTTTATTTTTATTGCCACCTCCGTGAGCGCCGCAGCGGGATATAAATCGCCTCCTGCAAGCACGGATCGGCCCGGAGAATCAAACCACAAAATTTCTATTTAAATTCAAGCACCTCTTTGTCATGGAAATTTTGTTTTCAAAGCATCACAATTTTTATTTAGAACAGATATTATTTATTTATTTTCAACTTTTATTATTTTTAATTTGCATATTTTTATTCATGCATACAATTTTAAAATTATTTCAAAACTTTAAGGTGCTATGAGGTATGTGAAAGAATGAAAAGATTTTGTGCAGAAATATAATCAAACTATTAATTAATTAATCAGGAATAACATTTTAAATTTCCTATTATTTCAGTGAAAAAGTTGATCATAACCCGATTTTTCCCCAATTTTGACTTAAAATTTAATGTAAAATTCTCCGCGAAATTTTGTGCAGTCCGTGGCTGGAATGCGGGTCGGGCGGTGCAGGAATTAATCGGAGCGGAATGCAAAGCGTCGTTTCCTCGTCACCGACTCCATTCGCGAGGGAATGCAGCGGCCATTTTTGCGCACACCTTTCCGCACGTGTCGCAGCGGCTGCCCTTCCGCAGCTTCTGACCGTCGATCGACACGCGCAACAACGTGCACTCGACTCCAATTAACAAAAGGGGCTCATTAGACGAGCACACTAACTTCTGAGATGAGGCTTAAAGCGGCCATTGTTTCGGCAGAGCCAAAGTTGTTGCTCAACGGCCCGAGTGACGCCGAGTTTCAAGTTGTTGTCTCTTCCTGCGCGCTCATCCACTCTCGAGGGCCACAGATATGATTACAATATGAGAGGAGATAAGAGAGCCGCAACAATGCAAAATTTCTTTTGATCAAAAGAAATTGCCAGAAATTTCACGGGAAAAATTAGCTTTCCTTCTAGTTTTTTTGCATCACTACAAAGGTTAAAATTGAATAAAAAAATTAAAAAACTATATAATTTCTTGCAACAACGAATTGAGACTGAATTAAAAAATAATCCGAAAGAAATTTAACGTGGATTCAGAAAATGAAAGAGGAAACCACTGCTCAGAAAACGATTTATAATGTTTGAATTTTAATTTTTTAATTGGAAATCTTGAGGCAAGGCTGCTGATGAATTTTCAATTAGCGAAATCATGATGCTAGTCATGTTCAGAGTGTTGCCATTTGTCTTGATTTGAAGTTAAAAATGGAAAAATAAATTTTTTGGAAAAAGAAATAATCCTGATCTGTTAAAATTTCCAATTCATAGTTGAAATTAAATTTAATTCGTTTTCTGAGAATTTTGATTTTCTCTCTGTTTCTGAATCCACGTTAAATTTCAATTGCGAATTGGAAAATTAAAACGGAAACTGGTACACACGTAATAACGCAAACACGACTCTACTCTAAAGAAAAAAAAATGCAACACTAACAAACACAAAAACACACTAAAATGAATAATAAATTGTCAATTAAATATCCAAAAAGAAAACAATAATTATTCAGATTTTTAAATTTTTATAAGCAGAAATTTGTCCACGGCGATAAATTCCCGTTCCAACTTTTTAGTCGTGGAATATTTTTGATGCAAGCAGAGATGAAATGTTATTCATACACATTTGGCTGGTTTTGCGGCGCTTCCTGTGACGCCTTTCGAGAGCGAAGTGAAATGTATACACTTGCTTTTTGGCCGTTGAAATTCTGGTCTCGCGAGTGCGTGTTTGTTGCATTTCATATTCCATGGTTTGCTAATGTCCCGGCGGCGTAATGAAGCTCCATATGTCACGCGGCGGGCGACAAGTAGTGCGCGCGGCTGACCCTCCCCATATTTCACCACGCTCGCATAATAATCCCGAACTCGAATCTAATCTCCCTACTATGAGAGCGAGCGAGCCGAGTTACCCTCTTAATTTAGCGCCGGCTCTTATTTGCGTTTTACAACTCGGCTGCCATAGATCTCGGCGCGGCTTTAATTAAAGCGCGTTTAATTTGCATTTTGCCCGAGACTTGCTTTTCTCCTTCTCTCTGTGGAGCCGCACAAAGACGTCCAACTTTGAAAGCAGCGACTTCGGTGTCTGCGCGATCGGCAAAGAAAGTCGCCGCCGCCGCCGCATCTTTTCCAAGAAGAAGAAGAAGAAAAGTTCAGCCCGCTGAGGTTGAAAGGGGTGCGATTCGCAAACTTACTTGCTATGCGTCTCGTTTTTGGTTTAGGCTTCAATTCCATTCAAAGGGAAAACTTCAAATTCTTAGCTTATTTTCTCACCCTTGCTAATTAAGTTTTCAGAAAAAAGCAGCATTCAAAAAAGTTTGGCTGCAACCAGAATAATAAGATAAAAACTCAATTAATGTGAATTTTATGTTTCACAATTTATCATATTACATTTTTTATTGAATTTTTTACATGGAAATTAAATTTTGACAATTAGTTCCATTTCTTTGACTATGAAAGTACCAAATTTTTAATTTCAACTTCTGAAAAAATCTTCATTTTATAATTAAAACTCTTTAGTTGCAATTTTTCATGCTATTTCTATTGCAGTCAATAAATCAAAAGGCCAAGGGAAATTATATCAAAATGGGTTTTGCGTGCAAATGGTTTAAAAAGCTTTTTAATTTGAAAGATTAAAGATAATTATGCAGCTTTTGAAAGAACACGCGTAATCTTAATTATTTAGGTTACTTTGTTTTACGGATATGTTCATTATGTTTGAAAATTGAAATAGATTTAGTTAAATAATTTTCTTTTAATTATCAGTTCATTTCAAGATCAAAATTATGTAACTTTTTAATATCAAAATAAAATTTATGCCCTTTGGAATTAAGTGACTAACATGTCCGAACGATTTAATAACCATTTCAGCTCCCCCTGTGCTAATTTGTAATTCAGGCTTGCTTATTAAATATGCTTAAAAAGGTATTTATTCAACATTCAACCTGATACAACCCTTAATCTTTTCAAGTGAGTATACGAAAATTTGTATAATATTAATTATCACTATTTAATAAGTTAATTAGAAAAATAAATGCTTTAAATCTATTTGAATTTTAATAAATATATTAAATTACTAAAAATATAAAATATATAGAGCTAAAAAAATAAAATTTAAAATAAAAAGTTTTTTTGTTTAAATTTGAAGCAATATATTTAAGATTCCAATAATATAGCAAACAATTAGCTCTCGTTGTTTTGTTTTCCATTGCATTAAAAACATTTTCTATCATTCCAGTGAAAAAAATTACAGACATTCCATTATATGCGTATAATGTAGGCTCCTCAGTACTTGTGCAGTCGTAACATTATGAATCTTTTCTTTTCCTTTTAAAATGAATAAATTTTCCTTTCCATTCATGTTGTTATCTTTAGTTTGTTTGTTTGTATTTTTAATTAAAAATACCGCGGAATGGAAATACGAGGAAAGAGCTTGCCTGCATTTTGAGCGGCTGTCGTCTTTGAAAAAGCGTCATCTCAATATTTCTTCTTCGACTCTGCGCGCCGTCTGAGCACGTCTCGGTCTTTTTTTCTTTTCCTTTTTTTTTGGCCGCAAGATTGACGGTGACTGCGGCTCCGCACCGAAAGCAGATATATATCGAAATGATCCGAGAGGGGAAAACGACTTGCGCGGATTTGATAATGACCGTCGAGCGGCAATTTATGGCGGGTGTGCTGCGACGAGAGCGGCGAATATTGGCTCATTTCCTGCGAGCAGTTTTGATATCGGTTCTGGCACCACTCGCATTTCACCACCCTCTCTCGGATCCGGCTGTGCATTAACCGACCCATTTCGATAAGCATCACGTCCCCGACTTATTTATAATTTACGACGCCCCAAATGGCTCGCAAACGACGCTCAGGTGGTTTTTTTTCTCCCTTGGCCCAAGTGTATAAATACACAAAAGTCGAAAGTTTGCTCGGGACGGCAATTAGCCGAATTCCGCAATAAACCGTTGTGTATTTCAAAGGGAGGCAGAAGAAGAAGAAGAAGCTCCTGCGCTTTTTGCCAGGCAGCCTCAATTAATGGCGATAATATTTCTCGGTGCCGCCGCTTTTTGCGCCATAACTCGGCTCGCTCATTTATCCGCCTGCCTCCCTCGCTCGCTCTGATATTTGTCGCAGATTAATTACCTTTATCGCGGTGAAACACGCTCGCACGATTTATTCTTGCCTCGAATCCGTCTTGCGCCGAATCCCCCGAGCCCGCCGCTTTTTATCCTGCCAGCAGCCAACAACTTCCATTTGAGTAGAAATAAAAATTAAGCGCTGTCACACCGAGATAATGGATAGAAATTGTTCCTACGTGTACATTTTCCATCTCTTTTTTAATCAAGATAAATTTATAAATGCATTAACAAGGCAATTTGAAACTCACGGATTAATAAATTAAATTTGTTTATTGAATAAAAATTTAAAATTTAATTTTTAAAGGGGGGATTTCCTGGGAAAAAAAATGCTGATTAATTTTTATTGTAATTTCTTTGTACATTAGCATTGGTTTTCTAGATGTGAGCTCCAAGGAGATGTAGTAAGAACAATTGAATTTATTAAGGAGGACTGAATCTTTTTAAATGGGAATTTCCTAACATAATTTTTTATCTCAGACGTGGCCTGATAAAAATTGATAAGAAATTAAAATTCACCAAATCACGCTCTATCAGCCCAACCGAAATTAATAGGTCAGTTTTTATTGATCTTATGGGAAAAAGTTTAAAATTATGAAATATTGAAATGAAAAAATCGGGCTTTCCTTCGTTGTTATGGAAAAGCCCAATCTCTTCATTTCCACGACCATCTCCTCGAGTATAAACTTCTTCAAACAAAGTATGAAATATTATAAAAATAATTATAAAATCACTGGTCAAATTTTGTAAATTTAGTTGATGCAGCAAATTTAGAAAATTGTCATCAAAATTTAAAAACTGGATGTAAAACCTTTTATCCAGAATTTAGCCAGAAAAATTACCATAAAGGGCTACATAAATTTAAGTAATATAATTGTAAATTATGATTGTCTAATTAAAATCTATCTAAGTTTATTATAAAACAAAACGTTTTTATCCAATTTAGACTCTTTGAATTAACCGCTACAGATTTTATCTAAAAATTTTAGGCAATCCTCGTTCTTACAAATAAAAATTTTCATTTTTCCTAAACGTTTCCTTTTTGAGTTAATTACTAATTGAAGATTGTAGAAAGGACGTTAAGGCCAAGTGTTTTGTTTGCAAAAGAAAAAAATTCGAGAATGAGATTTTTTATTCATTATGGGCTGACATCATCAGATTTTCTCTAAAATTTACCTTCGCTTCTTCAAAGCTCCTTTCAGATTTTCCGAGTGACGTCATTTAAGTTGAAACCCCTTTCCCGAAAATGAGAGCGCGCTTGCGAGGGTTATCCGATTTCACAAGAGCTTCCCATTTCAAATTCTTCCAAGGCGGTGTGTTTTTCGCTTGGCCCGAGAGCAGATCAAAGCGAAAGCGAAAATAATACGCGTTTCAGCTCACGGAGCGCAACGTTTCAATTCGGGCAGCGGCATAATTTTTCACTCGGCCGCCTTGGACGTGTGCGGGGAATCGGCGATCGCCGGCTTTATCTTTTGCGATTGGCATTCAGAGGCCTCACCTGCGCGCTGCGGAATGCCAACGAGTTCTCAAAATGACCCGTCTTGTTCGCAGGGGCCGACGGCGCCTTCGACCTCTTCGACTCGGAGAGCGGCCAGGACTTGACCCTCAGTCCTCAGACCTTCACCAGCTCGACCGAGGCCTTCCTCAACGACAACTCGGACAGCCTGCCTCCCACGCAAGCTGACGCGGACACAGGTAATATTTTTTTTCATTTTTCTATTTATTTATTAATAAAAAATGCAAAAAATAATTTAATAATTTAAAAGTCAATCAGAAGCAAAATTAATATATTTATTCGTGTGATTTTTTATCCACTTTTTAAAATTTTAATGTGCTTTACAATTTTTATGAAAAAGGTTTTTATGCAAATAAATGCAATAATTCAGACAACATAAACACAATTCAGACACAATAACTTTATAATTTTCTAAAATTTAATTATAAAATAATATCTGGCTTGAAATATTTCTATTTTGGTAGCTCGCAAAATCTGGTATGAAATTTATTTAGACATTTTGATTTTTTTTCTTGTAAATTAAGCCAAGCTTGCAATCATGATCTCTGACGTTGCCATTTTCCACGAAAAATAAAATTCGATCTGAGCCGTGAGCTTAGTGATCAGAATGATTGAGGGCCTCGGTTCGAACTTCCGTCGGAATTAATCCGCCGCGGAATTCGGCCGGCGTTTTGCGCAGTCATCAATCGTGCGCGGCCGTCAGGGCGAGAGAAGCGAGATGATCAGCAATAGCAGCATTTTTCCCCGAGCGCCATAAATAACAGTGTGTGCTATTGGCAGCAGCAAAACACGGCCGCAATAAATACACACGGCGTGCAAAATTATTTATCAGCTCGGGCGGGCTGCTGGGCGGGCCGGGCGAAAGCATTCAATAAGTTTATCTTGTTTTCACACTTGCGCGCTCGAATTAAAATGGAAAATTGCCAGCACGGCCCTTTTTGTCCCTCCAGCAGCCCAGACTCGGCCGTCGAGAAAGACCTTTCTGACTATTCGGGTCAAGCAGCTCCGTTTTGAAAAGTCCCTCATTTGTGGAGTGGATGAAAGCACTCGACGCAGATTTCCAGGGACAAAAACTAGTTCCACATAAGTGTGTTTCTGCATTTCTCAACAAATTCTTCTGCTGGAGCCTGATTATTTGTATGCAAATTATTAAGAACGTAATTCTTAAATAAATTTTCCAATTGTTTTTCATCATTCAGGTGAATTTTTGTGTGTATCTTCCCTTTTTCAAATTTTTATAAAATTTTCCATTGTCCTTTTTCTTTTAGCAAAATTACAGTTTAAAATGATAAAAAAATCTTAGATTTTTTTAAAAAAAAAAGGTTTATTATATCTTTTTATGAATTTATATGTTTCAAAGTGCTAATAAAACTTTTCTTAATAATTTAGAGTCAATTTGATGTTAATTGACAAAAAAAATTATGAACTTATATTCGATTAAAGCCTAAAATTAAAATCAGGATCTTAAGCTGTATAATTAGAATGCAGACTTTATTAGATTCTCCAAGCGTAAGAAAAGCTAAAATTTTTCAAGGCATTAATACCAGAAGTTTTATGTGTTATATCTAAAAAAATCACGATTTTCCATATTTTTAGAAGATGAAAATAATATTTTGCACCATAACGTAAAAAAGTTGTATTTTCTGTTCTTTTTCGTATACATGCTAATCAAACTGTTTATTTTTATTCACATTACATTACAAAAGTGCGTGGGTTTCTCTCTCTCTCTCTCTCTCTGTGAACGAAAATTCGATTGTATGATAACGGTTTGGATATAGAATCGCTTTATGTACGGGCGCAATTTCGCGATTGGATCAGATGCAAAAGCGCTGACGGAGAGTCAGAGTTAATTCCGCCTTTGATGTATCACCCAGGCAGCGACCAGACCGGCGTCGGCAAAAAATTGGATACAAAATTGATGGCCGACGATTCGCCTGACGCAGCGCAAAATAAATAACACATCCACAGAGGGAGAAAGATGAATTTTGCGCGTTGAGGAAAAAAATAAAATAAAGTGTCCCCGATGCGCGTTATTAATGAAACTTCAGAATGCTGTCCTCAGATTGCCATAGCAATGAGATTTCTTCTTTGAGTAATGAAGTTTAAATCAAATCTTTATGAAAAGGGTAAAGACAATATCTATAAATTATTTCTCTAAAGGAAAAACAATAAAATAACTTCAACAAAAAGTTGTATTCTGGCAATGAGCAAACAATATTCTGCAATTTCTGAAAGTCCCAATAATTACAAAATAAAATTTGAAAATATAATTATGCCAATTATGTAATATATAATTAGAGAATTAATTTGTTTAAATTAGATTTTTTATATTTCACACTCCTGCAAAGAAAAACTTTATTGGTTAAGGCTATTAGTAAGAAATACTTTAAATGCATTCATTGTTTTCTTCCAAAATATAGGAAAAATAAAATTATTTTCCACGAATTTAAAAAAACAGTAATTTAAAAAAAAAAATCTTAGAGGAATTATTTCAAAGCTCACAATGAGAAGAAAAGTTTTTGCTCCTCCTCGAGAATAGGACGTTTTTCTTCATTTTTCCACCGCGTCTGCTGCTCTTGGCGGCGGCAAACTATCGGCAAAGTAACTTAATTTGCGAGAATGGCAAGAACACCCGCATCAGCGAAAGAGCCGGTCGCAGATATTCCGCTGACGTCGCCTGCTGATAATTTCATTTTTTCCATCCTCCTCCTCCTCCCCCCTCTTTCGCGAAATTCGAGCATCGGAATTCGATAGTCGATCGCTTCTGTTTCTTCCCCGTTCTATTCATTATTTGCTCGGCAAGTGGCCCGAGACACACATGCGAGTCTGCAAATTGAATGGAACCGCAAAAGGCGCCATCATTTGCGCAGAGTCGGCACAAAGAGCGACCTTTTGATGCTTCATTAGCCAAGCCGATTATAATTTGCCCAGATTTAGTCTCATTACGGAGAAAGCGTCCCTTTGACTCGGGATTACATTTCGATTTGCACACGCGCGACCTCTCAATGCGCGCACCCTTACAATTCAACCCTCTGCGGTGAGTTTCAAAACGGACTTCCTCGAACTGAACAATAATGTAGTCAAAGGGAAAATACCTAAACGCGTCCGTTTTGAAGAGGTCGTCGCACTTGAAATACTTGGAATGCGTTAATTATAGAAACCGCTGGACACATTACATTGGGACCTCAAAGGATTTGCAAACATCAAAATTTCAGCACTTTTTATTTAATATTATGTGTTGTAAATCTAATGGTTGTGTTTGAAAAAAATGGGGAACGCTTACATTGTTACATTGAATTGCTAAAAAAATTAAAATTAAAATAATAAAAGATTTATTTATTTATTTTCATTGTTAAATGTTAGATTATTAATTTATTTACTTTTAGTTAGAATTTACTACATTTTTTAGATCAGATAATATGTATTTAAACTATTTAATTAGCCTTTTTTAATCAAATATTTTACCAAAGACACATATGGTCTAAAAAATTCAAAAGTACAAATTGAGGTTCTAGCCATTTTAAGATGTTTCATTTGGGAAAATTGCCTTTAGGGTGTTATAAAAATCGAAATAAATGTTTATATTGGCAGAGAGGTGTAAAAAATCGGCCGAGAAGTGGCAAAAAAAAAAACAAAAAAAAACAAATGCAAATCTTTCCAGTGAATATTAAGTAAAAATATCAGCATTTCATTAAAATCCAGCAAGAAAAAGAACAATTAGTGCGAGATTTTACAGCTTGGATCATCATTCAATTTAATATAAAACTGATCAAACTTTTACAAAATCTAGAAAAAAAATGTTAAAAAAAACTCTAATAAATATGCTTTTGATTCGTGTTGTAATATTTAATTTTCATGAGAGAAAGAGAAGGGAGGAGCATTTACTTAGATTTGAGAGGCAAAACAAGAAGTCTCTCATGTTTTGGAGTTTGGTACAAAGTTGGGAAGAAGGAAAGGGTTTATGCGCATAGCCGAGGCCTAATGAAGACGAATAATCCGGCAAGCGCCCCCTGCTGAGAGAGCGAACCAAAGGCCGACTCTCTGGGGAGCAAACTTTTTCCGCCGCCGCAAACTCTAATTACACACAAACACAGCCTGCAGTAGCGCAGTGACCCCGAAACAACCCTCCGGCCAAACTTCAAAGTGGACCGGCCGGCCAAAAGCCCAACTCGCCCCTTTTCTTGCAATAATTCGAATATTTTGACAAAGCGAGTAAAAAAGGTGTGGCTTGAAAGAAAAACGAACTAATAAATCACAAGAAACAACGCCGGAATAAAACGCAAGCGAATTATTTATCGTCTCTGGCGGACGTGTGGGGGGCGATTAGTTCTCTCCCGCGCGCGCTCAACCCCTTTGCTTTTTCTGTCCCTAAATTGTTTTGTCCGGCAGCGCAAGCAAACAAATTAAGCGCGGAAAAAACAGCAGCAGAAAGGAGGACGCGCGCAAAAAGGCTTTGCTGACGACGCAGTAAAAAAAATTCTGCGTGGGATTAGGAATTTGTTTGCCCTGCGGCGCGCGGGATCGAAGCGAAATTGAAATTCCTTGCCGTCGATTCCACGGGCCAAAGGGGAGCAAACTTTGAATGAGGAAAATGTCAATCATAAATTCTGTAACTCGATTTAATTAACTTTGACTAGAGGCTTCCGTGTTGACGAAAAAATGAAATTTTCAAAATTTCTAATAATAAAAAGCTTCATCAAAATAGAAATTTAAATATTAAATTAAAAATATGTTATAATGAGTAAATTTGTTTTCTTGTGTGTTGGCAGTGGGTAGTTCCAACTCGGAAGACGCAAAGGTGTCCGCGGCGGCGAGCGTGCCCGCGGCGTCGACAAAGGCGACGACAGTGACTGCGACGCCGGCGCCACCGGCTTCAACGCCGTCGTCCTCGTCGTCGCCAACAACAACGGCCATCGTGGCAGCCGACTCGGGCAAGTTGGCGGTCAAGAAGTCGCGGCCGAAAGCCTCCTCGCCCAACCGACAGGGTCCCCAGCAGTGTTTGGTGAGTTTTTTAATTGTACTTTAATTGTCCGATTAGCTTACGATTCAAAATATTTAATTTAAAAATAGGAATTTTCAAATTTGTAGGATTTGAAAACAAATGAAAAGTGGCTCTTCATCCAAATTAAAATGAGATTATATGGAATTGACAGTATTGATTAAAAAAGAGATAGCTTTCTTTATTTTATCCTTCTTCTTCTTTGTAAAATTGAAAACTCGATAGTTGATTGCTATTGATATTTGGCTCGATATCCGGCGTTTCGCGATTTCAATTCCCTCGCCGGTTGGCAATATGCGAAAACGATTACTGAAGATGGCTGCTTTCTTTCCTTCTCTTTCTGTGCGAGGCTCATTAAAGGCGGGAGGGACGTCTTTCCTTTTATCGGCCTTAACGACTGTCCTGCTTTTAAACTGCGTTCGGCGAAAAACTCGCTCTTCCGTTCCACCGGGCGATTTTGATGAGGAGCCGCGATAAAAACGCCCCGCGCCGATATATAAATTCGCGCTTATCTGCCGAGCGCCAACCGCGGCCGAATAATAAAAGCGTGCAATTTTGCTCGCGCTTATCTTTTTCCCTCCGTTTGAGCAGAAAGAAAGAAAAGGAAGAAAATAAAGAGACGCTTTATCGAAAGCCATTACTACTTATATATTCCCTCTCGCGAAAGCAGACCTAGAATTTCAAGTTTCAGAATAAACTCACCAGACGGAACAAAGAATATAGATTTTCTCAATTGCGTTTCCCTCATCAAAATTGATAATTATTTTTCAACTCTTCCGTGTCCATAACATTTCCAATCTCACGTTGGGTCAAAGGAAATTTTAAAACCCATTTATTAATTTTATTTTTCAAATTATTGAATTATATTTGAGAAAAAAAGGGCTGCAGGAATTTCAATTTTCATAATAATTAATTATATAAAATTATTTTGTGTGCAATTAAATATGTAACGTTGTTGGCCTCTCTAAAATTACAATTAGTTTGTGGAGAGAGGTTGAGGGTCTCTCTCATCTCGAGGCACCATTTCAGCCGTTCGTTTGCGTTTGTTTGTTTGCGCGCTCAATTCCGTGCCTCGTTTGCTCGCAGTTCCAAATGAGTTTTCACTCAATTTTCCGACCTACGCCCTAATTGGTTTTTTGTCCCGTCGGCGTGCGTGTGTCGCTTTGTTTATGCGAAATGGACTCCATTGTGCGCGCTTCCAATAGTTAACTTCGTTTGCTCTCGCATTTTGCGTCCGCTATGGTAAATTTCAAATAATGAAAAAAAAACTCGGGCACAATTTTGAACTTCCAAGTGAATAAAAAAAATTTGCCACTAATTACATTATTTGATCGCAGCTTGTGATCAAAGGATTCTGCGTGGAATTATAAAGGGCACGACGTGTTCCTTTCCGTGTGCTGGAAATTTAATGAAACGCGAACAAAAGTGACGCGTGCGACGTGTGCCGCTGACATTTCACAATTACAAAGAGCTCGGCATAATCACAATCCGAGGGAGACAAACGCAGTCGCAGCGTAAAATCACTACTTCGTCCTGGCTCTTTTCAAAGGCTAAATTGCGTGTCGACGCCTGCGGTGAACGAATTTAATCAAATGAGAAGAAATTAGCACTGGCAGGGGTCGCGCCCTTCACGTTTCGCCGAAGCGCGCTCGGATGCTGCTCAGGTACGCCTCGTTCTCCTCCTCGGACACCTTGGACGCCTCGAAAAACAATTCCGCCTCTTTCTGGTAGTCTTCCTCGCTAGGCACGCCCTCGGACAACTGCAAGTCGGTCACCGCGAGAATGGGGCCATCGGTGTGGATTAGCAATTCCAACATGTAGAACTGCTCCGGCGGCACGTAGTGGAACGTTATGGGGTGCTTTGAGCAGCAATCCGAGCCCTTCAAACAAAACAAGAAAAATCGTTACAAATATTAAAAGCTGAAAGAATTTTCTTTTTACAAATCTGCAAAATCTCAGAATATTTGAGTCATTTTCAGCAAAAGAGAATTTAAAGCTGTAATTCTTTCTTAACCTACTTTTGGACATTTTAAGCCCGCTTTTTATTTATTTAATTGAAAGAGTTCTTTTTCCCTTCCCCTTGTTTTAAAATAATGGCGTTTTTTACTCCTCCCAGGCCTTGTCAGTTACCCCTTGAAATATATAGGGGTTGTAAAATAAGAACTCACAGAGTTGCTCTCTGGGTAATGAAATTGGATGCAACGTGCAGAAATCCGAGCCCAAACAAGAGGCTTCAAGTAGAAATACATTGATTTGCATATATTCTTTTTCTGGGTTTATAAATTTCCAACCTTTTTCTGCGGCCACCGGACGGTTTTCATGTACCAATTGTCGTTGAAATCGGTGAAGTCGGGATTCAAATATGTTTGTGGGTCGAAATTGTAGAAAAGAAAGTGTCCCCGAGAGTCTCTCGTGTCCTCCAAGTACACACCAACAGAGTTCAAACATCTTGCTGTACATGTTTGTGGAATAAATTTTTTACTGGAGAAAATCGATCAAACCCAATAAAACGTCCTCGTCTGAAGTGAGATTTGAAAGCTGGCAGTGGGGATTGGGTGCAGGAAATGCCGCAGTCACCAATTTTTTCAACGCTCCACGACTCAAAACGTAACCTAAAAAAAATCAGAGGATTTTAACTTTCATTAATAATATATTTACCTGCACCACCGGTTGCATAACCCTTTGGTAAGTCGCGTTTCTTGAACTGCATGCCCAGATATTTTGCAGCATTAGGATCGTAGAGTACCAAAAGCCGACGCAAATTCTCCACAATGACGTACCTGATTATAAAAGTAAAAAAATATAATATATATTGATAAATTTCGGTTTTATTAAAAAGGAAGTTTGCAATAAATTTATTTTAATTTCAGGCATTACTTATAAAAATGGCGTGGAGACCAAATGAAAGACGGATCATAAATTGTTATTAATTAAATTTTTGTTTTACTGTAAATGAAATTCATTTTTATAAAATTTGTTTTCTCACGTGTCGTCGTCAGCTTTAAGAAACCAGTCAAATTCGTTTGCAAACTGGTCGTGCACTTGAATGAACGCCTGCACCGTTTTCCGCCAAAGACCAGCACGGCCTTTTGGTGCAGCAATTCCCACCGCAGGCAGATCTTCATCTGCAGAACAAAAATTGAGATGTTTAAAACGTTATATTTTTACAAGTTTTTTCTTGAAGACTTTCTTATGAACATAATTTAAAATTATTGAGAAAAATTTATGAAACTAATCACTAAGTTTTGGTGTCAAAATCATTCACTTTTCAAGTAATAAAATTAAAAAAAAATTTGATTTGGAATTTTTCTATCTTGTATTTTAATGTTTGGATTTAGGATTTCTTCCCTGAATGAGGCAAAGTTGCCCTACATTTGAACATAATAAACGTCTATTTTATAACTAAAACGGATTTGAACCTTCTTCGTCGCTGAAAAAAATGAGTTTGTCGCAGCGCCGGCCCCACGTGGCCTTGACGTGGGCCGCTTTGGAGGCGTGGTTGGCGCCGGTGGTGCAGACCCAGCACAGAACGCGCACCGCCCTGTTCAGACCCTGCGACCTTTTCATCTCGTAATCTGAATTTGACAGTTTTATACTCAGAGACAAAGTCAAGCAATGGCACCTTTGTAGAGCTGCTCGATGGCCGACGCATTCCTTTCGGCCACGTTTCGAACCACGCTCGGCAAAAAATCCGATTCCGCGGATTCCACTGGAAAAGGGCTGCAACTGCGGCCGAGCAGGAAGCCCAAGCCCAGTGTTGCCAAAATTAAAAACCACTGCTCTGAACGGGAAATTTTGTGAAATAAAATGTAAAACTTGTGCACGGACATTCCTGCAGTTAAAACATTGCAAGCTCGACTGACCACTTCATGCCTGTTTATCAACAATCAACAATTTAGAGATAGGAAGGAAGGCACAAAAGTGACTCACGCGCTTCCACCTCACCTGATGCGGGCGTCGAGAATAATTAAAAGAAGAAATTCTTAGTTAAAAGAAATGTGGTGCATTTAATTTTTATTAATTACTGCAAAAATGATAATTTTAAATGGCCTAACAATTTATCTGTTGAGGTAAAAGATGCGTGTTTGATAAAAATTTTCCAACCTCTCCAACTGAAATTTGAAGTAAAAACGTTTCCTCTAATTGAAATTTTTTGCCCGCCTCCATCAACTTTGACATTCTCCGAAATGAAACTTTGCCATAATGAAAACAATTTGGGGTGCGCCGGCCTAATTGGTAATTAGTCGGGAGGCGTGCGTGGCAACAAGTGAAGGAATAAGGGCGATAGGCAGGCTAGGCTTCGGAGAAGACGCGCCCGAGGGTTTTTGTGCCGCCGCCGGCTCGGATCGGCGGTGACCCCGTATTCGAGACACGTTCCGCCGCTTGCGAGTGTGTGTGCGAGCGAGCGCGTGGGACGCAGACCGAGCAACTTCATGACGAAAATACGAAGAAGCTGCTGATAAACTGCCGCTGAAAAGAATGAAAAAGGAAATTCGAGCGGGCAAGAAAAATGGGCGCGCAACAAAAGAGTTTTTTAGAATTAACGCGTGCACAAAAATTGATCTCTCCTGTTTAATATTTTATGTACGAAAATTTATATATTTACCGTTTTTTGTGTGTGTATTTTTGCGTCGCTGGTTGTTGCGAGTGCGAAAAAATAACATATTCGATAGCAAACACACGCGAGACGAGCAGAGGGAGGGAGGAGAGCGTGTATTGTTTTTCTTGCTTGGCGGAATTTTCATGTGCGCTCCGCGTATTTTCGTTGCCTCGCGGCATTTCGACGCACAAAGCTCCGCGCGTCGAGAACAAAACACGGATCGATTTTGCACGGCGGAAAACGCGGCTCTGCTGCTCTCACCCTGACGTTTCAACAGTTAGCCAAAAAGGATATAGGTTGAAATGAGGAAAAATGGAAAATTTGTCCAATATTAATTAATTTCCAACCGATTGACACAGGTTTGAGTGACTTCAGCAGGGAGAGTTCATAAAAAAAGATGTAGTTTTTATTTTTGTAAAAAAATTCTTCTTTATATTTTAGCAAAGAGTCAAATAGATTCAAGATATTGTTTGAATAAGGCCAAGAGAATGAACTGGAAAACATTCAATGATTTTGTTGTAAAAATATTTGTCAAAATTTATCAAATTTTAGAATCATTTCAGCCTATTCCGTGTAAATGGAAGCTGCTATAGAAAAACTTTTTAAGTAGCACGTCATGACGTTGCCTGAATTGAAATTATTTTGAAAGTTTTATTTCGGGCAATTTGAAATAATACCTTGACCCAGGAAACCAATCCAGTACAGAGTCGATGTTTGGAATATTCTTTCAATTGGATTGCGAAATATTTTTAAAATCTTTCAGCTTTCCTTCAAACATTTATTAGAATATAAAATTTTTTTATTAATATTCTGGCAGTTTTTCGGTTTTTTAGAATCAATATAATTCCTTTTTGGTGACAATTTTGTTCAAAAATTTAGTTGAAAATATTTTGCCAACAAGAAAAAATTACAAACGATTTCTCCGTAATTCCAATGTAAATTTTAACGTTAAACTACCCTACAATTATTTTACTTTGGTAACCTATTTTAATTTTTTATATCACTATTCATTTTGTGAAATTTTAAAATATTTAGTCAGAATTTGAGAATTAAAAATATTTTCATTCATTTTCAGTCTCTGAAGACTACTGACTTAATTTACCAATTAAAAATAAAACGAAAAATACTTACAAAAAAAAAAAACAATTTCTCTATGGAATATATTCCAACATTTTCTTTAAGAAAAATATGAAGTAAATTTTTAGTAAGCTTTTCTGAATTTTATATCTCGTGCTTGTGAAATTCTCAGTGAAAACAAGAGCAGCTTGTTAGAGCGGAATAAGTTTGAAGGAGAAACGACTCCATTTGGCTGCCTGCGGCACAAATGGTGCACGCCCGGCTCAAAGGTTACTTAACTAGTTAGTGAGTTAGCGGCGGTGACGGTTAGAAAATTTATACTCGTGTGCGCCGTCATGATACTCGGCGTGTGTGTGTGTCTGCGCCCGAGCAATTGTGAATTTAATTAAAACGCGCGCGCTCTTTGTCGGGGCAAGGCTAATCCGCGGCGGCACTTGCAGCTAAGCTGATTTGGCATCGGCGGAGGGCACAATCGCAATTTCCTGCCCTCCGCAAAAACCGCCCTCGCGTGTGCGACGGCTCGGGGGAGGAGCGCAATTTTCATTCAAAATCTCATCAGCCGTAATTAATTCGCACTCGGCCAGGAAAACACGGCTGCAAAATGAAGAGCCGCTTTTGAAATGACAAAAAATTCCCATTCCCAAATGTGTGCAAAAAAACACGACATTCATTAAAATTGGCAACTCCCACGTTATTTTTTTTCCAATATCAAATATTTACTCCATGAAAACGCACACATAGACGTTTTAATTAATTTTAAATTGTATTCATTCGTTCAGAATTGGGAAAAACATGTCACCATGGAGCAAACAGAAAATTCATTGCTCAACCTAAAAACTTTGAGGTCATTTTTAGGCCGGCGAAAACTTGATATTTTTCAAAAAAAGGTGACTATTTAGTCTCCAATTTAAATTTTTGAAGTCTAGGATAAAGTCTTTTTTAAGCAAGAAGGCGCAAGAAAAGTTTTTTTAAACGAGTCTGTTATCATTTATAGAGAATTATAATGAAATATTTCACAAGATATTTTGTTTTAAAATTGATGATAGCACTGATTATCAGACAGGAAGATAAAAATGTAAATAGAAAAGTCAGTTTTAATTTTTACGAAAAGATGTTGAACAAAATTTACAAAAACTAAAACAATAACAATAATAAATATTAAAATTTTTAAATAATTTGATAAAAATGAGTTTCAACATAATTAAGAAAAAAATCTCAAAATTGTCCTAAAAGAATTTTGAAAAAGTATTTAATTATATGAAATTTAAAAATAGTTTACCATAATTGCTTTTTAAACTTACATTTTTTTGAACAAGATTCGCAAAGATCCTTGCCAGTTTGTAGAGAGAATATAAAAAAAAAAAATTAAGAAAAATCTCCAGCTGAATTTTTTTACTGTGATCGAATATTAGGTAATGCATCCATCTTCTGGTTGAAATGTACCTTTCTTCATTTGCACTATTTTTTCTATCCACAGACATAAGAATATGACTAATCGATCTTACAAATCTTTCTAAATGTAAGCAGTATTTAAAAATAAAAGAAAAAAACTCATTATGAATTAGTATTCAAGTTTTTTTTACCTCTACAGTTGTTTTGGGAAGCAATATAGGTGGAAATTGAATTTTTTTAACATATCAATGGGCGATCTCTGCACAAAAATACACGAAACAAATTATTTAGATATTTAAAATTCAAGTGATTAGAGAGAAACAAATTAAAACCAAATCTTCGAGTGATTAAATTTTACACATTTACATAAATTATATAAAACTACGTTACTGAATTTACAATTTTAAAATGTTACATTTTATGATTTTGTGGCCATTTAATTTTTTGCTTCATCCCTGCAGTGGTGAAAAGTCCTTTCCTTGGCTAAACTCTTCCCATTAACTTTTGAGTAATGAATATTTTCTTGCCTTGTTTCTAAATTTAAACTGCAACTTGTTCGCGAGCAAACTTTAAAAGTTCAAAGAGATTAAAAAAAAGGTGTGTAAAACTTGTAAGCGTTGATTAATAGCTTTCGCTTAGGGCGCCGGTGTTTTAATTAGACCTCGAGGGACTGTATAAGTTGCGTGTATGCGATATAAGAGTTGCGCAAATTCGCAACAAAGTTTTAGTTGGTTCGACCCCGCGGAGGATGGAGCGCTAGGAGAAAAGAGAGTCGTTAAAAAAGTAAATAAAGTGCTTTGTTAAAAGCGAGTGCCGGGCGCGAAAATAAAAAGCGCACGTTCTTGGCGGCGAGAAGAAGAAATTTGGCAAATGGAGCGCGAACGAGCGAGGCTGCCCGCGCGCCCGTCTTTTGGCAACACCTACTTTTCTCCTCACACAAGACACTTGGAATTTTTTCCTCGCTCCGACGAGACCGAAAATGCTCTCTGTACTTTAATTAAAATTACATTCACCTCCATTCATTTGCTTTTTGCTGTGAAACACGAGAAACCACAAAAGGCCGGACGGCTGCAGAGGAAATAAAAGTCGGCGCGGCGCGAATTACATTCCTGCAGCTGCGTGTCCGTGCGTGGGCCCGACGTGTAATCGCGTTTCCATCCCTGCCGTCCGTGTAATCAGACCAATTTTACAGCCGCCCTCTTTTTCCCCCAAGTTAATTCCGCGCCTCCGTGCCGAACTGCTCGCAAAAGTCGGAATTAAAGGGCCCAAAAGTCGTGACCTGATCGCCTTAAGCCTTTGTACGCAATTTATTGTTGATCGCTGCTAATTGCTAAAAAGATATTTCTCATTTTTTTGCGTCGTATTTATTAAAAAATAAAAATTAAAAAACAGACTTGTCATTTCGAACAAAATTTTAACAAGAAACTTTCAATAATAAAACTGAAACTACCAAATTAATGAATAATTAACAAAAATATTAAAATAATCAGTTATTCAGAAAATATTGTTAACAGTTAATAATATTAATTTGTTTGGTTTATTCTAAATTTTGAAATAAAAAGTTGTATTGTAAGATTCTTAAATCTTTTCTCCACACAATTATATTAACTTGTATTATTTTGATGTATGGGCAGTAATTTCCTTCCTGGTAGATCAATAAAATAAATATTGCAATTGATTGTGAATTTAGAAATTTAAGTGTTTTATCAAAACGTATTTGATTGATTATTTCAATCAATCAAAGAAAATAAATATTTTTATTTTTTTTTTATTCGAATTTCAAATTAATTAAAGATTATTCAAAACAATTAGGTTTCGCAAACCAGATTCTCTGATTTAATAAATATTTACTTGAATCTTATAATTGAATTAAAAAAATTAGAACAGCGCCACTTTTGTTTGGAACAAACACCACAATCGACTGCAGGCTTTTTTCATTTTATCGTCACGCTCGCAATAACAAAACATCGCGAAAGTTGTAAAAGTAGTTAGAGGTAAAAAGCAAACAGAGTAAACGGTGAAAATTAAGTGCCACCGTCCGGCCAGCCGAGCCAACGTGCCTGTTCGTTCTCTCTTTACGCCGCACATAATTTCGCCGACTGTCCCCTCCTCGTTCGCAACCCTCACCGTCGCCACATACCAAGTCAAGCGAAACAAAATATTAGAAATCTCATCAAGATAAACTAAATTTTGCAAAAATTTGATATCATAATTACAGTTCCTTATCATAGATAGAATTTTCCATTTTTACGCTTACACTTTGCGTTTTCATTGGCATGAGCTTCGGCGACCGAGTTTGTAGTAAACCGAGCGCAAGTAGAAGTGTCTAATATTAGTGTTGCACGCTAAATAAACCGGCGGGCAGGCGGCGCGCTCCACTCTGCTAATTCTAAAGCCGACTTGTAGTCATTAACTTTATTTATAAGCTAATCCCGTTGCTCTCTCGCGACAAAAGAAATAACAAAAGCGTGCTGCAGAACAAAAAAAAAATTAAGGCCACTGTCGGTGTTTTTTGCAAAGGTACGCAACCGGCTGCACCGACGTGCCGTGCCCGTTGCATAACCCAAAGATAAAAAAATTGTCCTCATTTTCATAGAAATTGAAAAAAATTCTCAAAATTCGAAATATAAGACAATCATTTCAAGCGTTTGCAAAGTTTTGCAAAGGAATAATTAAATATAGTTTGTGGAACCTTTTCCTAAATACTTTTTTTGAAAGTTGAGTTCATAAGCTATAATTTTTTTCCAAAAGGTTATAATTTTTGTATAGAAAAATTGCTTGTCAATTTTATCAAGAGGCCAATCGAGATGCCAGCTTTCATGTTTAAAATGATAATTAAAGCTAAAATTGATAAAACTAATGAATTAAAATAGTTATTAGGTAGAGCTTCCCTTCCACAAACTCTAAAAAGGGCAAAGGCTGACAAGTTTTTTACGTTTTGTTCAAATTTATTCGTCGTATTTTTAACAGTTTGAAAAGCGTGAATTGCAAGTAGCACGAAATAAGGTGTTTTTATTTCATTGGCATTCGTCTACGACAAAGTTGCTCGTCCAAATTGTAGAGCGAAGTTGAGCCAAGTCAGTCACTCGCACCGAAGGGCAATTGGCAGTCGGGTGTGTGCGTTTCGCGAGTGACTCCAACTGCTGGAAAACAGAGCCAAGTCGCTGGCTGGAAGGCTGATTCGGCAGTGGCGGCACGTTTAGACTTGGCAGCACCTGCAGCCCACTCGCCCTAGCAAGAAATCTCATTTTCCGAGCGTTTATCAAAAGCTCGAGGAAATTCAAAGAGAGATGATTAAATATTTGCCTTCGCACAGAACTGCTTACAGCGATAAAATTTCACTCAGCATCCTTGCACGGAATAACATATTTTCCCCGAGTGAGATTTTTTTGCCTCAAGAAAAGTGGAGTAATTTTTTCCTGCGACTCCTCTTTCTTTCTTGCTTTCTTTCTTTAGAAAGAAGGAAAGTGTATATTCTGGTCCAGCGGTGGAGTTGCTTTTAACCCGAGTAGGTCTGCTGCCAGCTTTTATCTGTGCGCCTCTGTCGTACTTGGCCCCCGAGGGCGTGTTTCTACTTTTTACGACGGCCGGAGAGAAAGAACGCTGAGCCGATTGCCGCTCGTAAAACGCGCGCGCGCTCGCGATTTACTTTCGAGACAAGCGATCTCTGCATACGCAAAAGGAGGATTTCGCTCCAAATTACGACGAGAGAAGAGACGGACGATTCGAAGCCCACCAAAGACACAAACTATTCCGGAAAGCACATTTAAGACTTGAAAAAAAGAGAAACGCCGAGCTCAAAAGTAAATTCAAGAGCATTGTCTGGACTCATCATTAAAAATAAGAAAAAATACCATAAAATTTAAAAAAAAAAATAGTTGTTCAATATAGATTTTTATTCTAATGTGCTCAAATGTTCCTTTTTTTTCTTTTTTTTTATATCATGATTTGATTAAGAAATTATTTAATTAAATATTCAATTGAAATGTCTAATTATTATAAATTAATCGGGTTGCAAATTTCTAAACGCAATGTTCATGAAGTTTGCAATTACAAAAATTAAGATCTTGATAGTTTCCGTTTTTTTTTTTATTATTAATAAAAAGCAATTAAATTCAAATAATTGTTCTTGCATCAAGAGTCAAAGAAAGTCACTTAGATTTTCTTTCCACTTGGCCGCCGATCAGCGGCAAATTGGCCGCATTGTTTTGCTCTTTTTTTCCGAGTTCTAATTCCGTCCCAGGTCGCTAATTAGCAATCGCACATCGCCACCAGAGCCTTTGTTATTTTATTATTTTATTTTTGAGACTTGGAGCAAAGTAAAAATGGTGGTGTCTCGTTTGTTGGCAGGTATGCGGTAAAGTGTTTGGCAACGCGTCGGCGCTCGCCAAGCACAAGTTGACGCACAGCGACGAGCGAAAGTACGTCTGCAGCATGTGCGGAAAGGCTTTCAAGAGGCAGGACCACCTGTGAGTACATCCATCGCCTTATTTCATTAGCGCCCTCTTTTAGCTCCCTATTGTTTTTCTTTCCACCAGTCATCACTCTACGTTTGTACTAAAATAATCCTCTTTAAAGGACATTGCAAAACTTTTCGTTGCGTAAAGGGTTATTTTTAATGTGATAGAAAAATGCCAAATATTGACATTTCAAGGATTCAATTAATTAAAATATAGTATTATTTTGAATTTATAATCATTGATCATTGATTTAATTCAAAAAATATATTTAATTGAAATAAAGGAATAAATAAAAAGATTTGAGTGAAGGTAAAGACCCACATTGGTATTTATTTTTATTCATGCATATGAAAAAAATAGTAAAAATCGTTGAAAATTATTTCATCTTCTCCTGCCCAGAGCAATTGAACCAGGGGAAATGAAAAGAGTCCAGATTTTTTAATCAAATTCAGTTTTATCTTCCCTGAAAAGGTTTGAATTCATTTTTGGCGGGAAATACAGATCAAATTCTATGCTTTGTTAGGGGGATCGCAATTTCAACATCTATCATCAAATTTTTCAAAAAAAAAAAAAAAAAAAAAAAAAAAAATACTTGTGCGATTCTTTAAACAATATAATTATACCTTTTATTTTAGTTTTAATGACTTTTTAAATGAAACAAAAATATTCCAGTTTTGATTATTTTTTGTTCTGAATTTGTGTGAAACGGAGTTTGTGATTTTGGCAGGAACGGCCACATGCTGACGCACCGCAACAAAAAGCCGTTCGAGTGCAAGGCCGAGGGTTGCGGCAAGTCGTACTGCGACGCGCGCTCGTTGCGTCGGCACACGGAAAACCACCACACGACGCCCGCCGGGGCGGCGAGGGCCACCCCCAGCACGGCGGCCGCCTCCGAGGAGGCCACCTCGTGCATCCAGTATGCGCCCCCGCCCCCGCCGTACCCTTCGACCTCCTCGAGCAACTCGCCCGAGGCCGCGGCCGCCGCCTCGCCTAGTCAGCTGCAGCAACTTTTGTCCTCGCCGTCGGCCAACGCCTCGCCCAACAGCCCCTCCACCTCCAACCAGGTCGGTGCTCACAAATTTACTTTCCAAAGATTGTAAATCAAATTATATTTTATGCAAATTTTTAACATTTTGAAGAAAAGATTCAAAAGATTTAATCATGAAATTATCCTTTCAACAGTTTTTGAAATTTATGTTCGATGAAATTTAGTACCTTTTCCTTAAATATTGTGGATGTTTCGTTGTCATCTGAACCACGATTTTCGGTCGCTTTTGGTCTTGAACGTTTGCACACCGGGTGCATCTGGCGTGGGCACGCGTCGGTCGCACGTGCCCCCGCATCCACCCGCTCGAAGGAGACCCTCAAACCCTGGGATTAGAGTGGACGGAGGAAAACCGCGCGCGCTCGCCGGAATAATAATTTGAGGGTGCGAAAATCTCCCATTCTTGAATTTTGACACCACCCCAGTCCTGGTAAACCAAGTGGCAATCAACTGGAAAATACTGAAAGTTTGCAAAGACAAGGCAAAAAAATATTTATAGAAGCAATTTATTGATATTCGCTTGTGAAAATGGCATTAAAAAAGGTTCTCCAAGTAAGGTAATATTACGGTTTACTATTTACTAAAATGAAATTAATCATTTTCTGACTAACAATTCATACCTGCCAAAAATATTTCTGTGGCCCTAAGTGACCTTTAATTTTCCCCCACCATATTTAAATAAACAGATTTGATCACTGCCAACTTCCTCAATTATTCAACTGCATTAAATATCAATTCAAATTAATTCTACATTAATATTTTTTTGCAATTTGCAAAAAAGCATGAATTTTAAGGGATAATAGATAAGTGACCATGAAGAGAAATAAACCAATTCACTTTTAATTACTAACTGCTGATTTAACCAAATCGTACTATTCGTACTTGATTGATTATTTTTATTTACAAGAGAAACCAAAATTATTATCGTCATTTGAATTTAAATAAACATTTAAGGCGGCTAGAAGCGCAGACATACTTTAGAAATAAAGCAATAAAAATTCAAAGTATAATTATTTGTCAAAATTAAAGTTTTATTCTTTGGCCTCTTAATGCTTTTAGTCTTAGTTGACACTTTTAAGGCGAATAGAAGCGCCTTAAACAATAAAAAAAAATTCACAAAAACCCATCAAGGAAAAGCCCAATTTAAATTCCATCACCATGAATCAACCCTCGATCGTGAACTTCTAAAAAAAATATTAAACATTCTAAATAAGATCTTCATTAACGTATGGAAGTTTTTCCTCGGATATTCTTTGTTTCAGCACAGAAAATATTTTTTCGGTCTTTGCTCCAGCAGATCATGTACATATAAAATAAAAAAATTTATGAATCTTTTAAATTGATACATAATTTCGAAATTTTATTTATTAGTAGCAAAAATAATTTTTTTAAAGGCGCAAGCGCAAGTTGTTTTAATGTGCCATCCAGAAAGACTGTCTAAAATTTTAAATTAACTTAAAATTATTGGCATAGTCGACTCAAACAACAGCAGCCATTTTATCTTAGAAAACAGTTGGAAACCATTGTTGTAAAGACTTGATTTGACCTTGTCAAGGTAAGAGACTTAATAAATTAAATGCCAATGCGATGATTGAAACAAGTTTTTCTGTCGTTTCATGAATGAAACGCACGCAAGGAAGAATCGTTGCAACAATGTTTGCCAATCAGAAGAATCAGCTTAATGGAAAAATGCAATTTCCGCTTGGGGGTTCTTTGTTTTGTTTCCATTACCATTCCTCTCGTCCCTGCTGCTTCAAATGCCACCCCGAAATTGATTGCTTTCATGCTAAAAAGCAAGCGTTTCATTTCAAAATGAAAATACCACGGAAATTCAGAACTATTTTCATAATTATGCAATAATATTCTTACGAATGGAGAACAAATTAATAATAATTAAGAAATTATGACAAAATCAGGACATTTTATTTTTAATATTGATCTAACTTGACATTCTTGCCTAGTATGAAATTAATATTTGTAATCGCTGGTGGTTTCCAATCTGACAAATCCGAGCGTCCCCGAACAAGACTCGGAGCTGCGATTCGTAATGTTCATACGTATTTGCATTGCAATCAGCAATCAGAGCGTTCACGAGATAAACAAGGGTGGAACAAAGGGTAATTAGAGTGCGGGGCGAGCGCACGGCCGGCCGGCCGGTCGGGTTGCCCGCCCAGCCCATGATTAATTAATTGGGCCGGCCGCAAATCAAATATGCCGGGCTGATTGCGCGAGAGTTGCACTACACAGGCCAGAGAGAGATGCAAGAGTCGATTTATTGCAGCCATCACGAGGCACTGCAATGGCTGCCTTTTATATTATGCATGCGCGATTATGCAAAGTGGCGCGCTCGCTCGGCATCATCCTTTGTCTCTATCCGGGGGCGGAGCAGCTCATCTCGCCACGCCAAATTAAGACCGTTATAAAAGCTGCTTTCCACTCAAGAAGGAAATGAAAAATTATGGAGAAGAGAGATGGAAAACTTTTGCCACGCGGGAATAACGCAACTCCTCAGCGCAGTTGAATTTGTTTGAATTACAACTGATCGAAGAGGATATAAAGGGGACAAATTTTTCAAAGAAAATTCGTTGAAATTAACAAATTGAAAACATTTTTAATTTCTTTAAGATGTTTTCTTTTGTTTGAATATATTCTCAAAATTTTTTGAAAATATTTAAATGTTAAATTATTAATTTTTTCAGGCTGCAAGTCCCGGTGGCGAAAGCGAAGCGACCGACGGCCTCACGAGACAGCACCTCGAACTCATCCAGCAAATCATGCAGCAGACGCAGCAACAAGCGGCCGCAGCAGCGGCCGCCGCGGCCACCAAAGCCGAAAAGCCGGTCAAGAGCCGCACGTGGACCGCCTCGCAGGTCAGTTGAAATTCTAACAATTAATCTACAACGGCGCTTTTTATTTTAATCCATTAAAAAAAAATTTAATAAATTTTTCATCTCTAATGTTGTTTTGTCATTGGTAATTTTAACAAAATTAAAATAAAACTGCAGTTTATATTTTGTTTACATGCAGTGAAGAATCTAATTACAGTTGAAATGTTGCAATAAGAAAGTGAATTTTAAAAGCTATTTTTAAAATAGCAGCAGATTTTTATGAATTTTGGCAACAGAGAATCTTTCGTATCAACTTCATGAGTCAATTAGAATCTTATAACCAAGTGTCATTCAAAAAAATTTGTGAAAGATGCATTTTCGTGCAACTTATTAATTAAATAATAATTTTACACCTTGTTTAAATTTACTTTCCAAAGCTGATCCAACAAGATGTAAATTTAAATTAAATTCTTTTAAATTTCCTCTAATTTGATCGAAAAAATCGGCAATATTAGTTTTTTAATTTTCTCAATTTTTTACAGAAAAGGTTGCATTGATAAATTTTTATTTTTCGCTGCATAATTATTATCGCGATATATTGTTGAGAGTATTTTATTTGCGTCAGGAAAGGGGTAGTCTTACGAGTTTCATGAATGGTGAAAGGCGCGCGGTCCAGTCCGCGATGCTGCCACTGGTCAAGTGGGTTTTTCTTTTGGTTCGCGGCCGCGTCAGTCGGGTGGCGAGTGCTGAGAAAAACGGTCTGTGCGTCCCTCTCTCATCACGCATAGAGTGTCCGCGAAACAGCAGGTATATAAAATTCTCAAAATTTTATTGCCGTCAGAAATTGAGTTTTGCAAAGCCAGCGAGTGGGTTTTGCGCAGTAATTAAAAGAGCGATTAGCCTGGCAATAACAATCAGGACCACGCAAAATTGCCGTCGCCAAATCGAATCATGTGCGCAACTAATGGGTCGGCCGGAAAATTGCAAACTCGGCTTTTATTAAATTTTCATTGCTTTTGTTTTTGGCACACACAAAACGCGTTTAGTGGTTAATTTCAAAGAATAATTATTTTGTCAATAAACCTTTTTTTCTATGATTTTTATTCCAAGAATTTTAGCTAAAATTATAGGTTAAAAATTAAAATCTGACTATTTTCTTTTGAGAGGATAAAGAACCTTTTTCTGTATTCACTTCCTTCCCCCCCCTTTTTTTTTGATTGAAGAAAAATGCTTCAAGTTTTCTTATTGAAAGTTGTGCTGGTGACACGTCCGCTTACTCTTTCTCTCTCCAGATCCGTTCCGCTGCGGAAGAAAAATTTCTTTCTTTATTCTCGCAAAAAGCCAATTTCCTGCGCGTGTGCCTGGCAGTGCTGGAAACAAGTCCTCTCCTTTGAGCTCAAAACTTCTCTCGTCGGAATGCATTTAATTAGCGCATAACTGCGATCATTTCGGAGCGTAAATAATGTGCACATTGTTGACGCTTGAAAAAGTTGGAGCCAATTTTCGGACGGGGTTTTGCGCGTGGCGTGTCGTAATCCCTGTCGGCGACCAAGTTTTGATGGAGATTCTCCGTAATCCGCAAAGCTCGTCCGAACTTGTCGGTTCGAGATTATTTTACGGGCAGATTAAAATTACGCGCGCCTTGTTATTAGTGAAGCAAAGCACGACGTGATCCCTCGGCAGCAAGATCAAGCCGTCAACCAATCGCAATCAGGCTTTAGGCATTAATTAAAAAAATTGACTTTTCGGCCTCTACGTTGAAATTCAATTAAATTCGTTGATCTTTTATTCCCCCACAACAAGTCAATAGCAATATGGGGAGAAAAATATTAAAATTGAATTGTAGGAAAATTAAAGATAATTCATGAATTCTGATTTAATTAAGGAAATCTTTCCAAGTGGTAGAATTAATTTATTTGAATTTTTAATAATTCCATTCAAGGAATTTTTCTATATAATAATTCCATATTGAGATTAAAATAATTTTGCTGTCAATTGTTTTTAATTAACATAAAACGGCAGAAATATTTCAAGCATTTTTTCTCCAACTAGGACGAATGTTTATAAACAATAAGTTCCTGCTCTACTTTCTTTTTCAGAAAGAGTTAAAAAGTTTTCTTGAACGAGTGATTAATTTATAAATCGTATCAGAGAGAAACTTGCAACTTTCAAAATTACTGCAACTTGACTATTTCGCGTCAGAGTAAAGAGAATATACTTGACCGAGAACGAAAGAAGGCGACCTCGCCGAGCAAATTGGATTTCCAGAGCTTAATCAACGACAATGCAGCGCTCGGCAATTAATCTCGCTGACGATTAATTCAATTAGTCGGCTGTAATTAATTATTCCGCGCCTGCCTTTCCTCCGCCCGCCGAGCTGCAGGATTAAAAAGCGCGAAATTAATGCGCGAGTGGGCGGAAGCGAAACAGCCGAATCAAGAAAATCAGCGCCTCGCAGCGACAATCGCGAATTTAATTATTGCCAAATTAGGGGCTCAGCCCGAACACGAGACAGAGGAAATTAATCCTGCAAAATTTGATTTTCCGCATCGACAAAAACCGTTGGCAACAGCAGGCGCTCAAATTTGCTCGTATGAAACAGAATTAAAATCAAATTATTTAAAATTCCCAGTGTAAACTCTAATTAACTCATAAAAGCTGAATTTCAAAAGTCTTTCAATTTACATCAATTCCGTAGTAATTTTTATTTGTTATTTTTAGAACATTTCGCAGAAATTTTTTCTCATTCAGGACTTGTTTTTTCCTCACGGCTCATTGATTCCGTTTGCACACGTGGGACGCTTTCTTTCTTGTAAACAAAGAGCCCAATTAAGGTGGTCGGTTTCGTTTTCACTCGTTTTTATTTTTTGCACGATTCGTTTTTCCTCTGCTGCTCACGGCGGTGTTGAGTTGATTTGCATTTCGATCGCCCCTCGCCTCTCCGCGCCCCTCGCACATCTTTTGAATATTCAATTCTTCCCCCGGCCGGGAGCGCGTGCGACTTGTTTTCCTTTTTTACTCAAGAAAGAAAGAATGAAAGAAAACGAGAGTATTCGGTGCGACCCTTTTCCGCCTCTCATTAATTTCCGCATCAAGAACAAAAAATTAACGACGATCGGCCGCAAAAAAATGTGCTTTTAATTCCGAACGCAAAAAAATTTACGGCACGTGCCCGCGTTGGCCTTTTTGTTAATGAGGGGTGAATGATTTTTTTTTTTTTGCCTCGTTCGAATCAAAAGTTTCGGATAAATAATTGACGGTGAAAGGGAATTGTTTTTCAAAATTAATGAGTTCCTCGATAAAACCTGCTGGGTCAATAAATATTTTTCTGGTGAAAAATTCGATCGATTCCCATGCCGGTCGAAACGAACCACCCCTTTCTTTGCTCACCCTTGCTCGGACCGGACCGGACACGCTGGACCGCCGCGTTAAGAAAACCCGTCTCGGCGCGGCATCCCCCTATCTCTCTTCGGAGCATCTGCCCGGTCTGTTTCCAACTCGCTCTCCGAATATTTCACGACATCAAAAGAAAATTTCGCTTCTCTCTCTCTCTCTCATGAATAATTGAGTCTTTTTCTAAAAGCTCTTTCCAAATTGGGGCTTATTACTCTTTGCGCCTCGCGGCTCAAACTCTGGTGCGGAAAAGGCATCGCTAATGAAGTTATGCGCTCGAGGATTTTGCTGTTTTTTTTTACTCATCGCCGGCTTAATCAGGGGGCGTCGCGAGAGCATTCAAGAGAGCGCAACAAACGAGAAAAGTTGCCAACTTCAAAGCCGCGCGCTTCTTTTTTGATAAAGCTCCCCCCACATCGATTTTCGTCGCTAAAAGTTTTGTGCTAAAAAAAAAATACTAGCTTTGACGTAAAAAGCTTTTAACATTTGAAAATAATAACAGTGGGATTAATTTTTACAAACGAAGTCCTTTTTTAAAAGCTTAAGCTAAGTTTTTAATAAAAACAAATAATGTTTTACCTGTAGAATAAATATTTTTAATTTGTTTTAAGAAAAAACAAGTCTGGAAAAGGATAACAAACCTAATCAAATAATATAAATATATTGCCTTATCAATATATTACGATAAATCAATAAACTAAAATTAGAGACACTTATTTAAAAAACGCGCAAGTTGTTACAAAATGATCTTGTACAACATGAAGTTAAATTTATAAATCAACAAATACTAAATTTAATGATGATTTTGTTTTGAATGAAATATTTCTAATGAATCTAATGATCTTCACGATTATATCTAAAAATTTGAACAGACAAACACGATGGATGGGTCAGCAAAGAATTCAAATATCACATCCACTTTTGATCCTTCGAGTTGCTTCTCAGACTCGAGAGGGTCTTTCCCCTGAAAATAATAATAATTCACCTGCGCCCGATCGAAACTGGTCGCGCGCGAATTAAAATGAATAAAAACGGCTCTGGACCCGTTCGAAATTGAAACGCATGTGTGAGCGTGAGAAAGAAACTCTCTCAGCTGCTGCCGGGGTGCGAGGCATCATTAGATTAGATTTGCGCCGAAAACTGGATATTCTCGTCCCCTCTCCGGGCGCTGATTTCATTAGAGATGAATATAAAACTCTTCTTTTTGTTGCAGAACGCGGCGAGTGCGGCGGCCAAGACAACCTCGGCCCAGGCCGCCCCGGCGGCCAACAGCGTCGACCCGAAACCTGTCGAGTGCAACCTCTGCCACCGCAAGTTCAAAAACGTGCCCGCCCTCAATGGTCACATGCGACTGCATGGCGGTTACTTCAAAAAGGTAATTTCCGATTTAAATTATAGTAAAAAACCTTAAGATAAAAAAAAATCAAACTTCATAATACAGAAATAAATAGTGGAAATGATTGAGAAAAAATTAAAAATAAAAACCAAGGGATGGAATAAAACAATGGGTTTTTTAACTTTCAAATAAATTAATTATTCAAATTGAAAACACCAAAATATTTTTTCTGAAAAATTTAAATGAATTGAAACATTCCTCAAGTTTTTTTCTTTTGAAACAATAAAATTGCAGTTTTTATCTTCTAAAGAGAATTTCATTCAATAATTATTTAAATTGTTATGTTTTTAAATGAACGCAGGACTCTGAAGCAAAAAAGACAGACAAGAAAGACTCAGCTGGTCCGCCGCTGCAGACGGCCAGCGTGAGCGTTCGGGCGCTCATCGAAGAGAAAATCATCCAGAAGCGAATCACAAACCCGTCGCTGCAGCAACAGGCCTCGTCGGCGCCGAGCAGCGGCGCCACCACCCCGGCGGCCCCGACCGCAGCAGCCTCGCTGACGCCGCCAGCAACCTCCTCCACGCAGAACGGTAACTTTGCAAAACCACTTTGTCTTTTGCCAAAACGATTTGCGGTCGCTCCGAGTCAGCGCTGCGGTTTCTCTGCCAGAAGCACAGAACACAGGAAAATCATTTTCGTTTCAAATTATACATATTTAACTTGTGCAGAGTGAACAACTTTCATTTGCAAGGATATTGAATTTTTCATATCTTATTTTGAAAGTCTGATATATGACATAAAATAAAAAATTGACAAGTCTATTTTATTTTATTTACAATAATTAAAAATTTATAAAATATCTCTGATTTTGTTTGAATCAAAATTATTTTTTATATAAAAGAAAAATTAAATCGCTTTTTGACAAGCACGATTTTTTTATTGCCGTTTTCATAAATTTATTTAAAAGTAGTTCAAATGTCATAATTAATTAGCTTTATTAGTTTTTTATTGAATTAATTTGCATTTCTTTTAAAAAAAATAAATTATTGTATAAAAACAAAACTATATTTTAGAAATAATATATAATATTACGATTGCAGACCTTGAATACGAAATTTTCAGTTTATTATTTTTAATTGTATGAAATTTAGAATGTTTATAATTAAAATTGGCGACTTTTGTGCAATTTTTTATTCAGGAGGAAGCACCGCTTCTTCTGGCGAAACGTCTGCCTCGTCCAGCACATTCCCCGCGGCCGCGGCGCCGCCCCCACAGTACCCGGCCGGCGCCAAGACGTTTGTCTTGCCGACGGCGCCGTCACCGGGCCCGCCGCCTGAAAAGGTGCGGCGCCACTCGGACTCATCAGAGCCGTTCGAAAGCGTCGCGATCAAGCGCGAGAGGTCGTGCGGCGACGCCACGACCTCGGTCGCCAGTCCGCTGGCGCTCGCCATCGCCGCTGAACTGGCCGAACAGGCCTCCGCTGGCGCCGCCAGCTTCAACCTGGCCGCCTTCACTGGCGCCGCCGGAGGCGCCACTTTCTTCAACCAGGATGACGTGTTCCAGCAGGTGCCAGAGGCGGTGCTTCAGCTTGCCGAGTCCATCCAGGTCAGTTCATATTATCTTTAAATTAATTTATTGTTTGCATTTGAAATTTCTGTTACAAAAATATAGCATTTTTTTAACTGAAACTAGAAGTTTAAGTAATTTTCTTTTAAATTATAAGGCAATGAAATTGTAAATTCTTTACTTGAAATAAAATTAGAAAAACCTAACAAAAAGTGATTTAAGGAATTTGAGATTCATTAAAATTCTTCACTGCCTTTTGTATTTGAAATGCTGCAATTCTCAATTTCTTATTTTTACAATTTAATATTTTGCATTTTAGTTCCAGGCTGAAGATATGGCCGCGCTTGACGACTTCCAGAGTGCGGACACGAATGGCGAGGCAGCCGTTTTCAGTTCTCAGAACGGCGACGCCACCGGCCAGGAGTCAAACGATTTCCCGGCGTTACAGTCGGTGACTCTGGCCGACATTGCCGCTTTCAGCGCCGTCGCCTCACAGAAGGACTTTGAGTTCTCACCTTCGGCGCAAAAGGATGGCCAAACTGTGTTCGCCTTCTCGCCCCAACATAGTGTAAGTGTCCAATTATTTGAAGTATAATTTGGAAGAGTGAAAAATATTAATGGTTTCATTTCGAATCTGTGAAAGTTGAAATCAGACTTCATTTTATGAATCATAATCCAAGAGTTTTTTGCAAGCAGTTAGCTTAAAAAAAGAAACATGATTTCAAAGTGGTAAAATTAAGTTTGAATGAGAGATAAGAAAAAAAAATTAGGATTTTTTTAAACAAGAACAGCAAAAATTTCAAGAAAAAATCATAGTATGAAGCTGTAAGCTCGGCTTACTAAATGAATTTCTACAATTTATGGTTGAAAATTCCCCATGATTATGTTTTTTATTTTCATTAATTCCCCCATTAAATATTTTGCTTCAGAATTCAGAACATGAATTTTTTTTACCGCTAGTCACCTTTTGGAGTCAGTTGTCTTTTATATTTTCTGCGAAGCTAAGCTGGTTTATTCCGTGAAATATCTGCGTCATGTTCATGTTAACTTCCAATTTAATTCCTCTGTGATAAGCATTGACTTTACTTTTAAATCTAATCTTATAAAAATCATAAAATTCCCCTTTCTTTGCAGTCAAAGGACAACGGCGGCACTTACAACTTTTCACCGCACACTACGTCACCGCTGCCATCGCCGTTGCAGGGCCACGACTCACCGAGTTTCGCGTACCCAACCCCACCTGCGAGCCAAGAGGGTCCAACCTTTGGACTTCTGCAGGCGGCGCCTCTTGGTTCACCGCACGGCGCCGCCGACTCAACGTTCGCATACTACGCGGGCGCTTTGTCGCCGTCAGCTGCGGCCGTCGAGGCGGCGCTGAATGAGGTGTTGCCGGGCGACGCCTTTTCGCGATCGCACCAACACGCGTTGTTGTACCAGGCGGCGCCAAGTGGCGCCGACGCATCATCAGCCGCGGCGTCACCCCTCTCGGCAACGTCCGTGGCATCACCTATGTCCAGTGTGGCGGCGCCTTCGTCTACGGCCGCGTCACCGGTGGCGCCGTCGGGTGGCGGCGCCGCCTTTGCGCTGCAGATGATGCCCAACTCGGACGACCCTTTGTTGTCGAGCAGCCCGAAGGACTTTGGAGGCAGAAAAAGGTTCGACTTTGGGCTGTTGCGCGGCGCCGCCGGCGACGCCACGGCCATCCTCAGTGGCCTGGGCCTCGTCCTGGAGAACAACGGCGAGCTGCGCTTCTACCCGACCTCGGGGACGGCGTCACCGTCAGTGACGTCGACCACCTGCACCAACCTGCAGCAACAACAGCAGCTTAAGCGACCCAAGGAGGAGCTGGACGACGCCGATCTGTTCCTCAGCCCGTCCAGCGTGGCGCCGCCGACGCAGGCCCTGCCCCGTTTGAAGCGCCCCCGGCCGCGCCCCGACCCCCTCTTCATCCCGGCGCCGCACGAAAAGTCTACGGTGGCGCCACGGGGGCCTTTGCTCTTTAAGTCGCGTCTCAGGGCGCCCCGACTCAAGTCCATCAACAGCACCTTCACGCCGCCACCCATGCTCGACCCCTGTCGCAATGGCGCCGGCCTATTCCACAACCTCAAAAGTGAGTTTGACAAAAATTATTTATCCTCAATTCAATTGATACAAAGAGTTTTTAAAAAATATGAATAATGATATATGAAAATTAAATGTTCTACCAAATTAAAAATTTGTCAAAAAACGTTGACTCTGCTTTGGTACATTGACTACTTTTTTGCAATCATTGCCATTCAATTAATTTTTATATTTCTAAAGTGTTAAGCTTTTGAAGAATTAGACCTTATAAATTTTTCAATAATCCAATGACCAAAATTGTAAACTTTAAATTAATCAAATTAATTGTGTTCGCAGATGAGCCTAACAGCAGTGCTACTACTGAGGACACTGCGATGGACACAGATTCCATGCCACACATCAACATCAGCCACAGACATCAGGTAAAACGCATTTGAAATTTAATTGGCTGCTTACCACTTTTTTACTGCTCGATTTTCTTTACATAGCTCCGGCTTTTAAAATAATTAGTATATATAAATTAAAACTCAGATCTCATTGTTTTTTTTTTTTATGAATATATCTCTGACTTTGCATCCTGCAAACAAATCTTTAACACACAAAAACTATTCTTTAATTTATTAACTATTTGATTTTTGCTGCATAAAAAAAATAAAGCTGTTGCGTTAAATATGCTATTAAATAAATGTAATTTAATGTTCCATTTTTATGTGTGTTTCTGTATTTTCCAGGTTTCGTACATCCCACCTTGTGAGCCGTGCAAAGAAGTGGCGCACATGGAGTCTTCAAGAGAGCATTTGTTGTGGAATCCGGACGTCCGAGCCTCGGAGGGAGAAAGTGAGTCCAAAATTGCTTTCTCTTCAACTCCTTTTTCCAATCTCATTTTACGACAGTCTCCTGTAAAAACTTTTTTGATCATCGTTAAGGGCGATTAGAACGTGCAATTTCATTGCATCCTCATTAACCCGAGCACTTTTTACTTTCGCTTTTATTGCTTTTCCAAGTAATTAGGACAAGTGTTGGCAAAAGAGGCAGGTAGTGTCTCTTTTCAACTTGAATCTGAAATAAGAAATGAGCACTTCAATACTTTTGTGTAAAATTACCATAAAAACCGCCTTACCTGAATTTCAAAATTATTTTGACCCACCAGTTGACATGTACTTGGAGTTTGCCTGCTGCGCCGCGGTGCCAGGAGGCGGTAGAAATAAGGAATACGCCCTGCATTTGCTCAACATGTGCCACGGCAACGTCAAGGTAATGATTTGCCTAAAGTTTCTTTGATATTAAACACAAATCGGCGTGCAGGAGGCGATGCTCAAGTTGATGCAGCCAACGCCGTCGCTGCCGGCCGGGCACCCGCTGCTCAGCTACTGCTACTCGGACTCGGCGCGGTGGGCGCACGACGAGATCGAGGCCTTCCAGCAGGCGCTGCTCAGACACGGAAAGGACTTCCGAAACGTCGCCAAAGACGTCTGTCTTTTATATTTAACAAATTTAAACTTTTACTGAACTCATTTGCGCAGGTTTCAAGTAAGAGTGAGGTGCAGTGTGTGCAGTTCTACTATTTCTGGAAGAAGGTTTGTCCCGAGGAGTACCAGCGGCTCAAACTGCTGCGCCAGAGGACCGAGTTGGCCTTTCTGAGAAGCGTCGAGCTGGACGAGCTCACCAATGACAAGCTCGCCTTCCAGGTAAAATCAGGCAAAAAATTTAATTAACTTTGGAGGACAATCATATAAAATGCAACTTGCTTAACTTTTATGCCCAACAGGTTGCCTAAATTTTATAAGAATTTTCCCATTTTTTAAATAAAAAAATGCAAAATTTTTAAGTCATAATTTGAGAATGAAATTTCCAACGTGCTTATATATAGAAAAGAAATTCTTATTTTTTTTTCCAAAGGTGCAGCTGCAGCCGAGTGACGCCGAAGTGATCTCAAGCACGTGCTCGGCAGACACGCGCCTCTTCATGTGTGAATACCCTGACTGCTCAGCCGTGAGTTTTGCAATCAATTTAAATTATAGAAACAAGTTATTAATGAGCTAGAAAATTGTAGCTTTGACTTGTATTTGAAGAGTGATGTAAAGAATAAATTATTATTCTAGATATCCAAAAATACTCCTTGATTAAAATAATAAATTGTCAATATTAAACATTGAAAAATAAAAACGTCAGTGAATTTGCAGCTCTGTAATGAAAGTTAAAAGTGATAATATTGAATTTTAATTTTTAAATTTGAAAATTCAACCGTCTTTTTTTTTATTAAAACATATAATTTTTTTAATGCAATCAAATAACCATTGATAATTTTTAATTTGAAATTAATTTTGGGTAAATTGTTTAACCTCAAATTAATAAATTTACAATTTCTCTTGCTTGTTTTGATAATTTTTGTATTCTTTGTGCAGAGTTTCAACTCGCGGGCGGCGCTGAACGGGCACGTGCGCATCCACGGTGGCAACGGGCGACGCTCGCCGACGCCCGACGGCTGCAAACGCGTCGCGAGCGGGACGCCGCCGATCGAGGGCCTGAGCGAGGAATTCCCTTGCAAGGTGTGCGGGAAGTAAGTCACTGAAATCAGTAGCACGCGCGGGGCGCAGGGCAAAACTCTCTCAAGCTCTCTCTCAGGCGCGCAGAGGTAAATCCGAGGACCCAGGCTGTTGTTGATTGACCATGATGATTATATATGCAACCAATCGCACACACTCATTCTCTTCTCTCTTTTTTCATTTCCACACTCATGTCGTACTATTGAAAGGGATGTGCAATAAAATTTTTATTGGCAACATAAAACCACAGAATTAAATCAACAATCTCCAAGTTTATTTTTAATTTCAATTTGCTAAAAAAAATTATTCTTGTTCAAATGCCAATTGCACGTCTCTCCAGTAAGACTATTTCCGTGTGTCTCTGATGGCTGTGTTAATTACTCTCCACCGCACAACAACACACATCTAGTTCTGTCTCACTCTAATTTTTTTTAATTATCTCTGGAAAAAAGCCTGCGGCCTGATACCTCGACCCTTATTTTCTCCCACATTGGTTGATTTAAAAATTTTGAAAACGGTTCAACCGCGATCTCTCTTTCTCTCACTAACACTCTCGCTCGCTCGCCCGCTAACAGCAACCGAAGAGTGCGATTTTATGATTTGCCGGATTTGCCTTTACAAAAAATATCGCCCTCAAACCCAAAGTAACACACTGGTTGTTGAAATAAAAAAGATGTTTGCATTATATTTCTCTGATGATTTATATCTGTTCTTTTTTCATCGCAATCATCCGCTACCCAGCAGCAAAAAAACTTTCAAATTTTTTTTTTAAATATTTGAATTAAAAGTCCTGATATTATAATTTATGTAACGATTCCAACGTTTTTCAACAAATTTTACTGAGTTATTAACTTTGAAAGCTTTTCGTTTGTTTCCATGAAGGCTTTCAAAGTCAACTCTGCACAAACATAATTTTGTTTAAACTTTAGTCATATAGCAAGAACCAATTGCAATTTGATTTTTTTAAAGTTTTCATTTCTTTTTGCCTTTTGTGGAATTTGGTGTTAGTTTTTGATGTCTCGGATCCGTTTTTCATTTTACCTGCTGCTGGGCGCTCATCTTTTTGGACAAACATATCTTTATATCAGACGTTTTGAAAAGAGACTTGGAAATTTTTGACTCTCCCAAACTCCAGAATGTGTTTTCGAACTTTTGACTAATGTTTCTTTCTCTTCACCTCTTGCTTGCGCAGGGTGTTTGGCAAAATCAAGAGTCGCAGCGCCCACATGAAGTCGCACCGGCCGCCGGACGCAGAGCCGAAGAGGCCCAAGGCGGACAACAACAAAACCACCAACACTAACAACAACAACAACAACAACGGCGGTGGCGACGACTTGGTGCGGCCGTTGCTGACCACGCTGCCCGCCGGCCTGGGCCTCATTTAAAACCAGAACAGTGTCCGCGGCGTCCAGAGCAAAAACAAAACCCGCCACCCAATGATCTTCAGTGTAAGTTTAAGGACCCTCTGCCCTCTCGTGCTCACTCTCCGTTTTTTAATGTCTATCTCTCTTTCTCGCCGTGTTGGTTAATTGGTTGATTGAGACTCTATATGATAAAATTGATTGTTGGTTCGTTCGTATCACACAATAATTAAGTAGAGATGTATATCAAGTGTTTGCCCCTCGACGTGTTGTGCGGGAAGAGAAAGGCCGCAATTTTCGTCGTGTTATACAAATTGATGTGTACTTGATCGATTCCGAAGCATTTAAAAGACTCTCCTTTCTCTCGTCGTTTATTTGTTACTGACGAGGAAGAAGACGAAGAAGAAAATTTAAACTGGTGTGACAGGGATGAAATTCAACCAAAAGTAAGCGACACAAACACACACACACACTTGCTGCCTTTTTGCGCTCTGATGGTAGCGAGGAGAATTTTTAAAAATCCGCGAAAATTTGGAAATTTACAATCCAACACTTATTATGATGTTTCTCCTTTCAAAATTTTTGATGGTTTCGCTGCTCAAATTCGTCAAGAGAGTTTTGCGTGTTTGAAATGAGGAGTCGCCCTCCGTCTTGTTTTGGTTAATTTCCCCTTTGAAACGGAGATCACTACGCGGGCTTTGCATTTTGCTCAAGTATATTTATTGAATTCAAATCCGAGTGTCCAGCCGAGGTGATTATACTTCACACTCTGCTTGCTTCCATTTTTACTTTTCTCGTCGAATTGGATTTCAGCAAAGCCCTTAATTCTTGACAAATCGGGGAAATTAATTGGAAAAACACAATTTGAATCAATGTTCGCTGTTTCTCCCGCGACGAAAGCAGAAAAGTTTTAGACAAGGTTCAAGGAAACTAATCAGTTGGTGGTGCAGAGCGAGGGGATGAAAGTGAAAGTGCCTTGGTCTCACTCACGCAGCACATGTGTTGCAGCCGTAGGAATTATATAATCACGAAAGCCGCGCGGGAATCGAAAACAAGGCCCTGCAAGTTCAAGAAACTCTCTCTCAATGTGTCAAGCAATACTCGTAGCTGTTAAGTGGCGAGCGCGCGTTTTGTTCTCACAAAAATTATAGAAAAACATACTCTCTCCGAATTCAATGTTCTTCTCTTTAAACGAAATAAGAAAGAAAAGTAATCGATGTGCCAAAAAAATCCATAGTTTTTTGAGCTGACACACCGGCAGGTAGTGCGTAGATTGTCTAAAGATAAAAAAGAAAATCCAAATCGCGGAATGCAGAAAATCATCGACAATCCCCCCCGTCGTTCGGCGTCGAAATTGTGTAACTCTCAAAAGTTTTCGTTTCCGCAAAGAGAATTTAACTAATTATAGATTAAATATAAAATAATTTTTTGATTAATTAATTCTCTCTCGATATGGGGTGTCTAGGCCTAAATGTTTGGTGTTCCACGGCATCGTTTCATATATAAATATAATTATTCTTGTAAAGCGAGAATCGATGGTGTGTTTAATTGAGAAAAAGAAACTTTATGGTACATTCTCACACGCACTCGTATGCATAAAATATCATATATTTATGGATTTTAATACGCGGTTATCCATTGAAAATTGGTAGAGCTGTAATAGCACAATCGACTCGTTCGAAATAAGTCAAATCTCCGCGTGCAACTTATATTAAATACTGAACACGCACACGCAGATCTATTTTGGTAAATTCGAGCCACCGACCGACTACTTTCAAGCAAGATAATTATCACGCGCGGATTTTCCAGAATTTCAATAAAAATCAAACACGCATCTAGCTCTCTCTCTATCTCTCTCTCTATATATAAATGTGTGGGAATAAATATTTTTAAATTATATAAAAAAAGTGATCTAGAGTTTCCTGTTAGGTCGGGACGATTTTCGAAGACAGGGTCATCGGTCTCTCGGAATGCAAAAAACAGAATCGGAAAGCAGAAGCCCCTGTCAGCTGCCTGTATCGTAGTGTCTTGTTGTTGATCATTAAAGAAAGAAATAACGTGTGCGAAGATCTCGGGGAAACGATGATTCAACTCCTCTTGCTCTCTCAAGACGCAAAATGGGCGTGCAAAAATTGAAAGCGGAAATTTAAGAGAACAGTTGTAAATGTTGTTAAAGCAGAAAAATTGAATGGTTACCTCTTCTCACCTCTATCACTAGCGCGTAATGGAAAAAAATACAATGTTATATTGAATCTCTCCCGGAATAAGCGGATACAATGTACATGCTGGGATTATTCTCTGTGTATTATAATTATTATTCTCGATGAAGAAGAAAGAACTTTAGAGCGTGTTAAGTGTTTTGATTATCGATTTAAAAGTAATAGGAAGATAAACTGCCGTCAGGTGTAAGTTTTTAATTAAGAAGAAGAAAACCGATCAAACACTGTAGCGGAGAACTCGGAAATTGATTTGCAAATTTCTCACTCTATTCGAGACAGTTGAAGGGAAAATAATAAAGAGAGATTATTTAAAAAAAAAAAGAATTTGCGAAAATAAAAATCGTCGTATTAGATAAATGAGAGATGAAGAAAAATCTACTGTGCCTGCTGGAAATACTCTTGTGCCAACAATCGGAATTAAAGATGAAACATACAAAGAGATATTTAAGAAGATATGATTTAAAATTTAAGGTCAACACTCACACTTCTTGTACGAGACAAAAAGTAAGAAAAAATAAAATAACTCAAAATGCTATATATTATTACTTAACGCCGTATTCTGAGTAAAAATTAAAATACATTAATGGAAAAACGGGATGGAAAATGTTGTTGAACGGAAAAAATAAATGATCTCACAAACAAAAAAGCTGGATGAAAGAAACACACTCACTCACACACACACATTTTATTAATAATAAATGTGGAATTTAAAAGTATATTAGATGATAATAATCGATGTGCAAGGGGTATATATTTATCATACGTCTCTCTCACTCACTCACTCACTCCTCACTCACTCAACACAAACCCGAAAAACTTGAAACTCTTTCTCTCTATCTCTCTCTTTATCGCGTCCGTATGAAATAAAAAAAAAAGAGTGTATCGGGCCGTGTAGGAAAATAAAAGAAATCCACTCGGCAAAACGTTTCTCAGTGGCAAAAAATTTAAAAGTACTTGATGGACAGTATTTTTTATCAAACTCGGAAAATCACAAATAATGTTAATATATATAATTGTCTCTCACGGAAACTTGTTTTATCCGAATTATTTGTTACATTAAAAGACACGCGTTCACAGAGAAAAAAATATTGAATCGTAGATGAGCTATGCATTGATGTGTACAAAAATTTACTACTGCATGTGTATAAAAAAAAAGAATCGACAGAGAGGCGATTGGTGAATCGCGACGCGCCCGCCTGTCGACCCACCCTGATGAGAAAAAAGGCTCAAACACAACCCCCCTGTTTGCGACCCCCGGCGGGACGAGAGACACGTGCGCGTACAAAGCAATAATTTAATCCAAACGATATCACACCGGAATACAAAATACAAATTTTCAAATATACACCTGCTGCTCAAACTCCGCCATGTGTCGAATTTTCCTCCCCTCCCTAAACGCACCCTTAGAAATAATCAGGGTCGGTGGCAGGCGAGCTGCGATTCCGAGTCGCCCAGACACAAAAACAAACCTGTATTCTTTGCTGCCCACCCGAACAAAAACACGGTTTTTAAATGATTGCTCACGAATTTCTCCTCCCTCTTTACATTTTACTCTTGTTTTTTTTCATTTGGAAAATTCTCACTCTCCTTCTCGAGAAGAAGATTAAAAAGGCCTAAAACTCAACATAAAAAAGCAACACGAATTATATAACACAAAAAATATGCACAAAAACGAAGGCTTGCGCAAATAAACAAATTGCAAGAAGGTCTCTTTGTGTAATTTTTATTGAAGGGTTTGAAACTTTTGAAGAAACTAAAATTTTATCAATCGTCCTCACTAAGACGTATGTATTTGCAGACCAGAATTGACGAAGCAGGAAATTACGATTTATCTTAAAAATTTCTGCCGCACTTTTGGTCAAAATGAAACATTTTGTTTGGCAAAAGTTTTCTGACTTTGAAAATAAAAATAATGCTCTAATGGCGGTGCCAAATTTTAAAAACTAATATTTTTAAGTTTTGAAGAGACCCTCCCTTTCTTGACGTGTAAAAGGAATAACTAAAGTGTGTAATTATTACAGCGCTGCCTCGAAATAATATTTTTCTTGCTTCACGCGCAGTTGTACGGATTTTGAATTATACACGAGTTTAGTTGAAGGCTTCATAGTAGGTGCAGGAAAAGGACAAACATATAATTATATCTAGTGGCCAAACGAAAAATTAATTGAAAAACCATGAAACACGCACGGCACATGAAAACGAAACGGGTAATTTTTAATTAATAATCGCGCAAACACGCACTTTTGCAAGCAGAGAAAATAAAATTCACACCTGAAAAGACGGAATGAAGAGACTCTTATGTATTTTACACCTTTCCTTTTCCCTCATTTCATTTTACAATAATCATTTCAAAATATATAATATGTATAAATTGAAATATGTCTGGAAAAAGCGGTAGTTTTTTTCTAAATAATTTTAATAGTTTTCTTGACACACAAACAAACACGCAAGATAATTAACATGTGATTTTAAGCAAAGTACGGAGGTGAGAATTCTATAAACGCAAAATGGCACTAAAAAGGCTGTTTGTATAAAATCGCTATACTTTATACACTATAATTTAGCAAGACGTATTTAACGTGAAAAAATACACGCAACTGCTCACTCGTTATTATTGTACTCGATAATTTCGCGCGTACGAAGAATTAAGAAGAAGTAAAACAAACAAAAAATGAAATCTATCGCTCTAATCTCTCTGCTCTCCCTCTCGGTCTCAGCCAATGTTGAGAGAAGAAAATAATATGTCTGATAATACATATATTTTTCATATGATTTCCCTGCAACTAAACTGATATAAATCACAAATGTGTAATTAAGAAGTATTAAAGAGTTGTAAAAAATTCTCAGAGCTGTTTAGCGCGGTGAAAAGTGCAAGACAAATTAATTAAGCGAGGCCAAATGAGATTATTATTACGAAATCACTTTGTACGGAGAGGTGTGTGAATATGTATCTGCTCTTGTATAATTTTCTACACGCGAGTTATCCTATTTATTATTATGATTGTACAGTGGACTGAAGTTGACACACATACACACACACATGCTGCCAAATATTGAGTTGATTTCCATGAGCCAACCCCCCCCCCCCCTCTTTTAATATATAACTCTTGTTTGTTATTGATTAAAAAAAAATCATGTGTATTTAAGAAGAAGAAAATAGAGAAAAACGAACATCAAGTGGTCAGTTGAAAATACGGTTTGCGATAAATAAGAATGACGGCGGAGGACTGTCTCGTCCGCCGCGCGTCCTCACGTCTAGTTGTGTTTCTTTTTTCTATAAAAGACAACGCAAAGGTTACGTGAAAATCATCCTCTTGTCCAATAAAATTGAAACTATATTATCAACGACTTTCATTTATTGATCTTTCCCTGTGCCTATCACAATCTCTCTATGTATTTATAAAAGGGCGAAGCGCCTCTGCTGAAGAGTAAATGGTTAGATTTACAAATTATTTAAATCTCAGTATTAAAAAAATTAATACACAATTTGTTTCACCTTAAGTAGTTTCAAATACATTTTAGTAAAGTCTGAATAAATAGGCATATAAATATTTAGGCAAATTATTGCCGAAAAAAGTTAAACTCTGAAATTAATTATCATCAGCAGAAGAACCTCTTAATAGTCGTCGTAGCGCTGCTGCTGCTCTTCCAACAGGTGGTGGATGCTCACCAGCTGCTCCTCGTCCTCGCTTTCCTCCACTTCATCCTCGTCCTCCTCCTCGTTGTCTTCCTCTGCAAATTGAAGCCATCAACAACAAACCCAAACTCGATCTTATAATAAGTACCTGCACTCTCGGGCTGAGGGGATGCTGCTGGAATTTCCTCCTTAACAGGCCGTTTCGGCTCCTGCTTGATTTTCGGCTCCACCTTTGGTTGGATCCGTCTTGGAACAACCCTACAATTAACATATATAAATTACATGAGTTTACTTTTGTTTAAATAATTTACCCTCTACTGCTGGGTGGAGGCATCAGGGTGGCAGAGGCAAGGGCCTGACCCTTGACCTCTACGGGGGTAGCACTTGTCGAAGCACCTTCCCTCAATTGTTTAAGTGCGTCGTAGTTTATTTTCTGTGACAGCTTCTTCTCCTTGAGCATTTTTTCAATGGCCTCTCCTAAAATTAAGAGCAATTTGAATTTTTTCAAACAAAGAAAAAGCATTTCAACAAACCTGCTGTGCTGCAAGGTGCTGTTGCATTCTTTTTCCTTGGCGCCTTTCTCTTTTTCTTTTCTGGCTTTCCCTCGAGCCGATCCTTCTCCTCCTGTGCTGCCTTTTCTGCAATCACAATTTTTGTTCATAACAATATTTGGATTTTTTCACAATTACAAACCCTCTTGGGCGCGCACATAGTCTTCGTTCTCTGCCATCCACTGCCTATACTTGATGATACGCTCCTCCCCACTAAGGATGTAGTAGTTGAGCTCGTCGTCGTCAAGATCGTCGAATTCGAGCTCACCAGACTCTGGTTGCTTCGGGCCGAGGGGCTCCTGCGGCTCAGACGGTCGCTCGCCCAGACCCATCATGGCCAAGGTGGGGCCTTCTATCAACTCTACGAAGTGTGGAAAAATCAGAATTAAATCAAATTATTTTTAACTTTTTGTTTTCCATTTGGAAAATCAAGCAATGTTTTTAAAATTTGTAAGATCAAACCTTGGTTGACAGGGGTAGTAGTGGGGAGTAAACTGCTAGAATTTATGCACTCAACCACACTGGTCATTGTAGACTCGTCGATCACCCTTTGGATTGCAGAGTCCTCAATGTCAGTCTCAAATTCGCATAAGGAGGCTGGAAAATTGAGTTTTTTTTATTCAAAATTAAATGTTTCAAAGAATTTAAAGTTTAGTTCTATTCAGAGAATGGAAACTGAACTTACACTCAGTAGCAGTTCGTTTTCTTTTATTGCCCTCCGGCGCCTCACTGTTGGCCCTGCCCCCTTTCTTGTCATTCAACAGCCTCTCGATTTGTTGCCGCAACTCGGACACTTCATAGACCGCCTGCTCCCCCTCAATTCCATCCAAAGCCTTTGAAAATTAAATTATAAGATTTTAAGCATAGAAACATTCGACGTAATAATAACTGCTTGTTTCTCAATTTCCCTCCTTTGTCGGTCTCTCCGTCTTGCGTCCTTGTAAGCAGGAGGGTCCTGCTCTTCCTCGAGGTCTACAGCCATGAAGTCCTCAAAGGACAGCAGTGACGATGGCGTCTCACCAAACTCTATCATTCTAAAAATAATAATTTAAAACAAAAAGTTCCTAAAACTTCGATTTAAACCTTTTTCTCAAGGTTGATTCATGCACTTTCACTATTCGAACAACATCGGCAGGTTTTCTGTTGAAGCCGTGATGTCTTGCAGCAAAGAGAAGGGCTGAGAGAAATAATGAAGAATATTAAGAAGATAAAATGCCATTATTATTATTAATTTTTTTTTTAAGTAATTTTAATAGGCTGAGGAAAATGATTTTTTTTTTAAATTTTTACTTGTCCAAAAATATTTTTTTATCTATATAGAAAAGGTTGATTCTTATATTTTTTTTACAACTGACCTGCTCCGCAAAGCCCTGAAGGTCTCCTTCCAACATGCAAGTGATCCTTCTTCATTCGCTGCACCAGTCTCATGGCTGTGTTGCTGACTTCAGTGGTCTGCTTGCCAAATTGCATTCGACTGGCAAACCGTATGATGTACAAACAAGGATCTGTGTGGTTTTGCAATCAATTTCAACCATATATTTCAATTCCTGTATAATTAAATCTCACCAATTGAGTTCAGTGTGAAATTCAGAGACTTGGTAAAGTGCATGAACGTCCTGCCCAGTTCGTAAATGTCCACGCCAAAGTGCTCGCTGAAGTCAATCATCAGATCTGCAATAATTTAATCAAATTTATTAAAATAAGCTTGGAATTATTGAAACTAGAAAGTAGTACATTGCGAGTTTCCACCGTCGCATCTGCAAGTGATGTAGAGACTGGCAGCTATCACCAGGTCATTCCTCCTGCCCTTGGTCAGTCGGTGCTCGAATGCCAGTTTGTAGATGTTGAAGGCCTTGTCAATGTTGTGTTGCTCCATTCTATAAAATACAATTGATTATTCAAACTTTTTCATGCCAAAATTGTATTGCATACTTCATCTGTTTGCCCCGATCGTTGATCTCCCTTCTGATTTTCTCAAAAGTTATCTCCTTGGAACTGCGGTTTATTCCATGCCTGTATCCTCGGAAACCTGAAGAATTTATTTACATATATGATTTTTATAGATAATTTATCGCCAAAAAATAATTCATATGTAATGAACATCTGTGTCACTATTAACTACATACGTATAAGTATAATTTGAGTTTTAATGATTCATAATGAATTCCTGTTTACCTTCACCAAGTCCGCCGGCGCCTGTTGAATTGGCGGACACAAAGGTGCCGATCATGGAAGAGCCGCCGTGTCCATTGTCCTCGTATGTGGGGTCGCTGACCACTATGGTGGCCTCGTTGACCTCTCCACACACGGTGCACACCACTTGCCCCTTGGCCGTGTCGATGTCCAGGCTCGAGCTGCCGCATTCTTTGCAAATGTTCAGCGGCATTCTGAAGCTACAAAAGTGTTAATTTGATTTCAAACATGGAAAAGAGGGCCAAAATATAGTGTGCCATCAGAGATTTATATTTTGCGAAAAATTCCCAGGCGTACCTTTGTTCGACGCTCGCGAATATCAGGCAGAAAAGTTGCAAATCAACACAAACTAGTTCTTGTTTGGTTAAATTTCACTAAACTATGCGATACAAAGGCGACAATTCGCGTTAAGAGTGGAGAAAAAGCACGACAAGTCTCACATGTTGAAAATCTTGTAAGTAAAAGCTTGTTGAGTAAAAGTAAACAATCGCATTATAGGGAACGCCCACTTTTATCGTGTTTATTATCGGAGAATAAGTATTATAAAAAATAAACCTAAGTTCAACGATTTTACTCTTGAAATATGATAAAAATGTTAATTAATTGTTTTAATAGTTTCAAAATTTACATAATGCACCAAAAAATATCCTAATATTAAGCAAAAAATCAAATGAGAAAAAGGAATTTTGGAACTCCTATATTCACACCCCAACAGGGAATGAATTCTTGCAAAGGTGGTACTACAAAAACTTAACAAAAACCACAAACTTGCCACAAACCACGTGTGTGTTATTTGTGTCTTCCAGTTTTCCACGCTTGTTTTCACGACTTTCATTTCGGTTGTCGGAAAACAGGCGCAAAAATGGGGAAAAAAGCTAAAATTGGAAAACAGCGAAAGGATAAATTTTACCAGTTAGCTAAGGAAATTGGTAAGTCCCTTTGTGGTCATCAAGTTTGATTGTGCACAACATTTAATTATGAAGAAAATGAACATTTTATTAATGGATTCCAATTAATATACCAGGCTACCGTTCTCGAGCCGCTTTCAAGCTAATTCAGCTGAACAGAAAATTCGGTTTCCTCCAAAAGTCCCGTGTCCTGGTCGATCTTTGTGCAGCGCCTGGAGGATGGATGCAAGTGGCCAAACAGAATATGCCCGTTTCCAGCGTGGTTGTTGGTAATAAAGCAAACATTAAGTCTAGCAATTTCTTTAAAAAATTTCTTGACTCGTCTAGGCGTCGACTTGTTTCCTATCAAGCCTGTGCCAGGCTGCATCTCTCTGACAGAAGATATCACGACAGAAAAATGTAAAACTGCCTTGTCCAGAGAGCTAAAAACATGGAAGGCAGATGTTTTCCTGAACGATGGTGCTCCGAATGTTGGTATGTTATGTCTGCAATTTTTCATTGAATAGTTTTCAATAATTTATTTCAAGGTATGAACTGGCTACACGATGCCCATCAGCAGGCGTTGCTGACATTGAGTGCCGTCAAGTTGGCCACTCAGTTTCTCCGACCTGGTGGTTGGTTTGTGACGAAGGTTTTCAGATCCAAAGACTACAATGCCCTGATTTGGGTTTTGAAGCAGCTTTTCAAGAAGGTTCGCTCATTAATAAGAAAATTCTTTTTTGTTTACAAATTTTTCACCAGGTTCATTCCACAAAACCGCAAGCTTCCCGTAATGAGTCTGCAGAAATCTTTGTTGTTTGTCAATACTACATCGCCCCGCACAAACTCGACCCCAAATTCTTCGACTCCAAGCATGTTTTTGAAGAATTGGAGCTTGAGCCCAAGTCTGCAGCCAGCATTTTCCATCCGGAAAAGGCCAAGAAGGCCAAGGCACAGGGTTATCCTGAAGGAATGTCTACCATGTACAGACCTGTGACAGCCTCTGAGCTGATTGCAGCTGAAAACCCAGTCGATCTACTGCAAATTGCCACAGAAGTATGTGTTAAACATTTTTGAGTTAGGAAATGCTTAATTTCCCCACTTAAATAGATCACACTGGACACTGAGTTAATAAGAAAACATCCACGAACAACAGAAGAGATGAAAGCATGTTTGAAAGATATCAAAGTTTTGGGGCGGAAGGATTTAAGGCAGGTGATGGCTTGGTGTGCGGCTGTGAAGGCAACAATCGCCCCTCCTGATCAGAAGGCTGATGAAACAGCAAAGGAGGATGAAGTGGATTCTGAAGATGAGGATGAGCAAATCCAGAAGCACATTAAAGAGTTAAAGGTAAATAATTTATTTGTATGGTAATAGGGAAAGTCTCAATAATATTTTTTAAATTAGGAAAATGAGCGCAAGGAGCTCAAAAGGAAAAGAAAAACTGTTCTGAAGGAGAGACGCAAGTTACAACAGAAACTGGACCTAAAAATGATTTTCAAGGGAGATGATGGTCCCAGGCTTGAGGAGGATGAGGTTTTCGAACTGAGCACCATCAAATCTAGACAGGTAAAAATTAAACAACAAAAAATATTTTATTTATTCCTTTTTTTTAAACTTTCTGGCTGACAAGCACACATCTCTAGCATGTGACAAATGCTTTATGCTTCAATAAAAGTCCGTGTTGGTGAAGCAACACAAATGAAAATTGTAATAAATATGATTAATTTTTTATCAGGCGTTAGACAACATTGACGACCAAAAGCCGGATGATGTTGCTGAGGAGTCCGAGGAAGAAGACTTGGAGCCCAAAAAGAAAACTGAGGTCTATGACCCCTCGAAATCTCGTCTCGATAAATCTGGAAAGTAAGTGCTGAACAATTTTCAGTGAATCGGTAGAAACACGATTTTTTCTCAGGTTCTACAAAGAAAGTGAAAGTGAAGGTGATGATAGTGAGGAGGAGGAGGTGCCTGGATACCTAACTCAAGTTGAGGAAGGATTAGGTGAGTTGAAACATAGTAAATTGATTTTACGTTGATTTCTTTCTATTAAAATGTTAACTCTTGAATAAATACAATTAATAGAAAAATTTCTGCATTCAAACCCATATAATATAAAAATCTAATTAAAATCAAAAGATAAAATACATAAAAAGTATGTTAGTTCTTCTCCACACCTTTTAGTTGAATGCAAATGTAATTAAAGCAATTTAATTTTAATTGTTTCTTTAAAATCCATACTTTTTGCGCTTTTTTAAGAATTAATTCTACACATCGCACATTTTTAGCTAAAACGAAAATACTTCCTGAATTATATAGGTATGAATGATGATGACGAGCTGAGTTTTGAGGAAGATAGTGGAAGCGAAATTGAGGATGATGGTACAGATAACAACCCCCTCATCACTGACCTTGACCCCAGGAATAAGAAAGAGAAAAGAGTTCACAAAGCGCAGCTGTGGTTTGAAAAGGTAAATTACATTTTTCCGTCCGTGTGGTGATTCCACCAGAAATCTTTGGAAATGTGCACTCCTAGTATTGGCTTGTATTTTAAATATTCAAGTACTTTGCGCTAATTTCAAAGTCAATGTGTAGGGAGTTTCTGACATTCAAAATGTCCATCGCCTTGCATTTTTTTGGCGTTGAGTACACACCAGGCTTCAACAAAAATTTTAAAAATATAATTCATTGTTCTAAATGCATAACCAAGCTGGAACTTAATATTTGTTCATAAAACTCTGCTATTCCTTCAGACCATTGTATTTTTCTGTTGGTAACACAGAAAATTAACAATATCAATGCTCTGCATGAAATTCTGATATCAAAATTAATTTTAGTATTTCTCATTAATTTTGAAGAAATTTTATTGATTTTTTCCTCGTTTTGCAGGACGTTTTTAATGGCCTAGAAACCGAGGCTGATGAAGATTTTGAATTAGATGCACTAGCGTCTGAGCTGCAATCGAAAGGGGGGAAGATTATCGGTGACAAAAAGGGAGACATCAGCGATGATGATGATGAGACAGATGAGGAATCAGTAGCCAGTGATTACGAAATGCTGGAGCTACCTAAGAAAAGAGCTAATTCAGATGGAAAGGGTGCTAAGGATGATTTTGAGATTGTTCCTAAAGGTATTCCAATGCATTATGTTTATGAGCAATTTAAAAAAAAAAAACACTGCTTTTTAGATGCTCCGTCTGTTAAAAGATTTAAATTGGATGAGGAAGGTCAGGCACTTGGTTCAATGATAGCCTTGTCAAATAAGAAAAAGAGGGATATCATTGATGAAGGTTGGAACAGATACGCCTTCAATGATAAAAATCTGCCTGACTGGTTTATGGAAGATGAAAAGAAGCACATGAGAAAGGCAGCGCCTGTGCCAAAGGTGAACTATTTTATTAAGAAATAAAATAGATATATATATAAAAAAAACATTGTCTTCAGGAACTTGTGGAGGAAATAAAGCAAAAGACCAGGGAGCTCAATGCCAGACCCATCAAGAAGGTGATTGAAGCAAAGGCTCGCAAGAAGAAGAGGGCTGTGCGCAAGTTGGAGAAGACGAAGAAGAGAGTTGAAGCCTTGATGGAGTCATCAGATGTCCCTGATCGAGAGAAGGCTAGACAAATTAACCAGTAATTTTGGATACATATTTTTTTAATAAAAAAAATTTATAATAAATGAAATCTCTAGGATGTACAAGAAGGCTATTGGCAAGAAGAAACCAGAAGTGACATACGTTAAATCCAAAAAGTTTGCTGCCAGTAAGAAGCCTCGAAGGCCAAATGGTGTCAAAGGGCGATACAAGGTTGTGGATCCTCGTATGAGGAAGGACACCAGGGGCATGTTAAGAGCCAAGGGTATCTCTAAGGGCAAGGGCTCTGGAGGCAAGAAAGGAACGGCTGGACGGAAAAAGAAGTAACAGCCTTTTATTGTTTGCCATTACACAATTTTTAATGGCATAAATTTTTTTTTTTAATAACATAGAATTTCGTCTTATGTATTGAATTTGATTTGGTGAGTTTATTCCCTCAACAAGTGTAAAACATTATAAATTGTGAATAAGCTATTAGCTAATAAATTGATGAAGGCGGAACATAATTTAATCTTGCTCGTTTATTTTTATTGATCTTCAATGAATAAATTTCAACTTGCGGAGTCTAAAACGTCCATACAAACATTCGCAAACTCCAGAAATATAGGTTCTTGCATTGCATCTTCCATGGCTGATTTAGGTTGTCTATCACTGTCAAGATGCTGGAGAATTCTTTGCAAATGTGGATTTTGTAGCAGGTCTCTGAGTGTCGGTGATTTTCCTAAAATTACATTATTTTATTAATATTTTAGTTTTAGCTTGATTAGATTAATTATATATTATACATACCCAATAACTCTAGTTTATCTGGTTGGACTGTATCCTCAGTGAAATGTGAATATGTGTTCAACGCTGAGTGAGCAGCATCAGCTTTAATCTCCTTATTTTCCACAGGTAACTGGCATGAGTTTCCTTCTTTGTGTTTTTTACAGCAAACCACTGAACAGCTAAAATAAATAAATCTTATTTTTATTAATGAAAAATTGAGGGTACACTATTAATATCGTCAATTGAAGTGCAGTTTAATTGAGTTTAATTGTAAAACACATTACTAGATAAGACAGCGCAAGTAATTAATAAGCTATAATCACTTTTTTAGAGTTGTTGACATCCACTCAAAAATTAATTTTTAATTAATTAAATAAACTTTTGTAATTTTTCATTATTTATTTTGCATTATTATAATTTTAATTAATAATGTATATAATTTCCTAAATGTAAAAAATATTTTACAAACGCAGAAATCGACCCACAATTTTATAACACTCCTGCAATGACTGAAAGTAAAATGGAAAGAGACTAACTTTAAAGATCGGCACCTTTTTACGAGGTATGCTTGCCATGGTTTTCATCATTTGTTAATTATGTGAAAATAAAGATTACCACTGTGCAGCAAATAAAAATTGTAGATGTACAAAATGTGGTGAACAAAATGGAATTTATCACCTACTTGAATGTAAAAAGAGTGACTTAACACTAATTAAAGCAGCTTCCATGAAGGTTTAGTGCAATTACTACCTCTTCAGTTTTTATTATTATTGTATGCATAAACAATTTATATGTGTTCATGTATGTGTCTGTACATACCGTTGGTATTTAATAAAAAGAATTAATATACTCACTATGGTGCTCTGCAAGTAGGACATTTGTATTTGGCTGCTTCGCCTTCACAAATACTACATTTATTCGTCAACATTTTTGCGCAATTAAAAGATTTTGGAGCAGATAAAGCCGAAATTAAGCTTCAACCATTCGACCCATGTGTCCATGTGTTTTTTTTCGTAATTTTCGTATTCGCATGACCAGCACAACAAGACCAGCAGCTGCTTCTTCAGTTTTGCCAACCTCGGTTCACGTTCATAATCCTTTTTATTTACCTGACAAAATATGACCGCACTTACAACCTTTGAAGTATATCATTCAACATTTTTATTAGACAATTTACAACTCAAACTTGCAAATAGATAAATCATTTATGTCATAATAAATTTATTGTCTCTTTGCCATGTTGGTAGTTCTGTTAGAAGGTGGGTTGGGTTGGGTTTGGGCGGGTTTGGGTTTGCTCAGATGATTTGTTGACTTGTTGTTATTCTGTCAAGCAGTGTTCTGTTTAAAAAAAGTCATAAAAATGATTCACTTCGATAAAACGTAAAGTTTAATCCATTAAAAATATGAGTTGGAACGTGCAGCCCGTTCTGGAGGACGCCATGGCTGCTGCCGGTCGGGCGGTGACCTTTGACACGGCCGGACAGGTTGGCCCTGCTTGTTACTTTTATCGAGAAGCAGCGAGACTTCTGCTCTTAGTCGCTTCCACTGGCGACCAGCAACAAACCTGGCTGGACAAAGCACGCGACTACGAGGCCAGAGCCGATGCTCTCGATCAAATGGGTATGGCAATTGTGATTTTTATAAAATAATCTCAAAATAAAAATTGATTTTTATATAATAGCGGCTCCAAAGAGTCCAGACAAGCAGCCGCCACAAACAGAGGACCAGAAGAGTATGTCCAGGGTCAAGTTCTTTTTCCACCAAGCGTTGGACGCTGACGAGGCTGGGGACAAAGCAGAGGCTTTGGAAATGTACACTAAAGCAGTAGAACTAAGCTTGGAAGCCGTAATGAAATAAGAATTTAAAAAGTTAAAATAATTATTATTATTTTGTTTTTAGAAAAAAGTCACTCCAGACTTGGATCTGCAGCGAAAATTGACTAAATTGGCTACTCAGGCGCTTGAAAGGGCTGAGGCCATCAAAGGAATAACACCGACCAGGACGGAAAACGTCAGGTCTGTTGGTTTAGGAACTGTCCCTGAAGATTCCTCCTCACCGACTGAAGGTTTGAGACCTCTTGATATCTAGAATGTTTGGATTTTTTAAATGGATTTATATTTATGTTTGACTTTCAATCAAACTTTGCCAAGAAAAATTTTATTCTAGTTTAAATAATTTATTTCATTGAAAGAATTAATTGCAGATAGCGTTAATAATGTAGATTTTGTTCTCCTTGTATAATTTATCAATAAAAATTTCCCATTTTCTTAGATGTGCCTAATTTAGTCCAGCCCGTCCGTCCAGCCCTGCACAGAGGAGACAGTGCCCATTTAGTAGTCACCGGACAGAGTTCATACACTCGAGAGGAGAAAATGGTGTTGGAGAGGACGTCTCGAATCAACAACAATGAATTTGTGCCATTCATGGTCGTCGATCTGAGGGAGCAGTTCAGACTTACCATGCCTTACACCGACAAGTACAAAGTTGCCATAAAAATGCATCACTAGTTTTGATGAATTTTAATTTTCAGGTCAGGACTTTTGGCTCTTTCACCGAAGCAGATTAAAAATTTTGCCAGGTGGGCTCGACCGGATGAAATTAGTCCTGCGCCAGTTATGGTTGGTCAGAATGGGGTAGATTGCTGGAGCATCAAACAGACTGTGGTCTCTGACTGCTCATTTGTGGCTTCGCTGGCCATTGGAGCTCTTTACGAAAGACGGTAAATAAAAAATATCATTCGTTGTAGAATTTAATCAAAAGGAAATTAAAACATATGCAGGTTTAAGAAGAAATTAATCACTTCCATCATTTATCCGTGCAACTCAAAACACGAGCCTGTGTACAACCCTTTCGGCAAGTACATGGTTAAGCTGCACATAAATGGGGTGGCTCGGAAAGTGGTAGTGGACGACCTGTTGCCTGTCGGCAAGTATGGTGAGCTGTTGTGCTCCTTCTCCACCAACAAAAACGAACTCTGGATCTCGTTGCTGGAAAAGGCCTACATGAAGGTCATGGGCGGCTACGACTTTCCGGGGTCAAATAGCGTAAGAATGATGATTTCAAATTAAAATAGAACATGCTAAGCTTATTATTTTCAGAATATTGACTTGCACGCCCTGACCGGCTGGGTGCCTGAGCGAATGCCGATGCACCCTGAAGATGGAGTTTTTAACAAGGAGGCCTTTTTTACCACCCTGATCGAAAGGCTGCACAGGGGTGACGTTTTGGCCACCGTAGCAACTGGGCAGCTCAGCCAGACTGAGGCTGACAGGGCGGGACTCGTGCCCACCCATGCGTATGCCGTCCTTGATGTTCAAGAAGTCAAAGTAAGCAAATTATAAAAAATTAAATTATTTAATAAACAATATAACCTGCTTCAGGGTGTGCGTTTGCTGAAGCTAAAGAACCCATGGTCCCACTTGAGGTGGCGAGGAAATTATTCAGAGTTGGACACTCGCCACTGGACGCCCGAAATGCGGGCGGCCCTCAAGTTCGACCCCGACAGCGCAGCCTCCTTTGACAACGGCGTCTTCTGGATTGACTACGACAGCATTATCAAGTTCTTTGACGTTTTTTACCTCAACTGGAATCCTGCCCTATTCAAATACACCTTCTGCATCCATCAGTGAGTACAAAATAAATCCCTATCCTTCCTTCGTCTATCATTTTGGGGCTGTGTTGAGTCATGGAGAAAATCAATTTTTTGATAAATTTTAGGTAATTTTAACTTAAAGGGCAGTGCAAAAGTTTTAATAGCTGATTCTTAATCTGGACCAATTTAACTTGAAATTCTGGATCAAAGATCGTGGCAAGCTGGTCTTGGCCCCATGAAGGACGCGTTCAATGTGAGCGAAAACCCGCAATTTTTCCTGGACGTTCCAGCAACAACGAACAAAACGAACGTGTGGGTGCTGCTGACCCGGCACATTACGCAGATTGACGATTTCCGCGAGAATAAAGAGTACATAACCCTTGTCGTCTACAAGAACAATGGCAAACGCGTCTACTACCCTTGTAAAATTAACAAAATTGATTTTTTTAAATAAGAATATTAAAAAAATAATCATAGATGAGCCGCGGCCGTTTATCGACGGCGTCCGAATCAACAGTCCACACTACCTGACCAAAATCCCTGTGAACGCAGGTGTGAACGAAAAGTTCACCTTGGTGGTGTCCCAGTACGAAAAGACAACGACCATTTACTACACCCTCAGGGCCTATTCGACGGTGCCTTTCACCCTGAAGAAACTCGGATCCTCCTTCGACCACAAAAAGGTAAATTTTTATATTATAAACATTTAATGAAAAAGTTTGTTTTAATTAAAGAGGAAATTGAGTAAATTAATTTTTGGTGGCAGGAGGTGAGTGGGGAGTGGAAAGCAGGGACCGCGGGCGGCTGCAGAAACCACAAGGCCACCTTCCTGACCAACCCTCGCTACCAAATCACCCTTTCGTCCACAAGTGGTCTGCTGATCAACCTCAAGGGTCCCAAGCAGTACCCGATTGGCTTTGAGGTTTTGTGCGTTGTCGCTTCGGATCCGAACGCTCCCGGCGCCTTTGCCTCCAAGAGTTCTGGCGACTTCCGGTGAGATTTTGCCAAAGTGAAATGAATTCAAAAAATAAGATTAATTAAATAAATTTCAGATCGGGGTTTGTGGTGCTCGAGTTGGAGGCGGTGCCTGCAGGGACGTACGACATCATTGTGAGCACTTTTGTACCTAACCAGTTTGGACCCTTCATCCTAACAGTGAAAGCCAACAACCAATTCACCATGTCCTCGCTCTGAGTTTTTTTAATTAGAATGAATTTTATTTATTGTTTTCAAGTCAAATAAATTTATCAAGTCATTTTTAATGCCAAAATTTTATTTGAAAAGTTTTAAAAGCAAATTGAAACTTTTAGTAAACGTATTTGATGTTGGAGGATTCCTCTGTAGAGGCCTCAGTTGTTGTGGTAGTGGTGGTGGAGGTTGAGGATCTCCTGCTCTTGCCGTTCTTCGGTCCCATGAAGTTGACCAGGTTTTTGAAACCTTCCTTCTTGCGCTTCTCAGCTTCCTCCAACGACGCCCACGGGTTGCAGGAGTCAATGTCCTTTCGATACATCTCACACTCGGCTGGTTGCGGAATTCAGATGTGGTTATTGTAATTTTATTTTTTATACCATTTTTACCTTTGTTTTCACGGCAATCGCCAGGACATTGCTTAAAACAAATAATTTTTCATAATATCTTAAAAAAACTTCGAGGGAAAAACTCACGGCGCTCGCTTCTCGGTACAGACAGAAGGCAAAGTGCAAATTCGAAAGTTGGCATTCCCCTTCTGTGGAAATGTTTGCATCTACAAAAAAAAATATTGAAATGATTTTTTCTCCTAAAATATGAAAACTACTTTTGAGCTCGGAAGTGCACTTGTTGAAAACCGTGGGCACAATGTCGCTCCAAGACGCCCAAGTACCATTGGCGTACTCCAAAAACAACTGCTTCAGTTTGTCCAAATCGGCAAGACCATTTTCCAAAAGCTACGAAATTTTTAAAAAGAATGAAAGACAATTATTTTTACGTAAAGTATATTGTAATACTGTATCTGTTTTAATGAGGGTGCACCTGAGGATGCACTAAAAGTAGAAAAATAAGTATTTTATAAATTTTTTTAATTAAAAAAAAAATCTCACGGCAAAACCCATCCCTGCTTTTTTCTTGGCTTAAATGGTTCATTCCGGTTTTTTTAAATTTTAAAAGTTAACTTATTTTTAACCATACATTCATCAGAGATTCTGGTATTGCGGATGCATCTGCCCAGCTCACTCTTGCTCAGCACCGGTGGAAAATTGCAACAGTCGGACGATTTCTATTTAATATCATTCTTGTCAAGCAGTGTTTTATTCTTTATCATATATTTTTGGATTATACTAACGTGGATTGCCTCCATTGTGCACACCTTGTCGGGTCTCATCTCCCTGCGGTGGCGACCAACGGTTTTGAACAACCCAGAAAGCGGGTTTCCGAAGTTGAGACCCATCATGTCAAATCCCAGCGCCTGTATTTCAATATTTTGAAAGAAATTTTTTAATCTCAGCCCAAATTTACCTCATGAAAGAGGACGCCAGTAATAAAAATTAGCGTAATTTGGCGGATCATCGACGACGCAGTTCTACTTGAGCTTGTCAGAAAACTAAATGTTGGTAAAGTGGAACGATTTTCGAATTCTGTCGCTTCCGGGAAATGGAAATGTGACGCACTTGGCAAAACCTGCGCGGAAAATTCATTTTTATCTACTGTTATTTTATGTTGTGAAGAAAAAATTCAAAAATTTTCCCTGCTGTTCAAATCAATCAAATTTTATTTTGCAATACATGTTGCAACCGACAAAAGACAAAAACATTAATGAATTTTCCGAAGAAGAATTCAATTCTTTTTATTCTGCTTGGCCGACTCGGCCTTTTGTTCACTTTGCTTGTCCGATGGGTCTACCAGCGGCTCCCACGGGTCGCACGACGCCACATCCTTAAGCATTTTCTGACATTTTTTTGCTGCACGCAAAGAAAAATTGAAATTTTGCTAAAAGGTATCGAAACTTGAATTACTGTCTTTGCTGTTCATTTTTGGCGTTGACGGGCATTCCTTGCAATTAAAATTATTATTTTAATAGAAAAATCTAATGAATCTCTCTCACTGTCAAAGCGAATTGGTAAAGGCAAAAAGCGTAATGCAGGTTTGACATTTTACACTCGCCCTCGGTTGTGATTTTTGCAGCTTGAAAATGAAATCAATTGTACTAAAAATATTACTTTTATTTTTTTTTTAAATGTACTCTTTTGCCTGGCGGTGCAATTTGCGAACGCCTCGGTGATTATTGGTTGCCAAACTTTGTCCGCCTTCTCCATGAACAGATTCTCGAGTGCCTCCAGGTTGGCGTAACCGTCGCTCGACAGCTAATTATTTCGTAATTTTAATAAATTTTCTGACTGAAGAGAAATGTTTTCTAACCATCGAGCGATTTCCCAAGAAACAATCCAACACGCACTAGATTTTTTTTTTCAATTAAAAAGAAAAAACGAATTAAACAAACCTCACAGCAAAAGACATTCCTGGAATCCTCTTGCCTGCGAGAGCAATCAAGATTTAATTTTGAAATAATCACAAATTAATTTTCAATTACCATCTTTGCCTTTTTTAGTCTTTTTCTTCAAGACCGAAAGACAACTGCTCTTTTCCGCCTCCGGAATTGCATCAGGCAAAGTGCAACAAGAGAATGATTTCTATAAATTCATCAAATCCTTTTCCAATCAGAATTTAATCGATAACGCTGTAAGAAATATATCAAACACTGATTGAATTCCATGAGCATGATTTTGGTTGGGCCGCCCGACGTGACCTTGCCAAAGCGTCACCAAATAGGTCAGAGGCGAAAACCTAAATTTTCTTTTACAATATATTATCCTTCGGAAAATATAATTTCGGACCTGCTGAGAGAGGAGCACAGCCACGAGGGCCACAATCGAAATCTTCATCATGACTGCCGTGAAAATTATCATCGAACTTTCCAAGCCGATGATATTAAATTGATGGCAAAGTTTTCCCGAATGAACGTGTTCATACTTCCGCAGAAATGCACGCCGGACGCGCGCACAAGCCATCAAGGTTTTATTTTCCTCTTCGTGCCACAAAACAGTAGCGACAGTGGAATTTAAATTTAAAAGCAAAAAAATACAAATTATACGCTTTTCTTGAATTTTATTTTCGTTTACATTTCAATTTTATAAAAATATAAAATATATCTTTAAAAAAATCATACAATCAACCAATCAATCTTCTATTCTTGTAGATATTTACATTAAATATTTGTGACTCACGATGTTCCCCGCACTCAAACTTGTCTTTTGTATATAAAAATATGGGTTTAATAAAATAAAATAAAATGTCAAAAAAGCGCACCCTTATATGGTGCACAGAGAGGTGGTTCATATTTTACTATCGGTCGCAAATGCAGTCAATATGATTAAAAACTACTTATTTACAAAGTTAGTCATTTAGGCGTCGTTTTGGCACTCAGCTGCGAACGTAAGCGTCCGGTAAATAAAAATCAGTTGTCCTCCAGTTTATGCGATATCTCCAACTGCAAACAGAAATTCACAGGTTTTAATCTTTTTATTTTGATGCAAGATAGACTTTCGCCAACTTGAACTCAAAAATATTGAAAACTCTTCTCGCTGTCAAGTCGCAAGGATTTGTCAGAATTGGACTTTTGAATTGTGCTTATCTTAATGGCGTATAGTGGCGTGTTCTTTACAAAAAAAAAAAAAAAAAAAAAAAATGTAGACTGCACGAAAATCCCAAATGTTCCTAATCCAAAGGATCCAAAGTTTAATTAATTAAATTTGAAGATAATATCGTAAAACGATATACAAAGCAAATTTTGCATTTTGCTTTGTACATCGATTAAATCGTGTTTAAAATTTAATTTAAGTAGATATTGATATTGCTAATCACCTAAATAAGTTTTTTTATTGATTAAAAAAATTACGCAATCTTTGCAAATTTAAAAGAGAAAATAGGTTCAAAAAACTTTTCAGCACTTAAAAAAAAAATTAAAGGAATTTGTTTAAATTTGCACATTTTATTTTCAAATCCGAAATTTAATTTTGAAAACCATTCAACACTCTCTTTTGCTTTTGATTTGGATCAAATCTTCACAATGCAGAACATAATATTATCTGTTTAAAAAAGTCAGTAATTCAATTACGTAAAATCACTGTAATAATGAGCGAGTTTACCATAATTATTAAATAAATTGGCTTACCTGGTTGCTCTTGGCGCCGTACTTGGACCAAAAGGTGACGGGACACTTGCTACTCTGGCCGGTGCGGGCGTTGAAAACTGAGCACGCTTTGAAGGGCGGGCAGTAAAGGTGAAGACTGACGGCGCGCTCCGTGTGGCTCGGGTTCTCCACGCGGTGCAGCCCCAACGAATCTGAATTCCATAAGGTCACTTTCAAGATGCAATTGAAGAAAATAAAATTACCGTTGATGTAGCAGACCTGGTTGACGCACAGGTCCGTCCTGCCGACCTCGCGCATCTCCACGATGTCCTCGTCCTTGATCACCGCGCCCTGAACCTGGTTCGTCGGCCAGTCGAACCGCACCTCGCACAACGTCCCTTGCAACATCTGTTATAAAATATAAATAATATTAAAAATAAAAAAACGTCTTAATTATTTCTTTGCAAAACTTGCTTTATTCAAAATATATTATTTTCTGAACCTTTTAATGTATTACTTTTTTAAATAAAATTTTAAGCCTTTTTTATATAAAAAAAATCAGAGGAAAAAAGCATCAATTCATTTGCATGTTGCTATTTTTATTTTAAATTTTTATTAATTAATGAAGACTTAAATGTTATTTCTGCTCTAAATGCTCAGCTCCTTGCGTTAATACTTTGAATAAAAATATCGTTCCACTTATAACTTCTGGTCATACTCACTTTCATGAAGCAATGAGCGTCCGCGTGGTCGTGGATTGCCGAGCCGTGACCTTCGCCCCAGCACAGCACTATCAGGTTGTACTTGCCGTTGCCCTCGTCCACCAAATTCCGCGTGTACCTAAAACCAAATGAGACACAAATTAAATTTTTTTTATTCCAAAGTATAAATAGTTTTTGTATCTTCTTTTTCATTTAAATCACTTTTAATAATAATTAAATTTTTAATTATTCCTCACTCGTCTAGAGTTTAAACACCTGTGCGACCGTGACCGCGGCCAGCTGAAGGGAACGCTCGTTTACTTTACTATTTCGAAAAGCACTCGATTCTCAATCTGGTTCGATCCCGATCGCGCCGGCCCCTGGAAATACATAAAAACCAAACTGCTGACCCCTGCTTTGTTTTTATCTCGCAACTCGCGCGGTATGTTATTTTATAATCGGCGTCGACTCTTATAAGAGCCGCCCTAGGGCCCTTTTTCTCGCGGCGAGAGTTTCGCTTTCCAATTTTAATTGCGTCTCTCCAGCCTAGGGCTTAATTGTTGCACTGTTACTATTGATTACATATTCAAAGGCCCTTCTTTCATTTTCAATGAGGAGAGGAAACATAGTGCCTTGATTACGACTTTGGATAATTCCAAATGAAGGAAGAAAAAGGCAAAATATTCCGATTTTCTACGAAAGTAATGCAATATAATAATAAATCAATTCAAATTTAAACATTAGTTAACCATTTTCTTTTTGATGCTTTTTCACTTCATGGTTTTGTTTAATAATAAAAAAAATTATATATTAAATTAAAAAATTCAATTCATTATTTTGTTTGTGCCAAAATTAAATGAAAAATAAAGGTGCGCTTGTATTTTTGGCCTGTAATAATAATAATAATAATAAAACAACATTATTTTTTTTTTCAAATTTTATATTAGTTTTAACGTAACATGTTTTTTTATACTAGTCTTTATGTCTACCCTCAATTGCCTATATTGTTTAAGCCAAGTTTCTTGTTCTGATTTCTCTGTTTAAATTGCGTTTTGGTTCGACGCACATTATTTCTCTCTCATCTCGAAACAAACGGTGATAAGAAAGCGTATTAGCCTCTGAAAGGTCACCCTGTGGACAGAAACTGGTGACCAGCGGGGCAGTGGAAAAGTACCGACCGCGCGCGACCTTTCCAGTTCATCACAAAAACGAAATTGCGTCGAGATGCAAAAAATATAGCCGATCAGAGTCGAAAGATTGCAAAATGCCAGCGAACTCTCTAGACTTTCCTCCTCAATTTTACAAAAAAATTTGGAACATAAATTAAACTAAGCCCGAAAGCACTAAATTTAATTCCACACGTGGAGTTTATAGTTTTTGCCAAAAGAAAACAATTGATGGAAAGGTCCAAGTTTCGTTTCTTATCAATACAAACAAGTCTTAATTATCTGTATGATGTTACCAATGGACCTCCAAAATTTACAAAAGAGATTTCACGCGATAACGCATTCAAGGGAATCCCACAAGAGTTTGGACCACTTCTCCACTATCAGCAATTTTCTTTCTCAATTATGAACTCGTCAAAAAATTGAGGCCCACCTGACGAGGAGTTGGTCAGCGATGGCGCAGATGAAAAAAAAAAATTATACCCTAATTAAAGAGCGGATCGCAAACAGGAGCGCGGAACCGGTTGGCAGGAAAATTGTACGCAGCAAATATCCGATCAGGAGAGTCTTGACGTCAGAGACAAGCCCTCCGCAGGTGCCTCTCGACCTCGACCAATTGGCCTCTAAGACGTCACTCAAATTCTATGGATTTTGAAGCGTAATTTTTGCAAGACAACAAAACTCATGGACGAATGTAAAAAATTAAAATTATTTGAAGGAGATGCAATAAAAAGCAGGATAGAAATTTCAAGTAAAAACCGGTGGTAATAAAAATCACTTAAGAGACGCCAAGGGCCAAACCCAGTATTTTTTTTTACATAAATTTGCCATTATTTTTACGATCAGAGCTAAAAAAAATTGTACAAGGAAAATTTCTCAGGGAAAAATCTTTAAATTTGACGGGAAAAAATTAAAAACAAAAAATAATAATTAAAATAAGGCAAGTCACAAACAATTAAATTGAAGTTAAACTATTCCGTCAGCATTTCTTTCAATAATTAACTGTAATTAACGTTTATGTCCGAAGTTCTTCAATTAAAATAAATGTTCAGTGCGTTTCTTATAAAAAATCCGAAAAATCAATATCATTGATTCTCAATTAATTTTTTAATATTTTTATTCACTGGACATTTAGAGTTCACAAAAATTAATTAAAATCATTAGCGATTAAATTAACTAAACGTTCAGTGAACGCTATAAAATAACAATAGTAAAAAATCTCAAAATTTGACTACAAAATAAGAATTATAAAACAATAATTAATTTAAAAAAGATAAGTGAAATATTTTTATAATTTAATTCAAGAATCCCTGGCATTCTTAGTTCATTATTTTCTATTTGAATGAAATAATTTACTTCCATTTTTCTTTCTGAATTGTTTATTATCAATTTTAAACAAAATTATCACTTATTAATTTCTGAAATTTCAATTATTTATTTTTAGCAGATTGTGACTCACTTGAATCTGTCAAACTTGGCGTATTTCTTCCACTCCCTGGGGTCACTGCGGTAGGCGAGCATGAGCTCCCTGACCTGCTCGACGTTGACCGAGTCCTGCGAGAAGAGTTCGCGCAGCCCTTCCTGCAGCTGCTCGAAGGTGACCGAGTTTTTGTCCAGCGTCCTGCCGAGCACCTGTTGCTGTTGCGTTTGCGTCTCCATTCTTTTATCTCAGCTCTTTCTTGCTTCCTTTTCCGTTCGCCACTGATTGACTGGACGCACGGATGGGCCGGCAAGACGTCGGCGGACGGCGCCCCACTCCGCGCTGCCCAACCGAATTTCTCGCGCGACCCCCCTGCTCTTTTTTTCTCGACACTTGATCAACGGCTCTCTTACACTTTTATTATCGCTTACCTTGTGCTTTTTGTTAATTTTTTAGGGGGAATTCCGAGCGTTTTCAAGAAGGCCCTTCTTGTCAGTCAAAGGTCAATCGTTTTGTATTCAAACATTGATAATAAAGTAATGTAAAATTTATTTATTTATTTTTAATTTACATACTTTTATTATATTGTTGTTTGTTTATTTCGCTAAAAATTTGATCAGTCTCTCTTAAAAATAATTTTTTTTCAAGAGAAATTCTAGGTTGATTTGAAGTTAAAATTAGCAGCTACAAATGATGTTATCAAATTAAAAAAATCTTTGCTGCCTACCTATTTTTTTTCTGAAGTGAGAGGAAAATCCCAGTTCAAAATTTTTGTTATCAACACTTTCAAGAGCATATTTCTTGAGAAACATTTGTTTATGTACTAAACAACGCACTTCAATACAAATCTATATATCATTGGAAAACCACACAGTCATTTCTTTTTAAAGATTTTTTCCTTAAGGTGTTATCCTCTTTTTTCGGCTGGGAGGGCAAAAGCATTTTTTGTAATAACAAGAGTAAATATAATAAAAAATATACTTTGAAGGTCGTTCTTATTACAACCATTATTTATTGTTTGGTCTCTTGCAAAACTGAAATACGCACAATTTTTAAGAAAGAAAACACTGCTGACTTTGACTACATATTTCATCTCAATCAACACATGTCACGTCGCAAAGATCGATCCAAACAACCTTCGGTTGTATATTGGATTGGAAGGTGAAAGTGCAGCCAAAAGTAGTGTGGCACGCACTAAAATTCCTCACAATAAGTGGCATTTTCGGCGTTGCCTGCGGCGGTGTTTTCGTGAGGGCGATGACTCTTGCAAAGCCTAAATTTTAGCCATTTCGTTGACAGCTCAGGGCCCAACAGACGATAAGGACTTAAATTTAAAAAAAATCCACGTCCAAAGTTTAGTTGACGTGGAACTAAAATTTTATTGCCATTATTTTCAAAATCAATACCCTTGTGCAGGAACAATTTAAAAAAATAATTGTCAAATATAATATTATTTTAAATTCAATCTTGCATTGGCTTTTATTTTTTTCACAGTGAAGTAATGAAGGAAATTTAATAAGATAAATCAATCAATCTCTAGATTTAATCCTTCTCTGAAAATTTTTGAAGTGAAAAGATTTAAATCCGCACTGGATTGATTTTTTAAAAGTATCTTCGTTATTTAATATTATTGACATGCTATTTATTTTCTTGCAAAATTTTATGCATAAAAATTGTGTAAATATTTAATTAAAAAATAAAAATAAAATTCACAAAGGGAATTTTGCTAACGTAAGAGTAAACAATTGCCTAAGGATGGGAGAATTTATAGAATAGTAGTTTTAATTGCTGCTCTGGATTGTTTGTACAAAACATTAATCAAAATGCAACATGTGCGGCCGCGCGCGCGTTTGTCCCGTAATGAGATGCGGCCAACCTGTCTGTCAAGAATAAACACGCTCGCTCTCTCTGGACGGAAGCTGAATCAATCGATTATTAATCGGAATTGCTTGCAAACCGCTTTACATCTTGCGACACGCAAACTTCTTCATAATAACTCAGTCAGTGGTGAAAAACCTTATTATGGCTTTGATAAAATCGACCTGCGACCTCGGGGCATGGACGAACAACGTCACAATTCGCGATAGCCTATCCGCTTGACCTGCGATTGGTCACAAAACGCGATGATACGTGTCGCAGCCTTGATTTCATCTTGAATAAGAGGAAAATGTGTTGGGTTTCCATTCCATTGTTATTGGAGGGAAAAATAAAATGTGACGCCTTTGCTATTTGTGTAGGTCAAGATCACTTATAAAGCGTTGAAAATTAAAAATAAATAATAAGGAAATTCATACACAATGGGAAAAAGATCTGGAAATTTTGTGTCACAATATATTATTTTACTTTTTACTTGTACATCTTGTGAGAAAAATTAAAAATTTTTTCAGATCAGTGCTTAAAAATAAATTATTACTCAATGCAAATTTCATGATTTTTTAGGATAAAAAAATCCTACAACTGAAACTGAACTGAAAAAGTTTTTATTAATAATTTTTTTAATTCGATTTGGATGAAATTTTTAAACTTTTAAAAAATATTTTTTTTTTTTGCCTCAAAATGATGATTTTGAAATGATTCATTAAAATAATTTTAGTGGTGATTTCATATTAAGCCACTTTAGCAAGCTAGTTTGCTGAGCAAGGATGCAAAGTTGCAAACTATTTCTGAATTTAAAATAAAATCGTCAAGTTTTTTTCTTCTTCAAATTGGCCACTTCGGCGTCAAGGCCAGCAGCAGTCGGCCCGTTTCCTCGATCGAATTTTCCACAGCAACCATCAGTCGCGAGACGTAGTTGACCTCAACCGACGAGGCTGCCTCTTCATCTTGCTTTGGTTCTTCAGAATTTCCAACTTTGGATTTGTCTCCCAAGCTGGAATCAGAAATTGAAACTTCCTCTTCATCTGCTGGCTCTTCTTCTTCATCGGAGCATCTTTGATTATTTATTAGTCAAAAAATTACAGACAAAAAAATATATATATTTTAAACCTTTCGAGGACGAGCCCTGGCACGTCGGGCAACATCAGGTTGTCCTCGCAGACGACACACACGTTTCTGCGCTCGCCATAGCAGCGTTCGCAGTAGACGGCGTTGCAGCCGAGCGCCTCACACTCAAGCAGACTGTCGGTGGCCAGGGCGCACACAACGCAGTGTGGCCGCGAGTGACCTCCGAAAACCATCCTGGCCAACCAGAACCTTCAAAATTTATTTTAAAATAAAAAAAATATTAATTTTTTTTATAAATAATTAATTTAAAGAACTATTTGAAGTTACTCAACCTGTCCCTGAGTTTTTCAATCAGGTCGCTTGGTTTGAGGGGTTCGACGTGTCTCCTGGCGCCGGCCAACCTGGCCAGGTCGCTCAGGAAACCGCCCCTCTCCCTCAAGATGTGCGCACAGAGCCACACTGCTCGCGCCCTGGCCCTCTCAGGGTAGTACCTGTTGAGCACGTGCGGCCGCAACCTGAGCACGAACGGCTCCAAAAGGGCCAACACCCACGCGAGCACAATGATGCTCCCTGAAAATGACCCGATTCAACAAAAGCATTTGTGTTTTCATGGTCTTTCTGACCGATTCGCAGGTAGAGATCAAAGTCAGGTTGGATTGGCTGCGGCAAACAAGAGGCGGGGTTCAGCTCGGCCAGAAAGTCATGGTCTTCGCGCAGAGGGGCACTTAAGGTGTCGGAAAGGTTGCGGAACATCTCGGGGATCAGACCCTGACCTTCCACTTGCAATTTTACCGCTGGAATTTCTGAAAAATAAAAAAAGATATAATCGGAAATTTTATATCGCAGCTACTTTTTAAATGATACAAGTACTGGAAAGTTTCCAGTTAATTATTAAAACAATTTAAAATAAATTAACTTTTAAAACTTCAAATGAATGAGGGCCTAAAATAAAAATTGAAATCATAGATTGAAAACCTATGTATAAATTCATATCAAAAGTTGCTTAAAAACCAACTTTGATATGGCTGTCGCTAAGATAACTGAAAATTCAGAACTAAGTCAATAATTCTTCAAATTCTTCATATCAAAATTTTTTTCTTTTAATTAACTACCTGGAAAAGTAGTGCCAATGACAGTGTCTCGGCGGATGAGGTCAAGCACCCAGAAAAGCGCGTAGTCACATCCGATCGAGTACAAAACATTCAAAGTTGAGAAGAAAAGGAAAACGAGAGAGCGGAAAAATCGCCGTCTCTCGCTGCGTAGCAACCTGAACTGACCAGGCTGCAAAAAATAAAAATACTATATCAATGTGAATTTTTGACAAAGTAAAAACCGCACGCTGCAGTAGAGCCGTTTTTCCGAGCTGGTGAGCGGCAGGATGGGTGGACTGCCCTGACGAAGGCGCTCCAGATCGATTTCGCGCACCTCTTGCGTCAGGTACACGTTGTCAAAGCGGTCGCTGGTCTTGAACTTCTGATGGTACCTGTACGCTCTGGAAATAGAATTATTCATTTTTCATTCAATAAACCGAGTATTTGTTAATTTTTATCATTTTTATCTGTAAATTTTTCAATTTTAAAAAATTAAATTAAATGATGCATTCTTTTTATACTTGTAAAAGACGACGATCCATGCGAGGCCCAACAGGCCACCCACCAGTTGGTACAGCAAAAGCACAGGTCGGTAAGTGTCCTTGAGCTCAGCTTTCATTTCGTGCAGCATTTCGGCCACCGTCCTGTTGTCCAGGGCGTGCAGCTCGGCGTCAAATTTGTGCTCGTAGTCGACGTTCACGTAAAAAAGCTCGTCCATCGCGTCGAGAAACTCGGCCCGCACTATAAACATTAAATTGATGGAAGAAGGTAAGCAACCCGCTTCACAATCCACTCGAGCCGGTTGACTATCTCGAGTGGCTGCAGGCGCTTTTTTCAATTTATGTTATGAAGATTGGGGAAAAGCCTACAATTTTCAAAACAGGGTTACTTTTATGGCTTAAAATTTGAAGTAAAAAATCTTATTTAATGAAATCATGAACCAAAATTTCAAATGTAAAAAAATATTATTTTAATAAAAGTCCATGATAATAGCAAACAAACATGAATAGGCTAAAGTTTGTCAAAATTCATTTTAGAGGAGCCCTAAAATTTCAATAAATTATTTCTTATCAGAATGAAATAATTCGCCAAGATCCTTAATAAACAGTTATTTCTGAGTGAATTATATGAAGAGAGACTTTTCATCTTTTGTTTCAGTTTTTCTAATTTTTTGGTTTTAATTTTGGTTTTGAAACAAAAGAATTTACTTTTGTCGACGGTGGAAGTGATGGTCTCGGCGAGCGGGTCGGTGGCCACGCAGACGAGCGAAACGGCTGACAGCGAGTTGCAGACGAGCGAGCCGGCGTAGACGACGCTGCAGAGCCACGAGAACGCAGGGCCCAGGGTGGCCGAGCATTCGGCCGAAGTGTGTTCGAAAAGTTGGTAGCACCTCTCGATTGGCGTGCCGAACTCTGAGTTGCACACGCCGACCACGTGCTCCAGCCACGCTACCGACGATTTCAGAACATCACCTGCCCAATTAATTTGTAATTAACATCAAAATTTAAAAAAAAAAAAACTTATTAAATTGTTAGTAGTTGAAATAAATCCATCTAATATTAAATATTGACATTTTCTTCCCGGAATAACTTATTGTTTAATTATAGATCAATTTTTTAAGAACTAAAAATATGCTAACCAATGGCGGTGATGACTTTCTGCAAACCGTTCAGTGCCTCCTTAATCTTGGCTACGGAAGTTTCAATCGCTTGAAGCGCCCTGGAAACGGCCCTTTTTGCATTTTCTGCGGGTCTCTCCACGATATCCACCAACTTCCCAAAGCCTTTACCAGTCAGCTTCTGGCAAATAAAAAAAATTTTAAAATAATTTATGAAAGAAAAATGATTTTATAAATGTATGATTTTTATTTTTTTCCCTACATACCAGTGTGCACGTGAGCGAATGGGCCGTCTCGTGCATGTTGTAGACGGTGTTGGTGACGGGGCCGTTGAGCGCGAGGACGAAGGCGGCGGCGACCAGGGCTTGTCTGCCCCTCTTGGACGCAAACTGCGGCAGCACCAGCAACACGACGCACCTCACCCTTGCCGAAAGGGCTAAGCCGAGGCACAGAAAGGGGGCCAGCAGAACCACCACAGTTGTGGCCTTCACCAGGCCCATCCGCACTTGCACGCTCAACACCATGAGCAAAGCCAAGGACAGAACAACGCCGGCTTCACATATCAAAATTTAAATGTTTGATATTTTTTTTTTTTTATAAATAATTTGGCAATGATCAATTTTAGTTTTATTTTGAAATTCAAAATGTTATATTAGGTAAGTATTATTAGAAGATTTCTTCAGAATATTTAGATTTTGACACTCAAATTATACATCTTTTGTATGACGGAGTTACAATTTTTTAAATAAATTCAGAATTTCCATAGAATAAATTTTCTGGATGTTTCAAATTTAAGTTTACCAAAGAACCCAAGCAGAGATTTGAAGACAAACGCGATGAATTCATTCTGGCAGAACTTGAAAGGTTTGCAGCAGAAGGCCCGAAAGCGTTGGTTGTCCCAGAAGTCCTCGTCCTGCACCACATCCTGAACCCACTGGGCTTTTTGCCGCACATAGTGACGAACCCGCCACAGCAAAATGTGCGACCGAGCCAAGTTCACAAAGTAGCTCATGCTGCCAAGATCTTTTCAAATCGTCAATCGAAAGGCAACAATCAACAATAAGAATTTGCAACAATGAGTTTTGTTTCAATAAAAAGCATTGCATTGAAATTTTATAATGTTAGGATTCCACATAATATTTATTTTATTAATCATCATGATCTTTCTTTCATATCTTGGTTCATCGGGTTTTAATAAATATTTTGACGAGTGCTTAGTGCTGAGAAACAGACAGAATACTTTTCCCCAAGAGAGAGAAAACAGTGCAATTAGTCGATGAACGTCTGCTCGACGCACGCCTTCACCTGCTTCTCGTACTCTCTTCGGTTTTCTTTGTAGAGTTGTGCTGCCATAGAGTTTGCCGGCGAATTTGGGTTTGGATCGCTCAAAAGTGACTGAAAAAAAAAATAGAATTAATACAAAATAGCTCATCAATAAGAAGAAGAAGATTCAGGTTTTATAATAAATTCAAATTGATTCAAATTTGCCCACATTTAAATATAATTTATTAGACGAACATGCTAAAAACTTAAATAAAATTAATTTGAATTTTATAATTTAATTTTGGTCAAAATTTTTATTGAACAATTATCAATTTATAAGATCCATAAATTTAATGATAAATTAAAAAAAAAACTATTTGTTAATATAAATTTTATTTCTTTCATCTTATGGACATTTCTAACAGCAAAATTGCCGTACGTAAGATGGAGAAAAAAATTGGTTCGACTATTATTCTGCACAATTTCAGTTTCAGAGGCAAAACTTAACCAAAAAGATGATGCAAGTATGAATTATTTTTGCAATATGAAATTCAAATATATGAAAAATATTTATAAATTTAAAAAAAAAATCAAATTAAATTACTTTGATTGGCAAAACTGTTTCCCTATTTTATATCTACTGCAAGAAAAAATACTTCACGTTGCCTAAAAGAGCATAAAAGAGTAGTTAATTTTTCTCCTATGTTTAAAGCGAGTAAAATAAAAAAAAGAAGAAATTCAAAACCATGAACTCCTTAATACATTCGAAATACTTCTGGAAGCTGCTCATGACCATAATAGTGGAATAATTAAAGTGACCTTAGTGATCAGTTTCTAGGCAATGAGAGCGAAGGTCAGACCCACAACTGTCCTTTCACTTGCTGATTTTGGCGCCAAGCGGTACTTTTATCGCGGAAACACAATCCAATAAAACTTAACAAAACCTCAAAATTTGGCTTCAAACCGGAAGTGAAAGTATTTTTCTTAATTTCGAGGCCAAATTTGAAATCCTTGGCCAGGTGAGAAACGCACCTGGATAGAGGTGAGTATTGCTGAAACGTCGTAGGTGGGACTCCACCTGTTCTGCAGAATGTCGAGGCAGATGCCGCCGTCGGCGTAGACATTCGGGTGGAACATTTTCGACACGAATTTCACGGTCGGGGGCTTGTTCGGGTACTCCTCGTTGAACTCCATTGTCAGCTTGAACGTGCCGTCCTCGAACGGCGTGTCGCTCGGGCTAGGTCAAAATGAAATTACTCTCAGGTCACACTCGAAGGTGGAAGGACTCACCCGAACATCACAGCATTCCACAGCATGATATTGTTGTCCGTCGGAGCGGCGCTCACCCCCGGAGGAGGGTCTTCCTGTAACCTGAAATCGAGCCGATTCGCCGCATTAGAACGCGCAATTTTCAAATTTAAGAACGCTTGGGAACTCGAACTACTCGCTCGAAGGCCTCAGGGGGCACCAGAGGCCCTCGGAAGGGCCAAATACCTTTTAAAATCGCGCATTAGACGCCGTCGCGCTGGAGTTGACATTGTTTGCAGCTGACACTGATTTTTAGGGGGGTGTGCGCAAAGGAGAAATGCGGGGGACGGGAGTTGACCAATGAGAGGCTTTTAATGAGGAAAGCACTCGCTCTCCTTTGCTTACTACCCACTTTCTTGCAGCTGAAGGCCGATTTGGCAGGGTTGCCGAATTGTACGGGAGAAAAGATTGGCTATCGCTGAAAATACGTCATTGAAATTTAAATTTTCGCCAATGAGGGAACGTGCAAAGAACCAGCAATGCTATGTTCAATGTGCGAATACAACTACATTCTGATTGTTTTATAAAAAAAACTTTGATATTTGATTGAGAAATATTTGCAAATCTGGTGAATAATTTTTATAAAAATTAATACATTAACTATTTAAATGTACTCAAGTGGGGCTAATTTTATGAATTTTATGATTTAAAATTTTAAAAAAAAATACATAAAAACAAAATGGCATACTTTATTTTTCACTATAAAATTTGTAAAAATAAGATTATTTCATTCTCAATTCTCATTTGAAAAATCTGGATTTTTTATTAAAATAAATATTATATACTATATCGTTTTTGAGGTGAACAAATATGTCAATTTTATAAATGAGGATCAACACGAAGCATCTGATATCAGTGCGCCTGTCCGCAATTTGTGGCTCGTCTCCGGAGAGGGTTGGCAGAGGAGCTAGAGTCGTCCTAGCGGTGGGTAGCATCGTCTTTGTTGCTCCCAAGATCTCATCATGATCGGATCGAAAAAGCGAACGGCGGGCAGTGGCAGCTCAGCAGGTTAGTTCCCTAATGTTTTTTTTTTTTTTTTTTTTTTTTTTAATAAAAATCTATTTTACGTTTCACAAACATGTTAATTTGAATCGTCATCAATAATCATAACTAAAATGCTAACTTTTCAAGAATTCTAATTGTCGACATCAAAATTTGGCAAAATAATTGATTAAACTTTCTTATGAATTTAGTTTCAATTAGAAAAGTGACCTTGCAGAAATTATTATGAAATTTTAATGTTCCATGAAACGTGTGTGCACTAAGCTTTCTGCTTGTTTGAGTTTGAATATGCCATTTAATTATTCATAAAATCGTAAAAAAAACTTCATGTATAGCAATACTAATTGTCTCTTTTTATTCTGCACCTGTACTCTTGAAGTAATTTTAATGAAAACAAAATAATTTATTCATGTGACAATTTCAAACCCAGTATTCTTTTTCCATCACGCTAATGACAATGATTTGTAACATCATAAAGCAAACGGAATTCAATTTTTAAATTTTATTTATACTAAAAACGAAAAAAATTTGCACGCAAATTAATTTGGCAAACACTGAATAAAAAATGAGTCTTTTTAACATTTCTTTTTTTTATCAGGATCAAAACGGCGGCGGCGAACTGCAGGCGGCGACGACGGTCCTTCGTCAAAAAAGCAGCCGTCGATTCGGTGCGAAGGCGCAGCCGACGGCCCTTGGTGGTCGAGTGCGATGGACGGCTGGAGTTTGTTCAAAGCCTTTTGCGACAGCACGGCCCTGCACGGCCTCAGGTACATCACCGCCGAAGGCATGCCCGTCGCACACAGGTCAGTGAATTTTGATAATTTTTTGCTTTCGCTTGGGAGAAGATAAAATTTAATCTCAAATTTATTCAATTTTTTTCTGTTCCTTTTGCAAAAATTCCATCTACGTGGCTCATTTTAAACAATCGATTAACTATTTTTTACATTATAATATAAAATTAATGAAACAAATTTAGATTTTATTAATTTTATTCAAAAATAAGAAATTGCTATACAATTTAAATCTTTTCCAGCAAATAAATTTAAATTTCCAAACTAATTTGTTTTCGTTAAAAGTGATTAAAAGTTTGAGAAAAGTAAAATTTGACATACTTCAAGATTTTTTATAAAAGAAGAGCAGACGTTTGTTTAAAAAGCATAACATTATTAAATATGTTTTCCCAAACTTTGTCAATAGGGCTCAAAACAGGGAACTAACAACTACCTTGCTACTTATTATGCCCTTCTTTGAAAAATTTCGCTTCTGTCGTTTTCGTCTGCTTTTGAAAGACAACAAGCGACGAATCTCGTACCGAACTCCCACGCATCTCTCTCATCAAAGTGCTTTTGCTTGTTTCTCATCCAACCGCGATCTCCCGCGGGAGAATAAAGGGCATATAGGAGTGGTCTTGTTATTAATTTAATTTTGTAATAAAACTGAAGGAGAAAAGAAAATTTTGAAGAAAAAAGAAGAGAGAGAGCTGACATAGAATATAATTATGAAAAACGGTCCAAAGTTGAAGAATTTTCTCTCCACCCCAGTTTTCACGGCTACCGCGCTTGCAGAAAGAAATAACAGATCGATTTTCGAAACTTTGCCAAAACTTTGCAAAACTTCACCAAGATATAAATGAAACGTCAATTTCTCTTTCCATAACGTTTGCTTTCAGGCCAACTCGCTCTCTATCAATTTATTTATGTTATGAAACTTCAGTTCTACACGGTTCAGTACTATATTAAATTAAATAAAAAATTGAAATAAAATTTTTGAACATGATTTTAAAGTTATGAGGTTGACTGCTAAAATAAAATCAACAAGGAGCAAAATAAGAATTTATTACAATTTAAGTATTATTTAAATATTTTAAATTTTAAATTTTTCTTTTATTTAGTAAACATCCCCGCATAATTACAGAAATTTCCCTCTTTTTTAAAGAAATTTTTTAAGGAAGTTCAAGGTTCAATTTTGGAGCACGTGGACAATGGGTGCCGTTTGCGTGACACGCGTCCTATCTGCTCTTGATCAGTGTTATTGTTCAGCGGTGGAAAATGTGTTTGCTTTGCGCACTGAACGCTTGACTTGTCGCGAAAAATGGAAATGTGTGTGCAGATCGATTGTTGGTTGTTCTCAGGGTGGTGTGGGTGGTGACGTGTTTCGCGGGCCTGTTCGGCGCCGGCTGGCTCATCTGGTCCATTTGGCTGCGCTACCACCACAGCCCGACCGTCACCATGGTGCAGGACACCTCCTACCCCCTCTACCACATACCCTTCCCGGCGGTCACCGTCTGCAGCGTCAACAAGGTGCTCAGGGCCGAGGCCGTCAATTTCGTCCAAGAGTGAGTTCAGAAGAAAACAAAAGAAATTTTTGAAATGCAAAGTTAATTTGTGAAGATTTTTTAATTTCATTAACAAATTAATTTGAAGATAAATTTTACCACACCTTCTTATTCGACTTTTTTTTCCTACTAAATTTAAATTGCCTTTTCATCCCTAAATATAGCGGTTTGTTTTTGCAACCCACGCTTTGTTTTATCACGTCTGTTGGGCCTTGAGCGAAATGCAAAGAAAACATTTCGCGTCGGATTTAATCTCTTGTATTTTTCCGGCGGCAGGTACACGGGGAAAAACGGCAGCGATGAGACGGCGCCGTATCTGGCTGTGGTGGGCGCCCTCGGTCTCATCAGCTACCCCACCTACCACCGACCCTTCCAGTTTTTGAAGTGAGCTCTGCTAAATTCTTTTATATACACTTTGTAACTAATCGCGGGCGCGCGTTTCGAGTGCAAACAAAACGAGTAAAAGGCTCCATAACAGCACATTTCCTAATCTCTCACTTACTTCCTTCGAGCAAAACGAGAGGGAAAATAAACAAAGAGTTTAGGAACGCAACTGGACAATGTTTGCTTTGAGAAAGAGTTCGGGTATTATAGAAGAAAAACTTGATCCCATATCATGCTGGCTGACGGGCCTAACTAATTGTAAGAGACTAGTAAGTTTGATTTTATGTGGGACGGAAAATATAAAGAAAACTTGAAGAAAGTGGAATGAATTTTTATCTTTTCCTCTCATTTTATTGAAACCCGATTGAGAAATAAAATATTCATAAACGCTTAGTTGCCAAAACAAAATTCTTTTAATTTTCAATGTTACAAAAGTAATTAAAAATGAAAATCTTTTATTCAACCACAAGATAAAATGATTAAACTTTTATGCCTATTATAAATGCGAATTTTTTTAATGCTTTTGAAAGTTATCATAATCAAAATCATTTTCTTTTACAAACAAGTATTTTTTTTTTTAAATTTATATGCATTATTTTACGGGGTGATTAAAAATATAATGAAAATTGTTAATAATTAATTAAATTTGAATTAGTTACAACATGAGTGGTCGTCCACTGATGAAAGACGTAAACGTGACGCAATTGATGCTGCGCGTGATGCCGCGATGCTCGGACATTCTGGTCGCGTGTTTCTGGAAGGGCATGAAGATCAACTGCTGCGACACCTTCCGCGTGCAGCGAACCGAGGAGGGCTTTTGCTACTCGTTCAACTCCAGGACGGCCGAACGAGCCGACGGACAGCCGTGAGTAGCAAAAACTTCTTTTCAAAGGGAATAATTGATTTCCTCGTCGTACATTTGGACTAGCGTAGCAAAGGGATACATCCAATTTTAACTTATTTTATTGTGCGGTTTCGTACTTTGAATTTTTTCAATTAACAAAATAATCATTTTGAATCTACACCAACGCAACCTTTGAGATGATTTTTCTTATTTCTATACATAAACCCAATTACTTGAATTAGTAATAACCCTCTTGAGCTTTGTAGTGCATAGAAAAAAGGCGCAATTTTTTTACTGTCATTTGCACGCTTACCGATTGATTTTATTTTTGCAAAATACACCTCATTAAAACAATTTTTTCTAATAAAAAAAATAATAATTGTTGGACAAAACGGCACCACCACTATAATAGCAAGAATTTTGCTAAAACTTCGGAGGTAAAAAAAACCATATCCCCTGCAGTGTGAGGCTCGGGTTGAATTGGTTTTTGTTCTTTTATCGCTACCATAGGAATTAATAAATAGATGACATTAATTTTGATAAAAAAAATGATATTGGGGACAAATAAAAGTTTTAGCCGAGATCGAATTCAGCGAGAGTTAAGTATTTTTCCATAATTATCTTAACAACAATGCTATGCGCCTTTTATTATGCTGCCCTGCTGATTTTTAAGATAAATGTGAAAGGAAATAATTGACTTATGATCACTTTCGATAAATTTATATAATATTAACTTTTCCTTTTTAATCTATGAGAAAAAAATTCAAACTGGAGATTTTCACCTCCTTTTTCCTCGTTTCCCGGATAAAAAAGTTTGTCAAAGGCGTTAGCAATCGAATAATGAATAATTGATGGTTGCTGCTGTGCTGCAGCTGGATCGACGACGAGTCTCAACTGCTGCGTAATAACGCAGCTGGGGCAACAACGGGCCTCGAAGTGTTCTTCAAAGGTCAAGAGGGACAGGCGATCGAGGGCTTCGATATCCTGCGCGGCGTCAACGTGAGATCCTTCAAACTTGCCCGCGACACTAAGCACTTTTTTCTGATGCACGCGACCTACTTTCCAGGTGCACGTCCACCACCCGGACTCGTTCCCCGACGTGGCCAAGGGGCTCTTTGTGCCCGAGGCAAAGACGCACGTTCTGATGGCGCAGGTAATGGTACTGTACCTTCCAATTTGGTCAATCTTGACCGGACACACAAACACCGCACTCCCTGTGGCCTCTCGTGCTTATGGTGGCTTACCCGGTTGACGGAAAATCAGAGAGGCTTTTTACTGAAATATATTAATTCAACAGGCTTTTTGTTTCAAAATTTCCGAGAAAAACGGCTTATTTATGTGACGTTGCCTCAGCTATGCACTTTCTCATAAGCGCAGGGTGAGTCGCTTTACCAGCAGGTTAAAAGCTGCAAGTAAATAAGGAAAATTTACAAAAAACGATATTCTTCAGATTTTTTTTTTTATTATTAATAAAAATAAACTCCATATTTACTTATTTTGTTTGGACACTAATTCCTCTTTATTCCTGCGTTTAAATTGGTCTTAATCTTCCTTTTACCTTTCAGAAATCAGAAGGAAAAACTAGGAAATTCTTTTTCATTAATTTCCAACAATAAATTAAATCAATCTTGTCTTTTAAAACAAAAACTCATTTCCAATATTTAAAAACGCCAATTTGGAATAAATGTAAACAAATTTTGAAAAAAAATCCCATGAAACCTGCTGGTGCGATGGGCCCTTGCTGATTTTCATATCTCTGTGTGAAAAATCTGCACCGACGGCCATAATTTTGTGCTCCAGCAGGTGTCGCCGTCGCAAACCGAGAGCACGGAGGAGGTGCGCGCCATCGACCTGGCGCTCCGAAGGTGCTACTTCCCTGGCGAAGGTCGCGTCACAGGTCTGCCGATGGCCGGTGGCTATCAGCAGGACAGCTGCTTCATGGCGTGCCGAATGCACTTCCTGGCCGCCGCCTGCAACTGCACGCCCTACTTTTTTCCCAGGAACATAGGTGAGTCATGCTTTCTTAATTATGAGAGAAACGGAAAAAACCCTGAAAATTAAAAAAAAAAAAAAATGCTGGTGCATTTAACTTGATTATTTAAAAGGTGAGTGAAGTTTTAAATGCGTTGATTATCAAATTACGCAATTAAAGCTTTTACATGAAGCTGATGGGAAAAAATAAAAGAATTTGTAGACAAAAATAATGATAAATAATGCATGGTATCATGAATTAAAATCAGCTTTTTAATTGTTTTGCCTTTTATTTCATTAATTTTTTTCAATTCAATATGAAATAATTCGGCAGTTTAAAGAAACTTTGTACTTTAATGATTATTTTATGTCAGCAGTAATTTCATAATTATATTCAAAAAATTTCACAGAACGGCTCAAATATTATTATTCTCTGGTTCACCTACCGCCAGCTCGCAAATATTGAAAAAGCACTCACGGTGCTCGCTTTATTGGAAATCTAAATTAAGAGGCACGCTGGAAAATTCTACCTCATATTATTTCACACTTCAATGTTTGTAAAATTTAAATTTCCCTAAATATCTGGTTCAAGAATTTTGCGTTGAATGTGATTATATTATAAATTGTTTTGCAGGCGTGCGCGAATGTGGAGCCATCGATCTCGAGTGTCTGAGCAGGAACAACGGTGAGTACGAAAGTTCCCTGCGCATAATTTGTTTGCTGATATTTTCGCCCACGCGCATTCTTCGCGCCTTTGGTTCATTATCAAAGTCAAGTTTTGTGCCACGCTGATGAGGAGAAACTTTTAAGGAAGTAATTTATTTTCGTCCTTAATTACATGTATATGCGTTTTATTATCAACGTCGCTGCCGAGCAGGCCGAGCTTCACATTAAAAAGGGAATGTTAAGTTTTCCAGTTGTAAGCGTGACAAGAAATTTGTCTTTTTTTATTATGAGGGAACATTTTACTTAAAAGCCCTTGACGTGTCTTTTTGACTTATCAAAAACGGGTCATGAAAAGGAAATGAAAAACAACAATTTCCTTGGAACCGAAAAGGCTTTTGAAGAAATATTAATCAATCAATCTTCCCTTGTATGTAAAATAAAATTCGTAATTTAATTCTACATTATTTCCCTCCAAGAGGCTTAAGAATTATTTTATTGTGAGGCTAAATTAAAGAATGATATATCTTGTAATGTTGAAAAAGTGTACTGTAGGGGACTTGATTGTGCTTATTATACAATTTAACACCCTATTTATAGCACAATCCTTTATTTTGCGGAAACTTTGCGAGCCTCTAATAATTTTTTCGCTCATACATCCGTTTTTTTACGAGCATCGCCACTTTAATGAATAATTAGGCTATTTTCACGATTGGATGTTAATGAAATGATTAACAGTTAACACTATAGTGAACAATTGAATAATAATAATATTAATTATATATTTGTTTGAAGAAGTTGACACTCGAGGAGATGATCATGGCAATGAAGATTTGGGCTTTTCCTCGTTGCAAAAAAATTGTTTTTATTCAAAAACAAACGGCTCTACCAGTTTCGGTCACGGTCTGCGACCCTATTTCATGAGCAAGAAAAAATACAAAAAATCAGCAAAATTGAAAAAAACCACATTTTAACATAAAAATAAAAATCTTAAAACTAACAAATTCAAGTACCAACCTATTTCATGAGCAAACGCGCTGCTCGCTGACTAATACAAGAATGAGCTAGCTAAATTTTTTGTATTTTTTCTTGCTCATGAAATAGGGTCGCAGACCGTGACCGAAACTGGTAGAGCCGTTTGTTTTTGAATAAAAACAATTTTTTTGCAACGAGGAAAAGTCCGAATCTTCATTTGCATTAATTATATAATAGGCAACAAAATTGTCATCTTGAGTAAATAAATTCCCCACCAATAGAATTAACATTTACACACACGCAGATTAATTACTCGTTTTAAGTGGCAAAAAAAAGCTAGCGAGCGTGGACAAAAAATAATGGCAGTTCCGACAATGAGGTATCAAAAAAAGATATACCTTTTTCAAAACCACAATACATAAAACAGTTGTGAGATGCGATTCCACTTCTTTTCCCTATATTTTCCCTTTCCTAAAAGAAATACGTGTCACTTTGTAGACGTGAAAAGGTTTTGATAAGAGAAAACTAATTTTTGATAAGACTGCGAGGCACCTACGCTTTGACTTTTTAATGTTGCGTTTTTGGTTGAATTCACTTACTGGGTTGAAACGACTCAAACAACAATGTTCTCTTCCTCTGTCATAATAATCGTCCTGTTCGCGTTGGGAGGTATGAAAACAAGAGAGATATTTTATAGAAAAAAAAATAATGTTAATTTGAAACTTTACGGAATCCCAGCAAATGCCGTCAACGGACCCATACGTACAATTTTGCCCTCTGCGTATCCATACATGGTATTGCAAAGCTTCACTCGTAAAAAGTCGCACAATGATTTAAAATTGATCAAATAGTTTCGCGTGGACGAATTCATGGAAACAACGCCAGGAATGTTCGTCTCAAGGAAATACATGGTCACCAACGGCGATCTCATCGAGTGCGTAATTTTTATTTATTACTTTTGCTAATTTTTTCCCTTAACCTCTTTAAATAAGAAAAAACTAAATTTTCATGGTTGCTAATTAATAATAATTAATCTTGTTACTTAGCGATACATGAAACATTTTTTTATTTCAAATTTCGCTCAACAAAACTTGCTTGAAATCGCGATATTAGCCCTGGTGACCCATGCACTTTGGTGGTTGGAAGCGTCCCATACGAGGCTGTGAAAAGATACAGAGACGACACCAGTTATATGTTGGTTGTGAAGGTGTGCTACACGCACAGAGGACCTTACTACCCCCTGACGCCCTCCTTGCACCACGATTTCTCAACTCAAATCGCCGGAACCGTCCTTTATTACGACAAGGACAGCGTACGAAATAAATTATTTATCATACTCAATTTGCTTATTTTTTTCAATATCCTCCATCTCAGGTGCTTTATGGATACAATGTGACGGTGCTTGCTAACAGCGACTGTCCAGGCGAGTTTGAGCAAAATGGATACGATCCGACAGACTTTGATTCCAGCTTGGAGTGCTGCATCCAATTTGACGCTTCTAACTGCTCCGTAATAGATATTTTCTATTTTTTTTTTTTGTACATTTTTCAGTGAAATTTTATATAGTACTCGGAGGTGGACCCTAACAATGGGTGGCAACTCAACTCGGCGCTGGCCATTAATGGCATCGTTGTCGGCTTCATCAACTACAACCGTTGCGCCAACAACTACGTTTTTGAAGGCCCGTCTTCTTTTTTCCGCGTCCAAGTGTTCCGAGATTTTATATTGGACAACGCCGAAGGAGTCGTCATACCATGAGAAACGTTTCAAAATATTTGAAAAAATTAAGCATTTGAGCTTGGATGCTTGATTTACTTCTCAACAAGTTTTTTGTGTGCTTAAAATTTGAATAAAATTATTTGGTTCGATTGATTATGCGTTTCTGTTGTTTTATATTTATCCTCATTGATAAAGTGAAAGAAAATTTAATTTTCTTTAATATTATACATTATAGTAAGCACAAAATTGAATTTGAACTGAGTATTCTTTTGCTTGAAGCTGCCACGAGGAGCAACAAGCCGCCACGTGGAACCCCAGGTTTCCACACAGACGAATCGGCGCTGGACTGTCAGTGTTTGCCGCCGTGCACCGAGACCCAGTACAGCGTTGAAAGCAACTATATACAAACGTGAGTTTATCTAAATTTTATAGATGCTCGCTAAATTAAGGACTGTTTTATATATTCCGGAGGATATATGAGCCTTTTTGCAGCTGATTTAGACGGCAAGCACGGGCTTTTGATGAAAATAAATATTTCATTAATTTCTTGTTCTGCATTTTCTTAAAATTTCCAAATTTGATTTTTTTTTATAAATTTGCACATGCAAATTTGAGGGGGAGAGATTGACAAAGTGACTTAAAAATAATTTTTTCAACTTTTTTAAAACTTATTACTATTAAAAAAATTAATAAATAAAAAAAATCTTCGCTTCAAAATTAAAATTGCATAATTTTATTTCAAGGCTAAAAAGAGCTTAAGTGAGGATGTTCCGAAAAATTGAATCCACTGTTACTCTCTATAAACCCTACTTTCAAAAAATCTTACAACCCGCTCGCCATGTAAAGGAAGCAGGTTGCATATCTATTCTCTTATTTTTATATTATTTACAATAAGAATTAGTGCAAATTGCTCAGAGCTATTAAAATTTTTTGACAGGGGAAACCTGGAGCTAAAAAGCGGTGATGGCTACGTGGACATTTTCTACAAACAGATGGGCGGCGTGCGATTCATGAAGGATGTAATGTTTGGATGGATGGATTTACTTGGTAGCGACAAAAAATTGCAAAAGAAATATGTTATACAAAAAATGATTAATTCCAGTTGCCTTTGGGGGCATTGCCGGGCTCTTCCTTGGCTTCAGTCTGCTGAGCGGTGCCGAGTTGGTCTATTGGATTTTTGCTGGCGTCGCAGTTTGCCTAAGGTTCACCTTTTTTTATTTTTTATCAATTACACTTTTTTATTAGCAATCAAATTTTAAAATAGGCAATTTTTTTACTGTTTTCAAACTAAGCTTTTTTACTTTAATTATAATATTGTGAACTTTGAGAAGTTTGATTCATAGATGTGTATAATTTAAATGTTTTAAAAGGTGGAGGCGTGAGAGACGGGAAAAGGGCACCCGTGCGTTGGTGCGCCGCAGCAGTTGGCTGCTGGACATTGCAAGGGTGCGCGGCCTCACCCGCACGCCCTCGGCAGAAAAGCGTTCGCCAGCCGCAAACTCGGCTAAGGACGATTTCATTGCCGTCAACGGAGTCCAGCAGCAGATCACCAGCGTTTTCTGAATCTTGCGAATTTAAAATTATACGGGTTTCAAAAAATAATATGTCATGGGGTGACTGTGCAAAAGCCCAGGGCGTCATAGCCCTGAAGAGAAAACGCAGACAAAATTAGCGCAACCACTTATAAAAAATTAATAAAGGAAATCTTTGAAGAATTACACGGAACATACATACATAAAGCTGTCGTAAATTAAAAATTAAATATTTTTCTTGGGTATGTATTTTTATCAACTGCAGATGTCTAAATACTCATCAAATTTAAAAGTGGAAGGATTTTGACTGATCTAATTTTGAATGAAACTTGAATTTAGTTGACTGGGGAAATTTTAATGAGTGGAATAATATGCATTTTACTTAAATTGCTGCAAAATCTATATTTTATCCCAAGAAAAGAGATCCATTAATGTTGACTGCTAATTGTTAATTTTATTTTATGTTCTGCATTCTCCTTAAATCTGCTTATTAAGTACCGAGTGGTACGGTGTATATTTTAATTATGAAGGGAATATTTTGAATTAATTATTAATGATGCAATTATTTGAAATTAATAGACAAAGGCTCCTTAATTGCAAATCTCTCTTTGTCTAAATATTATTAAATATATTATGTACCTGTCTAGGTGTCCAAAAAGCACATCAAAAATATTTTATGTTTGATGTAATTTAAGTTGTTTTGAAAATTAAATGTTCCTTATTATATGTTGTTTTTTACAGCAGCATAAAGCAATTTACTAAATATCATTTTAATTTAAGAATATTGTAGTGGAGAGATTTCAAATTTATCTGTTTTATATTTCCTGTCCCCGCAATTTCTATAATCCGTCCACTTCACTCCATCCACTAAGACGCGTGATAAGCCAAAGGTCTCGTTTTATTTGTCATAAATTGATCTTAAACTATTTTAATGTTATAAATTGAAGTTGTAACGTAATTTTGTGTAATTGTCCTGCAGTCTGTAAAAGCAGAGCGGAAAATAGCATTCCTGCTGTTTGCACAGAAAGAGAAATGTGAATGACAGGGTTTCAATTTATGACCAATAAAAATTATTTAAAGGCAAAATTATTTTAAACTATATTTACATTTTAACTGAAAGCAACCTTTATTCGCCTTTATTAATGCACTTCAGATTTGAACTCACAATCAGATTTTTAGTCTTCGATTTTTGGAGATGATTTTAAGCAGAAAATGTTTTTGTTCTTCGAACCAATATAATCAAAACAATATATCATAAATTTCATATGTTGATAAAATTACTTAATTCTACTGCATCAAAAGTAACTTTGAATTCATATCGAAATACAATTTCAAAAGAGAAATTTTTTAATGTTACAAAAGACATGTTAGTTGTAGAACTCACTCGTGTTTTGTGGGCCATCCAAAGCCAAGAGCACAAACATCGCCCTGAAGTGGGGAGTAGTTCACTTTGAGACCTTCAGTGGTGATGTATGTTGGGTTTTGGTCAGCCAAAATTGGCACCATCCTGACTCTACTGCTGAGGTGGTTGATGAGCACAGTATACTTTGTGTTCTCCTTAAGCAAAATTGGATTGACCAAGTCAATTAACGAGTCCTCCTGCTGAGCATAGCTGTGCTTGTTGGCAGGAGTGTGGAAGCTACACGACGATTTAATTTCCATGTCTTCCTTTAGGTCAACCCGGATGCTCATTTCAAGGCCAGGGTTTAGGTAGCAAAGACTGTGTACTCCAACAGACAGCAGGTAAACAGGTTTGTTGACTTGGAAGTCAAACTTCAGTTCCCTGTTACTGTCGCTGAGCTCTGTGAACTGCCGATGGGCAGTGTCATTGAATCTGATTAAAAAATGAGTCATTTGGCAGAGTCCTCGCCAAGGAGAAGTCAAGTCGAGACCCTTTACAGGATCAGTGGACTCTGGCAGCTCCAAGTGGGAGAAGATGGCAGCCTTTTCGTCACCAGTCAAAATTTTTGTTTTATGAGAAAGCTGGGTAAAATGAGTTTTAGAAAAAGCGCAAAAACGCACCAGGCCCATCAAACGTCCCAGCTTAGCCCTGACGGCTGCAGGGTCCGCGTTCGGCCCAACTTGAGCAAAGCCCCATTTGACAAGAGCGTCAAAAACCTGCTTCTCACTGAAGATGTTCATTTGGTCGGAGCGCAGCAGGGCCTCCACCGTCTCTTTGCTGGCCTCTTCCATGGAGGAGAGGACCTCACTGCCTCGGTCACACATCATCTGTACGATGGTAAATAAATTATAAGACTTTTAATAAATAATTTTTAAATTGAAAATAATAAAATTTAAACAAATTAACAATTTAAATTAGTGGACCGAAGAGTTTTTTCAATTAAAATTTAAAGCTCTGATTGAATTAATTTTGAAAAGGCTACTGAGACACTGCTAATTGTAAGACACAATTAGTATTGTAGAAATAAGTAGATCTAGGTCAAAAATTATTAAAATTAAGACATTTTAAATTTAATATAAAATGTTTTCTATAGAAATATTTATAATGTAATTTCAATGTAATAAATAAATTGTTATAATCATTTCTATTTTTTTTCTAAATTTAAAAATAATACCTTGAGAACAGCGGCAGCCTTTTCCTTGTAGTTGTGCAGCATGAAAAGATTGTGCAATTGAAGAAGGTCCTCGGCCGTGTGGTCAAATTGAAGGCAAATGTCGGCGGCCAGCTTGTCCAGCACAGCCACTTGCCACATTGCAGCAAATGTGAAGAGGCTTTCCGCCTGCTCCAAACTTGTGCAGTTCTCAATGATTTTCAACGTCTCACTGCCATAGATGAACCTTTTTTTTATCGGCAAGTAAAATTTTCAATTAAAAAGTGAACAATAAAACATTTTTGGAATTAGTAGATTATACCTCAGAGCCATGGCAAATATTTCAGCGTCACAGGCAGCCAGAGTGATGGGGTCGTCAGGACCCTTTTGCCCCTCTTCAAACTGGCCCAACAACATTGTCTCCAAGGCAGGACTTGCGGCGGCCAACACCTGACGATGGCACCTGAACACCTGCATTTTGATTATAAAAAATATTTAATTTTGTTGTTACAAAATTATTAATAACAATTTTATACTTTCTGGGATATTTCAGGTCCAACAGCAAAAGTGCAGTCGTAATGATCACCGCTGTCCAACCACTTGAGCAACCGGACGCTCAAATACGCCATGTGCTTTATCTGAGCCTCCCTCATGGTGTCTGATTTTGTCTCATCAGCCGACATAATTTGTTTCTTTAGCACTGCAAAATTAAAAAAAAAATATATATAAACCAAATTTTATTAATTCGAACTCCAGGAATTTTTTTATTACAACAGGAATATTCGTTAAAAATGTATAATCTATTTATTTTGAAAATTAACTTAATTAACCATATTAACATGCAGTGCTTTTGATTATATCAAACTACTCAACAGTAATGTAATAGTTTCCTGAAAACCAATATCCAAAAATCAGAAACTGTGGCGCGCACCAAGACAGCTAAACAGCACTGGGCTGGCACTGGGAGGAATGAGAGCTGCCTTTGGAAATGATTTGCCTTTGTGAACGTGAATGTAAAATTTTAAAAATGCTACAAATTCATCATCCGCTGCCTGAGTGCCACATTCCACACGAAATATAATCCCAAAAACTCAAATTATAGTCCATACATTATGTATTAGTCTTCATCCGCTTATTTTGGCGTTGGTGCTGGACTGGAATTCTCACTTCTCAAGGCCAACGAATAGCAAGTGATGCGCAAAATCCTACAGAACTGGACAAAAACAAACAAAATAAAACAACCTCGTAATCCGCAAGCGCCGATAAACGAAGGGCGAGGAAAAGAAGCCGCCGCGCCGAGCACAAGATCGAGCGGAGATTTGTTGAAATCATTGTACTTGGGCCTGCGACCTGCTGGCGACTGGCGACAGATGGAACGATTTCCCTTGCTCATCGAATTATTTGCTTCTGATTATATCCGTAAGTATATTTGACAAAGATTTTTAACCATTTCTCCTGCAATAATTTGCATTAATTGATTGCGAATGGATTTTAGGTCTCTCGTTTGAGTCTTTCTTTCGTACAGAAATAAGTTGTTCGGACACTGCGATTTTGTATTCACATATCCCATATGCATTCAACACATTTTCTCTCACTAATAATCGGTCTCTGTCTTAACATTTTAGTGCTTAAAAACTAATATTTTGCTTGATGAGAGTTTCTGGAATTTCTGTTAGTTTTCAAAAGTTTCAATTTTTTTTATTTTTGAAGAGATATTTACATAACTTTAACTTTTTTTAAACCTGTAAAAAAATGTATGAAGTTTTCAATTTCCTTTTCACAAACAATCTGTCATTGCTAATTTGCACTACATATTTGCAGCAGGATGGCTGACAGTGACAACGAGAAAGAGCAGCTGGACGAAGGGCCCAAGCCGCTCCAGGAGGATGAGGAGCTGAAAGCAAAATTCAGGGGCGCGAGGGACGTCCAGTTTTTCAAGTGGTTGGACGACCAAGAGCACGCCGACTGCACATTCATTGTAGGCCACGATCTGCTGACTCAAAAGGTTTTTTTATAATTTTTTTTCTTCATAAAAATTCATCAATAAATATGACAGACGTTTGAGTGCCACCGCCTGGTCTTAGCTGCTGCCAGTCCTGCGTTCGAGAAAATGCTGTTGGGCCAATTCCAAGAGGGCCAACAAGGTCCCAACAAAGTTCCAATCACCCTGAAAGATTGCGATCATGAAACTTTCTCATTGGTTCTTCGGTGAGCAATAAAACAAAAATCTTTATTTTTAATGTGTCCGAGATGATTTATATTTTTTGTACTTTTCTACAGTTTTGTGTATGGATGTGAGACTACCGGCGTTCGTGAAGCTAAGAAGCTGGATACGGTCGTCAATGTTTTCACCTTTGCTGCCAAGTGGCAAGTGGCTCTGCTGGACAAATTGGCTGCTGATCTATGCCTTAAATATGAACTTGACGTCGAGGATCTCTTTCATCTACATCTTCAGTTTGAACAGCACAAATTCACAGATAAGGCTGAAGAAGTCCTGCAGGTATAAAATTTGAAAATGGAAATTATTCATCTTGCATTGAAACTGAACATAATAAGAAAAGTGCTAAGGATGATATTTCTAAAATAAAAAAAAAAACGTAAATTAATTTAATCTCAGGCTCAATTGTAGTAAACAAAAACGTTTTTTTTTTTTTTAATTGGGATTTTATAAAAATTAAATTTGAAAAACCTATTTTTTTTTCAAATTTTTCATGTGATTAAAATGCATAATTATGTTGTATTCAATTAATTTTAGAATTTGTCAAATGTTTAGCTTATGTGTGACCGAGGCAGCGAAGTTCTGGCGTCATTGGAGTTGGCCAGCCTAGAAACCGTCGAAGCGCTTCTACGCTCTGAGCGTTTGAATATCTTTAGTGAAAAAGAGGTACTGTACGGCCTGTTGAAATGGGGTGCTGCACAGGCAAGTCAGGCGGCTGCAATGAATCTTTCTCCAGTCGACATCGGAGCCCTGCTCACCCCTCTGGTGTGGTACATCCGCTTCGGCACCTTTTCCAAGACAGACTTCACAATAATGCTGGAAGACTTCAACAAAATTTTCAGTAGTGTGGAGATAGCCACCATCATGGCCCTGATGGAGAAAATGAAAAAGGAAAATTGCAAAGGTTTTGACCTGGAGGCCCCTTGGCGAGGATTGTTTCGCCCTGACCCGATTCTGGTCAAAGTCAACCACCCTTTTGATTACGAGGAGCTCGTCGGCGAGAAATCTTTCCTATTTCCTTTCAACATTGAGGACAAGCCTGTGTACCTGCTGGGTGTTGGGGTGCACAGTCTGTGCCACCTGAACCCTGGTTTGCAAATGAATCTTCAAATCACCCTTCAAACTTTCTCAGTGACGGACATGGATTGGGAGACTGTCTCCGAGTGTAGCTTCAAGACTGAGTGCAACAAATTCAGCCACGCCTGCCTCACAGGTTCTATGGTCAGGCTGGTGAATCCAATTCTGCTTTCTACTGGCAAGGACTACCGTGTCGTTGTGAAGCATCAGCACGACGGCCCCAGGATGGTACCAAAGATTGAGGAAGAGGCAGACTACATGGAGGTCACTGTGAAAGGTCTTTACGTTAATTTTGCCCCTCAAGAAGGCGATGTTTGCGCTCTTGAGTTTGGCTGCCCTTTCCAAGAGCTATAGATAAATGTTCATCAGTAAAATGAGCTTTCCCTCTTTATTGTATTACACAAAACAAATCTGTAAAAAAAAAACATTTTTTAGATGTTCTAAATTAAATGTGACCTAAAAGATGTCCAAGAAAATTAGGTGTTTACCTCATTTAAAAAATAATTTAAAACAAAAATTGTTCCATTTATCCATATTTATCAAAATGTTCGTAAAGCTGTCTGCATCATTTTTATGCCCTGTGATATGAACACTTGGGGGCTCAGTAAAAATGTATTTAAATTTGCAACTTGCAACCTATAACATCACACACAGATAAATTATGGTTGATCATAAAACCTATTTAGTGTTGTCCTTTATTCTGTAATCATTCTTGTTTCATAATTATTATGCCAGCGATAAAAGTTATGCCAGCGAAAATAAATGATGCTTGATTTTAATAAAGACAAACCCCAAATAAAAAAAAAATAATAATAAAAAAAGACAAAAATGAGTGGCGCCTTCTGCGCCACTAAAAAGGGCACAGGCTGACAAGACTTTGTCTTGGCCTGACCCTAAAATAAAAATTATTTTTGTTATAAAATCAATAGCCACATAATATGCACCCAGTTTTAATCTTTCAAATTAAACGCACACAAAACCCACTGAAAAAAACGACAAAGTTATGCAATTGAATCGTTTGGATTGTATAGAAGTAGTAAGATTACAACGCTTACAAAAAATAAAAATCGTTCCATCCATAATAAAATATCGCCACCTATTCTCCCCACCCCTCTCCCGCATTCTCTGTTCTCTGCGATTATATACTGCGCAAGGGCGCAAGTATTTTTACAACCATGGTACATAACATACATTACATACAACACAGGAGAATTTGAGTACACAGAAATTCCAGTTTGTGCGCAGACACGAATCAAAGGCGAAAAATCATAACGCGCCGTTAACACAAACACGCCGTTTGCCGTGTAGATGCAAAACAGCGTCTTTCCTGCAGCGACCGCCCTTGCGTGATTTTCTTGTCGAAAAACAAAAAGGTTAATCCTTTTTTACAGTGTTCCCGGCTTTATAATCCTCTGCCTAGAGATTTTTGTGTCTTCCATTCGAGTCGCTCTTTCAATTAATCGTCCTTCTGATTGTAAAAAGGCTCTGTTGCCTCTGTTCATAATTTCATATCGGTGTTGGGAACGCGTTCTCGCCGCTCTCAAAATGCTAATTGCTGGAAATTGCCGATAATTTCATCTGCTTATCTATTTAATTATACAACTTTCCTACATGTGTTTGATTATTTGTTGATTTTTTGTTCAAATTAGATTTATTAACGTGCGCAGGACTGATGGCTGACGAAGAAATGACAGACGCGAGTCTACCCGACGATGAACACCAGATGGAAATAAAATCCAATACGGACGTGACGGACGTCCAGTTGCTCAAGTGGCTTGAGTGGCTGGACAGTGGCAAACACTCTGACTGCTCCTTCATAGTAGGACGCGGGTGGAATCAAAAGGTAAAAATTACCAATTTTGTTCTTTGCACACGCTTCGGAAATCTATAAAATAATAAGCTTTTGTTTTGATAAACAAATTAATTGATAATTTCCATCCAAATAAATGTTTGTAAATTCCATTTAATTTTGTGACATCACACTTTAAATATTTGCACATTATTCTCTAAATTATTTATTTTTTACATTTATATAATAATATGAAATGCTTATTTTTTGTGTGTTTATATATGAAAAAGCGTTTTGATTGCCATCGCCTGGTCTTGGCTGCTGCCAGTCCTGCATTTGAGAAGATGCTGTTTGGTCAATTTCAAGAAGGCCAACGAGCAGGCCCTGAAAGTTCTCCAATCATTTTGCGAGACTGTGACACTGAATCCTTTGCTCTGATTCTACGGTAAGTCCTCTTTGGGGGAAAACTAAACAAAGAGTATTTTTATTTGTCAGAGGTAGATAAATTAATTTTCTTTATTCAGGTACATCTATGGCCGCGAAACAGTTGGAATGGTAGAGGCTCAGCTGGACACAGTGATCCAAATTTTCACCTTTGCTGCCAAGTGGCAATTGAACCAGCTGGACGACTTGGCCGCTGACCTCTGCCTTCAACATAAGCTTGACGTGCGTGACCTCTTTCAGCTCCATTTGCTGTTTGTGCAGCACAATTACACAGATAAAGCTGACACAGTCTTTCAGGTATTTCCCTAACAAAAAGTTTTTTTTAAGAATTTTAAAATTCAAACCTCAAACTTTAAAACCGGCTGTTACAGAATAAATTTTCAAGTATATCAGAAAATACTTTTTTTTTAATGAAGTTTAAATTATTTCTTAAGTATATTACTGAAAAATGTGCATCTTTACTATTACATTTAATCTTATTAGCTTTAATTGAAAATGATTTAAATTGTTGATATGAATAATTAAATTGGAAGTTTTCCAATCCAAGACAGTTGTTGTGAAATTTACTTTGGAATTTTTCAGAATTTTATTCTTATACGTTTAAACAATAAGCTTTTTTATAAACTAAGTTCTTTTAATCAGCTTTGTGTAGTTTCTTTTTTAATTTTTTTTTTCATTTTGTGATTTTAGCGGATGCGTGACCAAGCCAGCGAAGCTCTTGCTCACTTGGAAGAGGCAAGCTTTGAAACTGTTGAAGCCCTGCTGCGCTCAGAGCGCTTGAATATCTTCAGCGAAATGGAGGTACTGCGCGCCCTGGTGAAATGGGGTGCTGCTCGGGTTGCAGCTTCTAAGAACCTAAAGCCAGCAACCATCAGTACCCATGTAGCCCCCTTGCTGCAGTATGTTCAGCTCGGTCCCTTATCCAAGACTGACTTCGACCTCGAAGTTGAACAGATGAGCTGTGAAGAGAAAGAGGGTGTTGCTGCCATCAAACTGCTCATGGAGACAGAGAAAATTGACATCAACCTGACCCCATGGCGTGGGTTCTTCAACCCTGACACCCTGCTGTTCAAAGTGGACCACCCCTTTGAATACGAGCTGCTCGAAGGCGAGAAAACCTTTAAATTTTACTTTCTGATCTACCAGCCTGTGTACCTGTTGGGCATCGAATTGCACAGCCTGTGCCACCTGAACCCTGGGCTCCCCATGAATTTGCAAATCAGCCTCAAGTACGACTCAGAGGTCATTGATGAGTGGAGATTCAAGACCGAGTGCAACAGATTCAGCCACGCCTGTCTCAAAAGTTCATTGGTCAGGCTGTTGAATCCTTGCTATCTTTCAAACCAAAAAGGGCATTACTGTGTGATTGTGAAGCACCAGAATGATGGCCCCAGGATGGTGCCGAACACAACTCGGTCTTCTGCAGCATACGGAAAGCTAAAGATCACCATTGAAGATTGTAAGGTTAGATTTGCTCCTCAGAAGGGTGATGTTTGTGCTTTGGAGTTTGGCAGGCCTTTGCAGAAAGATGCTGAGTAGTTCTCAATCAAGCCGTATATATTTCAGTGAAATTTAAACGTTTCTTTTGCATTATCTATTATAACGTGATGAATGCAACGGCCGCAAAGGCAATTACTGAGATGAAGGGGCCCGGATTATTTTGTAATGAACTAAAATCCGTACCAAAATAATCCCTGTTAATAGTTTTTACACAAATCCAACAGTATTTAAATATAAAATATAAAAATTGAAATCAAATGCTTTATTGTATTTTTCACATTCTACTGTATTAATCTAGGTGTATAATATACACTGGAATTTCAATACACAAGTTTTTCGTTCTGTAAAATCTGATCCATTCTCTTTGGTACATAATTTTTTTAGATATCTTTTGCTTGCTTGTCTTGATTCCAAATATAATCCCAATTTAAATTATTTTTATTGTTCTTTGGCATTCTGGAATTAAATTCTTTTAAAAAAGGGTGCTTTTCTGCTTAGGGGCTTGAAGTTGGGACAATTTTTATTGGCTCTAAAAATTTAATTCATTTTGTTCAAAGCTCGTATGTGTATCAATAATTAATGCTGAAAATTTCAATTCCGAGATTATTTTCATGCTTACAGAAAGTAGCGCTTATGATAATTTTGTTATCATTGGCATTAATTAACGTCGACCGCACTGTTCGAAATGTTCCTCTCTGACTTCATCTCATGCAACTAAAGGTAGGGATCAATCAGTCGTTGCTCAATTTACTCCACTTTTTAATTTATTGTGCTTAATTGACTTAATCTTTTGATTATAATATTCGCCACCTTTTGCACTAAAGTATTTAAACAAATTAATCATGGACGCTCGAATGATCAAATTATAGCAAAAGGTGAATATAATTTTAGAAATAATTGAAGACGTTCACATTTCAATTGTAGACAGCTAGATTTAGTGCGAAAGAAGATCTGTAATCTCTGCTTTTTTTTCAAATACAGATTGGGTTAAAAACATAGACATGAGTGATGAGTGAAAATTAACCAAAATTTTATTTTCACTAAAAAATTATCCGCTGTTGGAGAGTCGAGAGGGGGTCGCAGATCTAGTCCTTCCGCTGAAACCGCCGTACTCAGTTTTGGCGAACGCGTCGCAATAGTTGAAACTCGCCCTTGACCGCAAACACTGCTGCGAGCCTATTATTTATTTGAAATCAACGCGTAGAACAAAATTTTTATATTTTAAAAATTTATACTAATTTGAGCCGAGGATGGGCAGTTCTGAATTTTATTACAATTGAATCGCCAAATTATGAATTTAAAACAAAAAAATTACAGCTTTAATTTCTTTGATGAAGCACTGGATGAGCAAAGTGGGCAGCACAGAGCAACTCCTGCCTGTGGTCAGCTTCACCGCCTTGCTCACTTTCACCGCTTCAATTTGAATTTTTACCTATTATAATAATTATTAGAGAATTTTGTTATTTTGAATTTACTTGAGATGGTTGACATGCAATAGGTGATGGACTGGTTTGCCAACAGTTTCCACTCTTTTTGCAGGTTGTTGGAAATGTAAGTGATAAGTGCAGTCTCGTCAATCACGTCGTTTCTCATCTTTTGAAATATAAGTTAAAATCTAATAGAATCATTAAAAACTTATCATTGAAATACAATTTTTGCATTTTTGAATAAACACGTGCTGAAGCACTGGAATGAAAATAATTTATAAGTTCAGAAAAATTTCCAGTTAAAAGTATTGAAAAAAATCTGACTGCTGAGGATCCGATTTTTTGAGCCGTGGTTTGGGTTGAATAGTCAATGAGGTTGTTACGTTGGTTCTGTAGTTGGTGCAGGAAGTAGTCCTTTGTGAGTGAAAAAAGCTCAGCGTCATTTCGACGCGAGTTGCACGCCAATTTCTGGTCCCGCGTGAATAAATCTACAAAGGGGCTTCGACAACAACTATTCAAAATCTAATTCAAAAAATTAATGTTGAATTTTTAGACGAACTTTTAATTTAAAAAAACCTTTTCACTCAAGGTGTTGCACAAAATATATTTGCTGACCAGTGAACTCAATGTTGCTTCAGGGGAATTTTTGAAACAAAATTTTTAATGATTATAATTCTGTCTGTGACTTCAGAGGTTTTTTTTAATACTTACTTGCAACTTTGGTAGTGGTGGAAGTCTTGTAAGTAGTTGTAGATGTTGACGAGAAATTGAAGGATTTTGTGGAAATCGCTAAAATATAATATGTTTACTTGTTGCTACTAATAAGTTTTAAGTATCAAAATCACAGGTCGGAGTGCTTTTTGTTGTGGTAAAAACTGTGGATGCTATAAATCAAAAGCTGTTTGCATTTCCCCACCAAAAATTAAAAAAAAAAATCAAACCAGTTGTTGCTGATGCTGAAATTCATAAAAAAAGAGTCTGAATTATTACGGAAATTAAAAAAAGACCAACTTGAAATCGTTGTTGAAATTTGTGTTGTCGTCAAAGTAGTTGAAGTTGGATTTCCTGCTATTAATATTGCAAATCTAAGAATTCAAATCTATATTATCAATTTTTTACGAGTGGTTGTTAAGGTTGTTGCTGAAGTTGTCATGGTCGGCGCAGGTGCTGATTTGAGCAAATTATTAGGAAAAAGGGAGAGAGAAATCGATTATATAAAAAAAATGCACTTGTGGTCAGAGGTTTGGTGGTCGGTGCGTCTGTTGTTGCTTTGGTCGTTGTTGTCGTCGTCGCGGGTACGGTCGTGTCGTCTGGAGTTGTTGCTATAATGATTTAACTGAAGATTATAAAAAAAAAAAAACTAAAATTGACGACTTGCTAAAATAATCGTTATAGTAATAATTGAAGTTTTATTAATTAGAGCGACGAGATAATTTTCAATGCAATTAAGTGTAAAAGATTAAAAATTAAAACTTATGAAAAAATTTCACAAGATTAAGTATTTTTACATTTTATTTCAGCAGCCTTTGTTGTTGATGTTATAGTTGTATTGTCTGTTTTAACAATTTAATTATGATCTTCTTTGTCTTTCTTAATTATAAAATCACCTGCAGGTTTTGCAGCGTCAGTGGTGGTTTTGTTATCAGCATCAATATTGGCGGTCTCGTTATTTACCTGCAGCAAACCCAGACGCTCATCACCAGCAGTATAATTTTGCACGATATCAATAGTGCTGTTGTCATTATTGGTCCCTTGAGACTCTGCAGTTGAAATCTGCGTACTTTTTGTTTATGTTTGAAAAATTCCAAATTTTTACAAATCGCACCAGAGTGGAGCCTAAATAAGCAAAGAGAAATAAGAGAGCTGAGACTTTGTTGCGGGCCATGTTTGCTGTCACAAAATAATTAAGCCGTGCGAATCGTCATTTAATTTGTTGGATCCTTTTCGTGGATGTCGACGACTTTTTAACAAGCTCTAATTGTTTCCGGCTGTTTCATCACTCATATTCAGCGATTGCATTTTTTCAATTTTCGGACGGGGTCAGGGGAAAATAATAGTCAATTTTGCCTCAAATTTTTATTAGTAGATAATCTCATTATTGAAATTTATATGCCACATAATTATATTAATATCTAGATATCACTTGGACGTTGCTGGGAAGAGGTCGCAAGTGTTGAATTTCGCAAGAGAATTTATGCACGGTGCACCTCCTGTGGAAAAATCATAAACTTTTTTTGTGAACCAACCAAAAAAGCTTCTTTGTCCTAAAAATGTAGAATACCGAAATTGAATTCAAACATAAAATAGTCAATTTAATTATAAAAAAATAGCTTAATATTTTGTTACAGCTTCAAAAGTTGTTTGATATATTTTTTAAACGCAAAAAAGGAATAAAAATAAGCAAATATAGTAATTTTAAAAAAGGTGAATTTAATGAAATTAGGAGTTAAATATATATTAGTTTATAGAGGTTACATCCAATACTCAATTAAAAAGACTATTAATAAACATATCGTCTCTTTTTCTTTAAATTTTCAGATGGACAATATTATAATTTAAATTTTTGCAACAATATTTATTTAAAAATTGATAATAATTATGAAAATTTCATTCTCCCATCATCTCTCACCTGCAATTTTTCCTTCTGGACAAGACTGCGTAAATATTGATTGAAAGATCAGTACCTAGAGTTTTAATAAATTTTGCTGTTAAAATTACGTATCCAACTTTGCTGAGGACGCACTGCATCAACAGGACGGGAGCGAGGTAGCACGTTTTGCTGACTTTGGCCTTGATTGTGACGTCAATGGTGGGCACGAGATCCGTCACGGCTGCAATGGGTCGCACGATTAATTAGCTTGGGGACAACGGGAAATTTCGGCGGGAAACCCACTGGTGATGGTGGACGAACAGTTGGTGATGGCCGTCTCCACCAACGTCTTCCACGGGTCGTCCAGGTTTGCGGCCAGCACCGTCTTGGCCGTGTCCTCCACCAACGCACTGTCCACGAGCTGCGCGATTTTTTTTTAGTAAAAAAATTGGGCATTTAATTTCAGATAATTAACATAATTAAACATTAAACTGAAAACCTGCAAAAATTTGAATCATACATCGAGGATTCTTGGTTCCTTTTTGTAAATACACCAATAAACTTTATTAGCAACTAAATTCCAAATTTTTGAGAACACAAAAAAATTATTAGCAGACGAAATTAAAAGTAAAAGTGTTGGAGTTTTTATTTGTTCTTTAGATAACTTTGGAATTGAATACTAAAAGCTGCTCATTTTTTATTCAGAATAAATATTTCTCAATATTAATTTTTTTAAAGGTTTTCATACCCTTTAATTAAATCGTGACCTACTATTTCTTTCTTGGTGAACATGCACTCCAGGAAACACTATTTTTTTTTATAATTTAATTTTCAGTAAGTTAATTTCCCTCAAATTCATACCGCTTGCTTGCCAAATGCCTTGGCTGTTGTAATAGATTTTTGAATGAATTGGAAAATTTGATTAAGATTGAACTCACCTAAGGCGGTGGACGACAGGATTAGACTGTTGTTCTTAGCGTTGGTCGATTTGTGCAATTGGTACTCGTAGGTCCAAAGGAAGAGCGTGGCGTCAACCTTCAGACTGTTGCACTGTTTCTTCTCGTCTTGCGTGAAGTAGTCAGAGATTGGAGTGGAGCAACATGTCCTTAAAGACTGATGGCAAAATAGTATTGATATATATTTTTGATTTTCTATTCAGAGCATTTTCTGAAACCCCTAATGTCAACAGTAAAATTTAACCAACTGAAATTTTAATTTTTTTCCCAATTTTTTTTCTTGCTAATTTTTGTTTAATACTGTTGATTATTGAATTGAACACTAGACAAATATGATATTTAACTCCGTTTAACTTTTCATTTTGTGTACATATTAAATTAAAAGTTAAAAACAAAAAACAAATAATCAAAAAATTGTTCAGTAATAATTTTTATATATATTTAATTGTATAATTTATATGGTTATCTGTGATAAGATTGATGTTTTTCAATGGAGATAATTAAGTCAAATTTCAATCAGACGCGCGTTTCCAAAAAAATGATAAAAAAGACCATATTTTTACCTGCCCCACAAGGTTTTTGCAGATGACCGACGTTTTCTGCGCAGCAAGTTTCTGCACCTGTTGAGCTGATTTATTTTTTCTTTTTGGCTCTAATTAAATTTCTTTCGTCATTATTTCATTCTTACAAACAGAGATGCTGATGCCCTGCGACACCTATTAAAATTCAGTAAAATCAATTTAAATAAGTGAAAATAGTCATTAAACGCGCTTTACCTGAAGGGTTATGGTGAACAGAGCGGCCAAGAGCCACAGTCTGAGCATCGTGTCCTCGTTGAATTTGAATGGCTAATGGACCGGGCATTGCGCACCGCTCTTATAGGCCCTTGGACGACCGCTGTCTGTCATTGTCGAAAGATAAAATCCGTTACTACTTCCTCTGGCCGTATTTTGCATGGGTGCGCGTCACCATATTACCGCAAAGGTTGATCAATCATTTGTCCGGCGGTGTGGAAAAAAGTCAGAAAGTGCGCCTAATTAATCCTACTTTTTAACCTTTTTTTTTTTAAATAATTTACTCCATTTCTCATTTATTTTTTGACAAATATATACAATTTTTTAATCAAATTAACACCAGATCAGATTAATTTCGCAAAATTTCAATGATGTCAACCACATGTCAACCTTTTTTTTTATCAATCATTTAAAATAAATTGGCTGTATTGCTTTTCTAGAGGACGTCTGATTTAAAAATTCCTCATTCAAAATATCCCAAACTATGCTTCACGGTCGCCACACCGACCTACTTTTTAAAGGCCTGCTGACCATCAATCGGTCTAAAATGGTGATTTGCCAGAGTCGCAAAAAAGGCTTTCAATTTAGAAATAAATTTTATTTTTTAAAAACTGAACAACTAAAAACAAATTTTTGAGATTAACTTTTTGGATGTTCTTCAGTTCTCTTTATTTTTATTCTAGCAACGAATGCGTTTTATAGTGAAGAATTTGGTTGCACATAATTTTATTTATTCAATTTGTACTGCCGTTAATGATTGAATATTAAAAATAATATTAATTTGATGATAATCCCTTCAGTACATAACACGAAACAATGGGTCCCAGAAATTATTGTCCAAATTGTAATTTTAAATTGAATCGCTTTATGAATTTTAATGAAACAGACAATTTTGATTTATTTGCCAATGTTTCTTTTATAAATTTTTTTCATTATAAAATTTCAATCCAAAAATTCTTCATACAAAAGTGAAACTAATTAATTAAGTTAATGATTTATCCTATTTGTTCTTCTTGTAGTCCGCGGTGAGCACAGGCCCCCAGTTTGCCGGCTTTATGAAGGTTCTCTTCCTAAGCAGGCCCGACCTTTGCGTCAGGGTCGCCACCTTGGCCTGCTTTCCGGTGGCCATCTCCACCGCTACAAAAGGGTTGCACCTGTCCAACACGCTCCTTGTCCTTTTGCATGGCGTCGTCGCTGCTCTCAACAAATTTTATTTCCGTCAAAATAGAGAAAATCGCAAAACTTACTATCTTGAGCTGAGGCAGGACATTTCTGGTAAAAGCAAACATAAGATATCAAATCAATTTATTTAAGGTTTTGAAAAGTCTCAGATATTAAAATCTTGAGATATTTTAGTCAAGATTCTTTAGTTTGAAGCTAACCGTTCCAATTTGTTTGAGGATGCATTGCGCAATGCTGAGCGCGTTGGTCTTGCACGTTTTGGTCACCTTGGGCGAATACTTGACGCTGACTGAATCAACGGTGACGCCTTTCAACGCAATTTTAACTTCATGATTGGAAAATGCAATTTGATTGAATTTATTTACTTTGCACTTCCGCCGCGCAATCCGTGACCGCCGTTTTCACTACTTCGCTCCACGTGCTGTCCAGGTTTTCGGCCATGTAAGTCTCCAGCAGGGCAGTGTCCAAGTTGTCATTACTGTCAATCTGCCAACATTTCATTTACGTTTTGTGCAAAACTTTTGAGTGTAATTACCAGAGAGTTTGCTCTGAAGAGACACTCAACTAGGCACTAAAAGAAGTAGGAATTTAAAAATTATTGAATTATTGTAATACAATGGAAGGAAGAATACAAAATTTATTTGCATCAACTGTTAAAAAGGCATATTCCTTATTCAATAGCAAGTATTTGCATTTGTTGGAATATTTAATAATACAAATATTCAGTTTTTATGTAAGAATATCAAAGAATATTTCCTCTAGAAATATTTTAAATTGTAGTTTTATTTAACTATGCTTAATTGCTTAAAATTAAAGTTAAATTTAAAAATAATATAAGTTGTTTGAAATGGATGATTTTGAGTTATTTTTTTTAATCGTTTACTCACAACTTGTTTTCCCATATTCGTGGCTGTACTCAAAATTCATATTGTTCATTTTTAAATTTCTCATTTATCTGCATCTCATACCAAACGCCTTTGAGGCAAAGTTGACGCCGTTGGCCTTCTTGCTTTGGTATTTGCTGAGGACGTACTCCTTGGTCACGGCGAACATCACGCTTTGTTTCTTGTAACTGTTGCACTTGAGCTTTTGGTCCTCGGCAAAGAAATCCTCGATCGGCGAGTGGCAGCATTTTTTCAGCAACATCTAAATTCAAATATTTAATAAAGAAAGGAAATAAACATTGAAACAACCTTTGGGTTGACATTGCTGCAGGGCACGCTGGCATACGCAGCCGCGGCGCCCTTTGCCGTCGTCATAGTCACTTTGGTCGTGGAATTGCTATTAGTTGCTTTTGTTGTCGCAGTTGTTACCGCTAGAAATCAAATTAATTCAATATTTAAAACTGTAATTTGGTAAAAAGAAACAAATATTGAAGAACATACTTACATAAAAATTTTGAAATTAAACAACGAATATTTCTAATTAGATAGAAAAATTCACAAAACAAAACATATTTTCTTGTTATTAATCTTCTAATTAAGTACGAAAAAAATGTTTCTTAAATTAAAAAAATTAATTTTTTCCAACTTGTAGTAGTGGTAGTTATGGCGATTGTCGTGGAGGTTGACTGCATAGTTGTTGTAGAATTTCCACCCGAGTTTAATGTAGTAGCATTAATTGCTCCTGGTTGCGTCACGTTTCCTGCTGGTGGCGTCGCGTTGACTGCAGGGACGGGAGTGGTGCTGGCCGTCAAGTTGTTGCCGGTCGCCGTTGCATTGTTGGTGGTCAACGTCGTCAAATTAGCATTGGTCGAGTTTACAGTTGAAATTGACACGGTGGTCGACGTCGAATTATCTGGCAAGGTCGAGTCTGAGAAAACCCGTCAGTTGTAATTTAAAATAAAAGAAGGCAAACTTGTGGAGTTGCTGGCCTGCCTGCGCACTCTGGCCGGTGCAACTGCAAAAATTGATTTAATATCATTTATCTTTGTGAGGTGTGAATGCTATACGGTTCGCGTCATGGAAATGCCCAGGTGCGATCAACTGCAAGGAAAACAATGAGTTTCGATTTGCAAAAAGGACTTTCTTTGATTTATTTACCACCGCCGCAACGATGCAGAGGAACGTCAGTCCCAGTGTTTTCATTTTGATGCTCGCCAATGGACTGCGACCGCCGCAAGCGGCCCTTCCGCTCGACGGCCTTGGGAGTCCATCCGCAATACATAATCAGGACAAAATTTTAATAAAGCCTTCACAATATATTTTTCATTTACAAAACGTAAATTTTGCTGCGTAGGTTAAACAGAAATTTTATTTTAAAATTAAATTCACTCAAAATAGAATAATTTAATGAATTGGAAAAACTTAATTCATATATCTTTTTTTTAAATTAAATTACACCTGTAAAAAAATAATACTTCCGCATGATTTTGGAACACTTGTAACCTGAGCGTAGGCAACCTGCTCAGCATGCCTGATGTGCGTGGTTGCATAATCATAAAAATAAACATTTTCCTCTTTAATAATTTACATTTCTACGGTGTATACTCTTTTCCTGTTGCTTTTTAATTTTAATAATCAAACCAGGATCAAACTCGATTGATTTCACTTCAAATATTTAAAAAATTGATCTTTTACAACAAATATTTCATAATTTTCCCAGAAATAAATAAGAATATTTTGCATTAATATAATTTATTTAAAAAAGCAGACATATTAATATTAATGAAGCTCAAAATACTTGAGGTTTGGTTGGGATTGAGATCTTTTCCTTCTACGAGGTCTGCTTGAAGGTCACTTTCCTAAGGGTCATACTCGATGAGGAAGCTCGGGAAGGCCTTCAAAAGCTCACATATTAGATAAAGAATTTTAAGAAAAATCTTTGCCCAATACCTGAGTGGCATCATTGATGTGGAATTCATCACCAGAGTGACCATGATCAGTATTCCTTCCGAGCACCACTTTGCACACCAGCATGTACAAGGTTCCTCGGCTGCCATTCTTCCTGGCGTAACTGTCGCTGTAACTTGCTTTGTCAGAAAAGAAGGTACCTTTTAAAGTAAAAAAAGTCAGGATTTAGTTTAAATTTAAAATTTGCATTGAAAATAAGACTCACGTTGATTGTGAAATCCCTTCTCAGCAATCTCTTTGGCGTAGGGCGATCCGTGGAAAAGGTAGCGCTCACTGACCCTGTCAAAGGTGCCACTTTCTCGGCGGATGCGATCTCTGGTCGCCACGTAAGCGGCGTAAGTTGTACTGTTGTGGATGTCGTACACCTGCAAATCCACGAAAAAGAAATAAACTAATGCAATTTGTAATTTTTAAGTGATTATGGTATGAAATGTAATTAAAATAAAAAATGCTTTAAACTTTTTAAATACTATAAAAAAAAACAATATTTAAAAATAACTACTTTAAGAATTTCATGATGTCAATTATTTTAAAATGGGAAAGAGGAAATATATTAAAAAAAAATTAAATTTTATAAAATATCATATACATAACTACACTGGCATTATGTTACGCTTGCAAGAACAATAAAAAATTATTTTATTTTTTTTACGTAGGGGTAAAAATTTAGACGTGGAATATAAAACATACCTTACTGATTTTCAGGGCGCCGGCCACTTTTTCCTTGACTTTGGTGAACTTCTCGTTCCGCTCATCGAGCTCAACCAGTCTGAATCCCTCGTACCAGTTGGAGCTGGAAAATAAATTTTTCATGAAATCCACTTCGAGTGTTACCATCCAATTTAATATAATCGGCAGTTATAACAGAGTTGAAATATGTAACGCACCTCCTTCTGAAATACGTCATTTTTCCACGATAATTTTTTCCACAGGTTTCTCAAAGAATTAATCGCCGCTGCCGCCAGTTGTTCACTTTCTGAGCCAGAGCAGATTTCTAAAGGAGGACTTGGGTTGCTCACAGTTTAAATAATGTAGAATTGCACACAGGATTCACAGGATTTCTAAAATACATAAGCTATAAGTGAGAATGGCGAAAAGTGGTGATTCACCCAACTAATATTTCCATAATATAATATACTTTCATCTCTCCCGCGCGCACTCCTGCTGTAGAAAACAGATCCACTGGCAGCAGAAGTGTGTGGGGGGTATTCATGGTTTATAAAAGAGTACTTTATAGAAATATAGGATATAGGATATAAAAGTATCAAGTAATCGCAATCCGTCCAGAGTCCAGACTTGCAACTGGTTTTAGTGGAGCAATAATTCTAAATTAAACTTTACATTCCTCTCGTACGTGTTAATATTTTATGATTCGCGGCTAAATTTGAGTGTATCTTAAAGACATTTGTTCCAATCTGTTCCAATACAACGAAAAAAAAATTGAATTCAGTTAAATATATTGAATACAGTGTGAAAAATATTGGCCACCTATATTTAATTTTTCTCATTTTCGCTAAAGCTAAAGCTCCAATATTTAAAACTTTGCCTTTAAAAATTTAAATCACTCCAAAAAATCATTGTCAGCAAAATTATGAGCTATGTAGCGACATTTTACAACTTCCTTAACTTTAAAACTAAATATAATTTTGCTAAGAAAATAAGACGTTTCAAAATGTTTACACGTTGATGCTAACATAAATGCAGATTTTATTTCTTTGCGATTATCCAAAAAATACATATTTCTATGACTGTTGTGGTGGCGGTGGTGGTTTTGGGATGCCAAGAAGGTCCATCACGTTTTTGCCGCACGATTGCAACGTTTTCAAGTCCGCCGAACACCGACCGTTGGCTGGAAAAGTTTTTTTATTATTATTTATAAAAATTAAAATTTGGTTCAATAAATTTTTTTTACTTACTGCCAGCAGTAGGACATTTCTACAAAAAATATGAAGTAAATATTACTTTTGACCTTTTTTGTTTTAAATTTCTACCATGGCGACGCGGGCTTGGACGCAGGAGTCGAAACCGGCGGCGCACGGTTTGCAGAAGCCTTCGGGCATTTGGGGCATGGTCTTGTTGGCCATCGCGCTGTCCATGTTCTTGAACATGCCAGTGCAGTTGGCCGTGGCTTCCTGGACAACCGCCTTCCACTGGTCAGGAGCGGCACTCACGTACGCTTTGCTGGCCAAATCGTAGTCCAGTTCTCCCGCACTTGTCAACTAAACACGAAAATTTATAAGGAGATAATTAAAATTTATATACCAAATATATGTAAATTATCAAGATACAATAACTACAGAGGCAGAAATTGCTAAAAAATTCATTCTAATGCAGCATCTTTGTAAAATGTGTCGTGCTGATTCAAAATACATATGTCAATATATATATATGAAAAATAAAACTGCTAAACTGACCTTTTTCAAAGAGAAAATAAATACTTATTGAATATTGAAACAAAATTTTTTTTTGGTATTTATGCATAAAATTAACGTTCACAGGGATTTTTCAAACTAAAACTTTGAAATGTCAATTTTTTTTGTTTGTTTAAAAATTTCACTAGTCTATTTCATAAAAATTAACTATATATAACTTAATATAAAATATCATAATTACCAAGCTCTGGTTTTGGAAAATGCACTCCATCCGGCACTGATTGAGAATTTTTTAATAAGATTTCGCATAAAATAATTTATGATGTCCACTTACAAACAGTGGATTTGCGACCATTTTAGCTGAGAAATGTTACAAATTAAATTTTTTTGAAATTCAATTTTAAACTCACTGGCGTTATTGAAACCGCTTCGGATGGCACCGGCTGCGTCTTTTATGCCGCGACCAATCGCCCTGGTCGCGTTCTTAAAACCACGGGCGCCGTCGAGCTTGGACGAAAAGGATTTGGCGATTTGCCTGCCAGTTTGCCTGGCCACTGATGAAACGGTGGACAAGCGGGTTGCGGCCGGACAACCAGTGGCCGCGTCTGACGAGTACAACTGCGGCACCGCGCAGCATTTCAACGCTCGCTTTCAAATAACATAATTTAATTTCAACCCGACTGTTAATCTTTTTTAAAATTAAATCACAGTTAAAAGTTCAGGAGTGCAAGTTGAGCTGCTTTGGCGTTTCACTCGATCTAGATTTTGAATTTTTGTTCTCTTAGTAAATTTAGAATTTGACAGAATTCTTTTTTAATACTTGATTCACTCGATGCCTTTTTTTGGGGAAAAAATATATCAGACAAACCTTTGCATAACGTATTTAAATTTCCTTACAACTTGGGTGACCAAGAGCGCGAGGGCCAGAGCGCACAGTCCGCGGGAATACATACCTGTGTGTTGACTGGTCACTTCCCTCGCCAACTTCTACCTTTTATAATGCAATAAGAGAGAATAATAATGTGTGCGTGCAAATTAGAAACGGAAGTCGCTCGCGAATTTGGTGCTAACGAGTTGTCACTTTTTCGCCAATTTGTGTGAAAATAGAATGTAAAATAACACGACTATTGCCTTTGTTGTGGTGAACAAATTTAAGCACAATTTTTTCAGACTCACGGTTCTTTTTTTCAATGAATATTTTTCACATCAGTAAAAGAAATCTATAAAAAAAAAAATGATTGCTTGAGTGTATAACAAACCGCTCAAAGTAATAAAAAATGTGAAAAATTTAACTCAAATGCGCATTTGTGTTTGTGATAAAATTGAAAGAAACTGAAAAGAAGATGTATGTATGACAAATTTGAACATTTTCAAATAAAAAATTTAAAGATTACGATGTTTAGGAGGCAAAATTATGGATTGGAAAATCTGGCTTGTAAAATATTTCAAAATTAATTTCAAAATACTTCCAAATTAATTTAAAAAAAATCTGCTTGGATTTTGAAACCCTAAATTGTCACGTTTTAGGGTTTTATTTTTGGGATTAGGGAATTTTGAAGAGAGAGAACCTATTATTATTAAAATAAAAATAGTTTGCACGATCACGTGATTTTAAATTACTTCCTCCTTTTTCAAAGTCATCCGCCAGCCCCAATGTCAGCGAAAATTGGGGTCTGATTATGTGGTGACGTGTTGAGTGCAGCGGGAAACAAAATAGTCAGAAAACGAAATATATGCTCTATGAATTTGGATTTTATTCCAGCAAAGACAAAAATTTCACGGTGCATTTTTCAATTAACAAGAAGGTCGAGTGGCGTCACCAACTTTAGTTTTTCAAAACAGGCCGAGCATTGCGGGTCTACAAAACTCATTATTTAAAATCAATTTTCAAAAAGTTATTGAAATTTTACCTAAAGCTGCGGTGCTTGTACAAGTTTTCTGAAAATTTGTAAAAATAAAACTTAATTAATATGCAAAATTTTGTTTTCCATTTTAAACATCTTAATTGAGAAATTTATTTTAATTAGTTTTTAAACAAGAATCTTCTCTGACATTAACAAATTTTTGACGGACGCAGTTCCAGGTGACCGCCGCAATTGCGTTGCATATTGTGGTACCATTAGGGGCAGAGGCGGCAACGGGATAAGTGCCGTTGAGCTCTGAAAAATTTTCAATTTAATATTTAAAAAAAAATCAATTTAAAATCCAACTTTCAACGTATGCAGAACACTCAGAGACAGACTCATTAGCTGCACTCTGCAAACCACCGGCGGCGCGCATAAATTTAGTCCTCAACTTGTCATAGTCAATCTTTGTTCCGTTCAACTGCAGAAATACACAAAATATAATTTACAACTGTTTACAACTTCAATTATATTTTCCTCACAAAGGTCATGTTCTTCATTCCGCAATCCACTCGGCACTAAATAATAAATATTGTGATTTTTTTATGAAATAATTAAATTGTAGCTAATTACCATTCTGTCAAAAGGCAATGTTGCCGAGGAATTTCCTACTTTTATTTTATTACAGATTAAGTAATTTGAAGCATAAAAACTTAAATCTTGCCTTTGATTTGGCAGCTGTCGTAGGCCTTTTGATAGACCATTGTCGGCCAAGGGCAGCACGGACGAAGACACTGCCAAATTTTTAGTTAAATATTTTTTTCTGAAAACGAACAAATTTACTCTGAAAAGTGCTGGGCCATGGATGCTGGAAATCCTTAAAGGCCTGATGCCTAAATAGAAAAAGAATAAAGTTTATTTAAATGGAAAAGTGAGATCTAGAGTAAAAATAACCTTTAGTCGAATTTGTGCCTCCGGTTGTTATTGTTTGGGCAAAAACCTGCAGCACATTGAGTATATTTAAAAAAGTAAAAATTAGCAAAAATCTGAATTTCCAAACCGCGCTTGCGAAGCAGAGGGCCGCAAGCAAAAGCAGCAGGTTGATCGAGTGACTTGTTCTTCCGGCTCGCATGGTCAGTGTCAAGTAGTGAATGAGCTGCATTTGGCCCTCAGGCCATTCATATGCAGTGTCAAGCCACTTTGTCTGCGTGACTGGACACTTTCCACATTAGCCCTTGCAATAAAATTATGTGAAAAATGGACAATTATGGAAATTGCGGACACCTATGACTAGAGTGTTTTACATTTTCTAATTTATATTTCATAACCAGATATAAAATTATATTTTTGAGTTTTTCAAGTAATTAAAATCTTGAGATTTATCTCCCTAAAACTTTTAAAACCTTAACTTATTCCAATTTTGTAGAACAATTATCTCCTGCTTTATTTTGTCAATCATTTTTACTCGTTGTTTTAATGTTCTCCTTAAACCTTATGTTTGCATAGTCAAATTAAGACTTTAAAAAGAATAAGCGTCGCCCTTTGAGCTTATTTTTGGTTTTTATATTGGGCCCAACCTTGATTAAAAAAATATATATATCACACACCCACGCACTATCTTGAGCGCACGCAATTTGAGATTAAAATTGGTTCAGATTTTATAATATCGGATAGAAAATTGATAAATGGAAAGCAGTTTACACGAGAGTAAAGAGAAAATATGTCAGAAAAATATGTGCTCATTTGACTGGGCGATTTTTTTTTAGTCTGATTGGCCACGCCACAAAATGTTTCAAGGGAACTTCTTGCTGAATGTGACTTTGAAATGAAAGTTAAATAACCCAGCTCAGACATCAAAAAATTTGCACTTGACGAATTGTTCTTGTTGAGTGATCCAGATGATGGCTGCAAGAACAAAGCGAAAGTAGCAGAGTGTTAAGTCTGATTCTGCTAGGTCAAAGCGCGACACGCACATCTTTTTGGTCTTACAGAGTCGTTGCGCCGGTGGCCCTTACCTTCACTTGCGAATTTATTATTGTTGTTATGTTGTTTATTCTCACAAATCAAGGTCAAAAAGAGCAAAATTACAAAATTTGAAGTAATGGCAACACCTGTGGCAAAAAAATTGCTAAAACGTGGGGTCTTAAGAGACACAAGCTTTTGCATCATTTTAATTTGAATGTAATAAAACGAAAACTATCTTGCAGGTAGCCGTTGTTACAAGATTTGATTTCAAGCATCAGAACTTTATTTGCGACTAAAAAAATTTAATTTCACATATATTTTCATTGACCTACATGGCATTATATGAAAGGAATTTATGAATTGCGAATTATTTTGGCAATTTGAGTTAAAAAATTTAATTAGTTTTTAATTATAATTGAACAATTTTTTACAAATAAGTGGATCCCAGAAAGTTAAAACTATAAATACCCACATTGTTTGTTTCTGCACAAACTTTAAATTAAACTCTTGCTAAAAATATATCTTGAAATTAAAAGCAAGCTGTGATGCCCTTTCGCATACTCAATATTTTTCAATTCCTTTTTAATGACTTTAGGTGTATATAATAATAAACATAACAAAATTTATAATGAAAAAAATTCTATTGAAGAAAACGCCTAGTAAAAATGCAAAATCAAACTACATACTTAAATTAATGAAAAATATTCTTGGAATGAAAAAGTCAATTCTTCTTTCCATCAATAGAGGAGCTATTTTTGGCAATTATTGGAAAAATTGGAAAATACCTTATTTGTTGTAAAGCCTCGATTTGACTGTGTCAATAAAGGAGTACAAATTTCAAGTTGTGGTTTTTACAAAATAATTTGGATAGTTTGTCCAAAATGACAAGTTTTATTGCATTGCATAAAAACTGACGGTTTCGGATTTTTTAATGAGAGCTTTTGAAATCCTCTTAGCGCACAGGGTAGGATGGATCGAGTATAAAAGTACAGGTCTCCTCTACGGATGCTTGCTTCTGAACTCGCTAGTTAAAACCTGCACGCTCTGCAAGTCTGCAACAATGCGCATCTCAACTCTTGTGAGTACTTTTTTCGAGCAATATTAGAATTAATCTTTGTTTTAGATTTTGGAGTGTGGAGATATTAATTGAAGCAAAACGTTTGAACTGTTGGAGAACAACTACTATATTTTTTATTTTCAACCAAAGTTAATTGAATTTAATATTTTCAACTTTTAAATAAGTTTCCTTTATTATTAATCATAATTGTAAATTATCCTATGATTTATTTACATTTCAAAATGAGGGAAATGATAAAACTTTAAATTGCAACATGGCGAGTGGCGTGATCCATTTATATTTATTTTTTTCTGAAATCATTCAAATCATAGGCAGAGTCAGGAGTCTCAGGTGAAACAAAATGTTAATCAGATTTGTAGCAATTTGAAATAAAAATATAACGGTTAAGTATATTATTAATTCATTCAAAATAAAAATTCATGTATATCTTCTTCAACCTTCAATGGTTCTAAATTTGTGATTGTTTATTATTCACAACGCATCAAATTAAAAAAAATTTAATTTTCATCAGACCTTCAAATACTTTGTTTTACAAAACTTTTTCCCTAATTTTAATTTAAGGGTGTCTGTACGTAAATGATATTATGATTGAAATTTTTGCCCATTTTGCGTAAACATTTTTTGGCTTCCTGGGGTATTCTGACTTTTCTCTTGGCAATTGGCATATAAATTTAATAGCAATTTGATATTTGGTTTGGTTCAAGTTTGCAATTAGAGGCCGTCGTCAAGCACAAAAAAGATTATATTGCGTAACTTTCATGTCTATAGCGGCAGCCACAGGCAAGCTACAAGACAAAAAATTAACAAAAATAAATCCAGCTCGTATTTCGCCACTCTCAACCGGCGTGGCTAAACCGTTTAATTTTTCCTAATTAATTATTTCGTTTCTTTTTTTCAGGTTTTCGCCAGTTTGGCGGCAGTGGCCGTCGGTCTGGGGGTTCCGAGCACGACGCCGGTGCCCATCCTGAAGCAGATCAACCAACACAATGAGGACGGCTCGTACAGCTACGGCTACGAGGGCGCCGACGGCAGCTTCAAGATCGAGACCAAGTACCCGACCGTTGAGGTTTACAGCGACAACATATCGACAGCAGCGGCGAAAACCGCAAAATCGAGAACTTCGCCACGAAAAAGCTCGGCTTCTACCCCACCGCCACCACAACAATCAATCCCCGTGTAGCGCCCCATCAAAATATGACACCAAGTATCAGGAAAAAAACCTTCTTATCAACCTAAATTTTCGCTACACGCCGGCCCTTCTAAAGGCCACAATTCTTTTACAAACCACAAAACTGCTTTTTCAAGTGACCTCCTGATTAGCTCACATCTAGTCCCAAGATTTCATTCATCTACTTCGACGGTTCTTACCGTGTGAGAACGTGAGGACTCTAGCATCTACAACAACTCAAAAGTTAGATTTCATATTTACTTTTCATTTTGACCTAATAGAGGAAATTATGAGTTTGTGAATCATTGGAAATGCAAAATAAAAAAGATTGACAAAAAATTAGATGCATATAACAATTCAGGTTCTAATTTCTACTGAACATATTTTATTTTATTTAGAAAAAAAATATACATATTTGTATAATTATTATGCCTAGGCGTCGTCCCTGCAAAAAAACGTTCTGCGGACGTCCTTGATTGTGAGACATAACGGTTTGGTCTGATGGTCCCCTCAGAAACGTCCACATGACATTTAAAAGTCTCATCTGAACGGGACAAGTGGGAACAATCTCTCAAAGACACAAATACGACTTTTTTTAAAGTTGAAAAGATTCGTTTTTTAGGAATAAGATTTTTGACAATAGTTTGGTTCAGATTGATCAGATATCAGATTCGGCACGCTTCAAAATGATACCTGCTTATATTTTTTCTTTGTCAGCACTCCGGCTGCATGCAAAAGCTGACGAAAAACAGATTTTGAGCCTGACCGAGCTAGCTCAACACAAAAAAATCCCTGCTGCTCTTGGCAGACTTAGCAAATAAAACTCTTTTACTTTGCACTCGCAGTCCCAGTTTGAGAAATCACTCAGGTTCCCCCGAGAAAAATCCACCTGGAGTGGCAATGGAACCCACAGTATCCGGGACCGAGGACACACAAACGCTTCTCTTTACTGATTTCGCGCCAATAGACAGTGAAATTGGCCCCGCCCATTTATCCCCGTCACGCCATTGGTTGTCTCTGGAGCCGTTATGACGTGATCGACGTGTTGGAGTTTGTTGACAATTTCTGTTTAAAAACAGTAAACTGCGCAAAACTTTTCGCAAATATTTCGGAAAATTTTCCAAATTGATGAGAGAAAGTTAAGCAGCCGACCGTGCAGTATTGAAATTTTATATTTCCGGCGGCCGATCGAGATGAGCGAGGCAAAAACCGTGGCCAGGAAGCCGAAGGGCCGCGATGAGAAAAATCTCGAACCAACAAGGCGGAACTTGAACAAGTCGGACGAGGCGGCGTCCTCTATGTCCGAGACGGAACAGTTTCGTCCGGCGTCCGAAGGCCAGAGGGCCATCTCACCTTCCTCGGTGTCCAGCGCCGCGTCCATGAGGCCTCTCGAGTGGGACTCGGGAGCTGACGTCGGCTACCTGCTGCAGAACGAGGAGAGGCAACTGGCCAATGCCATCAAGAAATTGGGCCTTGGACTGGCGAGCAGTGGGCCTCCCAGCAAATCTGAGGAAGCTCACAAGGTTCATACAAAATAAGTTGAAAAATTTAACAAAATTTTCCTGTTTTCACAATAAAATCATAAATATGTATTGAAGTTAAAAATTATTGCATAAATTTTAATATGATATCGACTGAAATAGTTAAATTGTATAATTTTCTCACAGGAGGCCCTTTTTGCGAATCAAAAGTCGACCATTGACAGTCTGCGAGAGGACGAGGTGGCCTCAGTGCCTCTTTTGGAGTCTACCCCCAAGGTTGGAGGCCTTCAGGTGGGCAGTCTGGCCGGCAGCAGACAAACCCTGCCCAAGACGGCGTCCTCGTCCTCGGTGGCCACCGTCGTGTCCAAGGAGGAGCGGCCCGACGCCCGCAGCACAGACCTGATCAGCGACCTGACCAAAGGGCTGCACCTGGTCAAGTCTCTGATCGCAGATGCCAAAGGGGACAAGGAGAAGCAGGGCAAGTTGCTGGCCCACGTGGTCAAGCAGCTCAAGACAGTGGAGGAGGGACGGCACCATCGGAGGCGCAGCAAGGCCAAGCTCTCCGAAAGCACCCAGACCAGCACGGCCGGCAGCTCCTCCAGCAGCAACTCGAGCAATGTGGTGGAAATGCTCAAAAACTCTTGTGAGTTCACTCAAAAAAATATTTAAATCCATTTAAACATAGAGAAAATTATAAATTCTTGCTGATTTATAGATTTAAGTAGTTTTATTAATGATTTCAAATGAATTAATATTTTTTATTTAAATATAATTTTAGATCGAAGCCAAAAGTTGTCTGCCTCAGGAGATTCCTCAGCCACCCTGTCCACTGCCCAGTCTGACGTTGACGAGGCCTGTCAACGGCTTCTTTCCTCCATGTCCAACCCAGACAACGACCGGCTTCTTGCTTTTGCAAATAGTGAGGAGAGACTTGCCAAATTCCCCCCTGACCCAAAATTAGAGAAAGTTCTTGGTAATAAAATTTTTATTCTGCGTCAAAGAAGTGTCATAATTTTTTTCTTCGAACAGGATTCGACGACAACCATTTTGCTGCTTTCATGCAGGAGTACATCAACAGGGAGTGCCAAAGACAGGCTTGCTGGAGGAGTGACGTCCTCAACCTCATGTCAAAAAGGGCTGAGTAGGTTTCGGTTTTTGCTGGTCGAACTGTGGTTGATAAAATAATTATGCAGGATTGTGAAGGACAAGAAGAAGCAGGACGAAGGCAAATCGAGAGATTCCTCCTCTTCCACCACTAGTTTGACCAGCACTGTGTCTGACAAAATAGAAAAGGAGCCTTCCAACCTCTTCCAGTTCACCATGGCACCCTCTGGCAAACCCAAGAAAGTAGACTTGGAGCCAAAAGCCAAAATATTCCAACACACTATTGCCCCGTCTTCTCAAGACATAGCCAGGGCTAAAGTCGGCATTGCACCACCCAGACCCAGTTCTTCCAAAGCCAGTTCCAACTTAGAAACTGTGCCCAAGACTCTTGATGACTTTCTCTCGGACCCAAACAAATTGACCCTCTTCAAACCAGCAGTCGTCGAGAAGGCTAAGAAAAAGGCGAGGAGCCCTGCCTCAAAAAGCACCAAAGACCCTCCAATAAGAGACTGGGATTTGCCTTTGCAGGTGAACATTTTTGCTTAGTTTATTATTGTTATTCTAGTTTAAACTATTGTTGCTATTATTTTTCAGGAATTGTTGAAGAAAAGGAGACCAAACTTCATCAAGAGGGCTGAGAACCGGCGGAAGTGCTTGGCTCTTTTGGGTGAGAGGCGCCAGCAGAGGGGAAATGTGAGGCGCCAGTGTTTGAAGGAGCAGGTGGACAAGTACAGCGGTTCATTGCCAGAGAACATCAAACTGGAGCCTTTGCCACCTCCACCATTGGGTAAATGACAAGGTTGATTTTTTCTATGAGCAAATTTTAAAATCTGGTTTCAGCTGAAATGAGGCTTTTCTCTCAGCAAAAGCTTCGGGAACATACTGCCAAAGTGTGTCGCAAGTTGGAGGAAAACAGGAAAAAGGAGGAGGCCAAAAAATTGGAGGAAGAGCACAAGATGAACAGACTGATGGCTCAGATTTTCAAAAGGGTGCGTTTAAATCTTATCCTTACGTTGGGTAGCTCATTAAGGGTAATAATTACTGTTGGCAGAAACTTCAAAATCGAGTGCTGCACCACAAAGTGGACTTGTCGAATTCAATGAGTGTCATTACATCAGAAGACTGAACCCTGATTTGACTTAGAAGCCAAATTATGGCTTGTTTGTTTTATTTCTAAAGGACTATCTAGATTGTATTGTTTAAAATATCTTACCAATATGAAATAAAAAATAAATTTATTTATGCAAAACTAAATAACAAGTATTTCATTTATGACATCTCACTGGCATTTAAATTCTGGTTTCAAACGCCAAATCCCTAGACCGGAAGCATCTCTGTGGAATGTAGCAATGGATTTTAAGAGGAACTTGAAAAGTGGGCTGAGCTCTTTGTTGATGGCCGTTGAGGCTGCCTTCTGGAACCTCTCAAGCAGCTCTGAAGTGGTTGCCTGTCCGTCAATAGCGCCTCCAAAAGCAAGGAAACAGCGAAGATCGTCCAATAGCTCAGACTCCTCTTCAGTCACGTGGGTGCGAGATTCCCTCGCAGGTGGTGGTCGGGTGTGAATGATGTCTGGGGCAAATAGAGGTTCTTCGACTGGTAAGGGATCGGGTTCATCATCAAGATCTGCACAAGTAAACAAATTATTTTCTTATTTCACTAACAAGAAACTTGTTACCTTCAATGACAATTTCAGCATCGTGCGGAGGCGAGGTAGGCTTGATAAGACGATTCCGTTGGTTCCAAATGGAGAGTATGTCATCTGCTGAAACTTGTTCGGAAGGATTGCTGCTGAGGACGTCACTTTCAGGAGACCGCTTGCCACCATCGGGAGCTTTTCCAAGAGCGGCACTTGGTCGGCCGCTTTTTCGCTGCTTTTCCTTTGACCTTAAATTTTAATAAAATTTAGAAATTAATTGATTCAAAAATATTTTCCTCCTACTTTTTGCCACTGTTGGGAGACCTCATGTGGCCGCTGGAACCTGTCCAAGTGGGAATGCCACTGGTAGCAGAAAAGCATTTTTGTTGAGATTCTTTGAGCCGGGCAACAGCTTCCTCAGCCACATGCCGAGCTTCTCGCTCCACCAAAGCGTAGTCAGATCCGCCTCCGTCCATAATTTTGTCGTGTTTCAAAGCAGTTTGCAGACCTGAAATAAAATGTGAATTTATTTCCACTTTTGGCAGTTGAAAAATGAATCAAGCACCAGTTTTCTTAAATAATTTGCGGAGAACATAGTCATCCTGATGTTCAGGCTTTTTTGTTTCACTTTCCTCTTCCACCAGCAGACTGGCGTAGTCTCTCTGCTTGACCAAGTTTTCCACCCTCTCGCCTTCAAACTTGCACCACTTCTTCTTTTTTGGCTTCTTGGTCTTTTTCTTCTCTGCCTCGCTGCCATCGGGAGGTTCGGTTTTGACGGTAGGAGCTGAATTTTCTTCGCCCTTGGACTTGTTGGTGATTTGCTTGCTCAGGCGGGCAGCCAGCTCCCTCATTTTGGCAATTTTGTCCTCTGAGAACTGCACTCGGACCGACAGAGCTTGGCTTCTATCATTCTCGGCCATCTTGATGTCTTTTTTCCTTGGAACGGCCACTTCTGATCCCGTGCCAGCAAAAATTGCTGAAGTCTCAGTGCTGTTTTCCTTGCCTTCGTTGAGAGTGAACAGTTCGAAGAGGTCGTTGGACTTGAAAAATCGGCGCTGCTTCGGGTTCTTTAACACTTTGTTAGTCAGGAATTGCTTGAAGATTTGTCTGTGGTAGATTTTCTCCTCAATTGTGCCAGTTGTGACCAAGCGATACACAGTAACCTTAGCAAAGTTTGAATCAAATAAGATTAAAATTGAGTGATTTAAAAATACTTGGTTCTTTTGCCCAATTCTCCAGGCCCTTTCCCTGGCCTGTGTGTCCGTTGCAGGGTTCCAGTCTGGGTCAAAAATTATCACACGATTGGCGCCAGTCAAATTGACACCTAAACCACCCACTCTGGTTGTTAGCAGAAAAATGAAGTGTTCTGGATTCTGTATCGTTAATATTAATTTCAAATAAATATAGTTGTAAGCACAAATTTCTTTACTCACGTTATTGAACTCTTTGATCAGAGGTTGCCGAGAGCTGATTGAAGTTGTGCCATCAAGCTTGAGGTATTTGTACTTCTCTTGGTTTAGGAAATTTTCCAAGATGCACATCATCTAAAAGGAAAATACTTTGTAACTTGGATTATTTTTCAGAAAATTGAGTCATTACCTGACGGCCTTGTGTAAACAAAAGTACTCGGTGTCCCTGTTTTTGCCAGATTTTCAACAACTGCTGAACAACCAGCATCTTCCCAGAGCGTTTCCAATACCCATACCGCTCCTCTTCAGGCAGGGTCTCATCATCCTTTCATACAATAATTGTACTTTATAAGATTATTTCAAGCAAATATTAAGATCGTCTTACAAGATTGGCTCCACAGCCGAACAAATCAGGGTGGTTGCAAATTTTTCTCAGATTGATGAGTCCTACAAAAATTTTCAGTCTTCCACTAAGAATGTTGCCTACCAGGTTGGAATTCACATAGTGATGGTACAAGTTCCTCTGCTCATCAGTCAGTTTGCAAAATAAAACCTAAAATTTGATTTTAGTCAATTTTAACTACCTTTTTCAATTGAAAATTTTAAACCTGCTCATTCTTGGGCGGAAGCATGATGTGGTTCTTGACGTCGGCCTTCATCCTTCTCAGAAGGTACGGCTTGATGGTTTCTTTCAGCGTCAAGGCGCATTGAAAAGCAGTAGCAACCTGAGAGGTTAGTATATAAGACAGAATTAAAGTTTAATGACTGCCAATTATTCCAAACCTGCACTTCAGAGGCATTGGCGTAGCCACCCTGCGTTATCGGAACAGCAAAGTTTGCCAAAAAGTCGGGCAGAGTTCCAAGTTTACTGGGATAGACAAAATCAAACAAAGACCACAACTCCTTCAAATTATTCTGCATTGGTGACCCAGTGAGAGCCAATCTGTGTGGCGTGGGAATTCTTTTGGCGGCCAAAGTGGCCTGGGCGTCCGGGTTTCTGATTTTGTGGCCCTCGTCCAAGATGAGGAGGTGCCACCTTCTTTGCAGAAGGGTCTCTTGGAGACTGACCAGTCCTTGATAGGAGGTCACCAAAACGCCACCAGTCCTGTTGATGTCCTTGACTAGTTGGGTTCGAGGGTCTATTTTAAAACATAAGATTAATTTTTAAGGAAAGTCTTACGCAAAAAAGTTACCTGAAGAGGATCCAGATTCGTGCAGGATTGCAACTCTGATCGGAGGCCACCAAGTGTGAAACTCGCTGACCCACTGGTGCATCACAGTTGTGGGACAAACTAAAATGGTCGGTCCTAGACCTCGAAATCTGCCAAATAATAAATAAATGTTTGTTTTTTACAAACACGAAATCAAAAGTTTACCCAGTGTTTTTGGACTTGAGTCTGCTCACTTTGAGAGCTGCCAGAAATGCAATTACTTGAATTGTTTTGCCCAAACCCATTTCGTCACCCAAAACTCCACCGGATCCATTTTGGTAAAGCTCCCACATCCACTGGACACCAACTTGCTGATATCTGCCATCAAAATAAAAACTATTCAAATTGACAAAAAAAATCAGATTTTTACTTGTAGAGTTTGTTCCAAATAGACATTGGAATTTCAAGGTATCCGTCTAATTTGTGCAACTCTTCCTCCTCGCAACCACCCTGCTCTCTCCATAAACTCACTCTAGCTTCGTAATCTTCCAACGAACCATCATCAAGAGCCATTGCTGCTTCCAAAATATTAATTTGGCTCCTTACAAGGTAAAATTTTAATGCCTTACATTTCCTTTTGCTCTTCTTTGTATCAGGACGGGGAGATTTTTCCCAATCGCTGTCGTCTGTGTGCCAGTCACTTTCAGACTTAACCTCCTTTATTTTCCTTTTCCTGGTTGCCTTTTTCAGACCGATTTCAGCATCTAATAGACAAGTTAGTATTTTTTGAAATTATTTGAGAACATGCACATACAAGGATCCAAATCATCCTCTTCATCACCCGAGGGAACAAAGTCCGGATCGTCGTCAAGCCACATTGTTTGAGTTTCTGAGGTCAATGGCCCGGATGCTCGTCTTGAAAAGGCACTGAAATATAAATTATCATTATCAGAAATTGGACGGTATGAAAATAATTTTGAACAACCTTTTGGAAGTTTTAGTCCCTAATTTAATTTTCTTTTTCCTCTTCTGTGGCATCAAAATATTTCTCTTTAGAGGACTGGATTTTTGCTTTTTATTTGCAACTGACTGTGCTTTGTCTTTCGAGGAAGCTGCTTGCTGAGCAAAGTACTTTTTCAGACCACTCATCTCGGAAGACGTTTTGGAAGCAAGCATGGTGCCGAACGGTGTCATTTCACCCAAGCGAATCATCTTTTCTTCGGCTGTTTCTTCCTCTTTTTCTTTTACTTGGCAATCTTGGACCTTCAATTTTATTGACGTAAACAGTTATTACTTTAAAATAAATTTATGGTACCTCTGGCTCGTAGAGAGAGTACTTTTGTTGCAGGAGAGCTTTTTGTCTGGCCTTTAACTTCTGGAGTCTCTCCCTTTTATCCTCCTGCTCCTTCCGAATGCTGACCATCTGCGTCCGGAGGGCTCCTGAGTCAAGCAAGACCCTCAGCAGACTTTGATCTTTGTTAACTTGCTCCTCGGCAACCCTGATTTCTGTCTCGATGCAGGCAATTTCGGAGTCCAGGTTTTGCTCCTCCTGCTCCTTTTCCTGTCTTTCCAAGGCCTCGTCCACCTGCTGCAGGATTCCCTGCTCCAGGGTTTCCTGTCTGTACACGCTGAGCCCCAAATTTTGGATTTCCTCATCCTGAAATTTAAAATCAATTAAGGCGTCAAAAATTTTAGAAATAGAAAATGCTGAAAACCTGATCTTCCTGCTGCACTTCTTCGATGAGATTTAGATTCACGGCGAAGCCTTCTTTTGGTTTTGAACCGGTCCAGTTTTTAGGTCTCAAGTTTTCCGAATCGCTCTCCATGACTGGAAGATTTTGATTCTAAAAAATATCAATGTACATTACGTAATAAAATATTTTAAAATACATAAAAAAGTGGTGTTTGTGAAATTTTATTAGGTCAATTTTTGTAAAATGGATTACATACAATATATTATTTACATACATACCTCTTATTGCCAAGCAAACAAAAACACGTTCATCGTATTTTTAATAAAAAGTAAATCAAAATGCACAGCAATTTTGAGCTAAAATCGCTACGAAATCATCAAGACGAAAAATTATGAATTCGTCTGTCAAAAATTATCTAGTGTATGGTGTGTACATCTGTTTTCTTTTGTACACAAAAAATGTAGCCACCATGATACAACTTCACAAATAAGCTGTAGGGAATATTTTTAGGAAAAGCATTGAAAAAACTGACAAAAAATAATCTGAAACTAGTATAAAACTTTATTAACCGTTACATAAAGGTCTATTATCATATTTTCGCTGTTATTTGAGATTTGATTTGATTAATTTGATATAAATAATTGTCATGTTGGCAACTTTGCGATGAATATTCAAGAATTTTTAGGGTGTTATTATTATCCAGCGTGAAGTACTGCAATTTGATACACTTCCTTTTTTTTAAATTAAGTACTCTGCTTGCTCTGAAATAATCTTCGAAGTTTTTTTGTGAATTTAAAGGTTTGTAAATAATTTATTAATACCCACACAATGCAACATTATTGTGTATAATTTATTTCAAATTAAAAAACCGAGTCGAGAAACGCCGGTTTTTTCTAAAAAAGGAAAATTAACATAAAAAACGTTTTTTCGTTTTCTTTTTACAAAATAATTTTCAAGGGCATTTTCAGTGATTTGCATTACATTTTTTCCAATTTTTAACAGTCAAATTTACCCACTCATAAAATTTCTCACTAAAAAAGCTCGATTTCTCTCTGATTTTTTAAAAAAATTTCCAGCGATTTTCAACGACGATGGCTCCTGTTGACGGCTCGGCTCAAAACGTGTCTCCGGGTTTTGCCTTCAAGTTGGTCTGCGAAGGCCAAGCGAACGGCCTGGTGGACGTGAAGAAGTACCGCTCTGCCAGAACCGGACTGACCGTGGTGCTGGCGGACGTCGACGGCCCCGTCGTCAACGGCTACTTTTGCCTTGGTATGGATATTTTCCCTCTCTTTGCCTATTTTTATTTTTCTTCATCAAAATTTTTTCCATCTCAGCCACTGAGGCGCACGATGATGACGGCCTGCCACATACCCTGGAGCACCTCATCTTCCTGGGCAGCGAGCAGTACCCTTACAAGGGTGTCCTTGACCTGTTGGCCAACCGCTGCCTCGCCTCTGGCACCAACGCTTGGACGGGTTGGTTTTTTATTTCCGTTGCAAAGGTTGTAAAATGAATTTTGGACAGATACCGACCACACTTGCTACACGATGACCACTGTCGGATCGGAAGGGTTCCTCAGTTTGATGCCCATTTACTTGGATCACATCTTGTACCCAACATTATCAGTAATTTTTTTATTTTAGGCAAACTATTCCATGATATAAACAGTTCTTATTTAGCATTGAATTGTTGCATGTAACTGATTTTATCAATTTGTGTAAATCAATTCAATTTTTAGTTTTGAAAAAGTTAAGAATGCTTTTGAAAAAATGTATTGCCAAATTTGGTAATTAAAAAAAGGTGGCTAAATTCTCAGGTTGGGGTTCAATTTTAAAGAAGGAATTGAAAATTTTATTCATAAAAAATTATACAATAAACATTTAATTAAATGATTATAACTTATAACTTGTAAAATATTTTTTTTAACTAAATTTCTTCATTAAATCATAGCTCATTAAATCATAGGAATATCATTTAATGAAAGTTTAGGTGATTCATGAAACATTTTTTAATTAATCAGGATGAGGGTTTCATAACGGAAGTGCATCACATCAGTGGTGACGGCCAGGACAACGGCGTTGTCTACTGCGAGATGCAGGGGCGAGAAAACTCTGGAGAGTCTCTTTGCCACCTTAACATGCTGCGCGCCCTTTTCCCAAACTGCGGTTACTGCTCAGAGACTGGCGGGATCATGAAAAATCTCCGCACCTCTACTGACAACATCAAAGTAGCAAATTCAATTATTTTGATCAATTTGTTCTAAAGCTGTTTTTTTTTTTTTTTTTTTTTTTTTTTTTTTTTTTTTTTTGCTAAGGTGAGGAAATTCCACAAGGACTTTTACCGACCAGAGAATTTGACTCTCATCGTCACCGGCAAAGTCAAGGCCGAACAGGTTTTCTCAGCCCTCAGTGACATGGAGGAAAAAATTTGCTCCAAGGTTTCCTTTCATAACTTTTTATATTCTTGAAATCAAGGCTAAGAAATTGAGTTCTTCAATTTTAGGGAGACAGAGGTGCTTTTACTCGTCCTTGGCAGTCTGAAGTGCAGCCTTTGGCAAAGTCCGTAGAGCAACTGGTGCCTTATCCCTGTGACGAGGAGGATTGCGGCATGGTGAGCATTGCCTGGAGGGGGCCCTCTGCAGTCACCGACCTTGTCAAGTAAATCTAAATTTCTGCCAAATAAATCAAAATCTGATTTTTTTCATGTTAGTGTTGCCGCCTGTTCTATCATCATGAAATATCTCACTGACACAGCTGTGAGTCCGCTGCAGAGGGACTTGGTTGAAATCAAGGATCCCTACGCCAGCAGGGTCAGTATTTTTTTCTTTATAGTAATTTACCAAAAAAAATTAAATTGTGATGAAGTTATGATATAAATTTGCATTATTAAAAATCATTCTAATTGGGTTTTCTTTTGCATGTAGGTTTGCTACTCAATGATTGAAAACTCAATCGCTGCACTTTTCATCATTTTTGAAAATGTCCCTATTGACAAGGTGGACAAGGTCAAGGGCAAAGTTGATGAGATTTTGGAGCAAATTATCTCAGGAAAGGAGGCTATCGATGCTACTCGCCTTTGTTCCGTCATCAACCGCCAGGTTTGCTTAACTCTGTAATTAGCTTGAAGCCATTTCTAAATTCTATTCTTCCTAGATTTTGGAAACCCTGAGTCACCTTGAAACAAACCCTCATGACACCATAGCATTCATGGCCATTGGAGACATGCTCTATGGGCAAAATCAGAAAGACGTCTGTTGATTTTAAATTTTTTTTTTAAATTGTACTTAAATTTAACTTCTTCAGTTCCAGCAGCGCTTGAACACTGTTCAAGACCTCAGGAAGCTGCTTGAGGAGCCCAACTCCTTCTGGATTGATTTACTGAGAAAGTATTTTGGTGCTGACGCTCCGAGCGTTCTGATCAAAGGCCGTCCCAGCATTGAGCTGCAAGTAAAAATGGCCGAGGAGGAAGAAGAGCGAGTGAAGCAGCAGTGTGCTCTGCTGGGAGAGAGTGGACTCAAAGGCAAGGCTGATGCCCTTATGGCTGCCATTGAGCACAATGAGGTAGAAAAATTGGAATAATCATGTGAAAGAAAATTTAAACTAAACCTTCTTGCAGCGTCCCCCTCCGGATGAAATGCTGACTTCAGTGCCTATCCCTGGAACAGGAGGAATTAATTTCCACACAATCGAGAGCTTCACCTCCAACAACACTGAAGTTTCCCACCCCAACTTCTCAGACATCACCTCTCCTGGAGTCACTACCTATCTTCTCAACATCAAATCAAACTTCGTCTACGTAATATTTAGAAAAAAAACTACACTTTATTTTCCTATAATAACTAAATAACTTGGTAGATGTTTGCTCTGATGGACACAAATTCCCTGCCAGCCAATCTGAGGAGCTACCTGCCTTTGCTCTTGGAAACCATTATTGAAAGTCCGGTCGAGAGAGACGGGGTTGTTGTCCCATATGAGACCATTGTCTCCGAACTGGAGTCTGACACAATTTCAGCGTCAACCAGGGTTGGCTTGGAAGTTTGTTCTAGATTCTCATGTGGACCTTTTGGACAGACTGCTTTGCTTCTCCTTCAGGTATAAAATTTTATTAATAAATTTTTAAGAATTTGTTAATTATATTTCCGACTTGAGCCACTGGAGTAAATTTATTAATTATTCCTAGTTGGAGCCTGGCAAGTACGCTCGCTGTGTGAAATGGATGCAGGAAATTCTGTATGGCACTCAACTCACTACGGAGCGTCTGTCAGTGGTGGCGACCAAAATGATCAATGACGTTGCCCAAGCCAAACGAAATGGAAACGGAATCGCCATCGACATTCTCAAATCAATGCTTTTCTGCAAAGGTATAGAAACAGAACCATTTGGTTTCATTCTTATAATAGAGATTTTCTTCTAGAGAGTAACCAGTACTGTTCAAGCATGCTGAGGCAGCACCGAGTCTTGACCGAACTGAGTTCGGCCTTGGAGGCTGGAGGTGACGGAGCAAAGAAAATCCTAGAGCAGCTCAATCAGTTGAGAGAGGAAATAACAAAACCCGAGAATTTGTCAGTCATGGTTGCAGCTAACTTTGAGGCTCTTGAGCAGGCAGACCAGCCGTGGAAAGAATTTCTTCCTTCTCGACTTGAGGCATCCTTGAAACCGTAATAAATTAACCATGCTTTTATTTTTAACAAGAAAAATCTAAATTCAATTTGTAGTTTGCATGTGACTTGTGACGCCGAGTTGATATCCGAGTGCCAGGGCCAGAGGGGCAGCATTGTGGGCCTCGGGTGTGTGGAGTCATCCTTCCTGAAGCACTGCTGCCCCGGCCTCAAAGGCTACAAACACGAAGACCTGCCCGCCCTGCTTGTCTTCACTCAGTACCTGACCCAGTTGGAGGGCCCTCTGTGGAAGCAGGTGCGCGGCCAGGGACTCGCTTACGGCTACAACATGTTCCCTCAGCCCAACGAGGGCCGTCTTTACTTCACAATCTTCAAAGCCACCAACACGTTGGCTGCGTTTGTTGAGTCGAAAGCAATTGTGGTAAGTTCTCAAAAATACCAATTTTTTCTCCAAAAATTTCAATATTTCAGATTTTAGATTTTTGTGTTATATTTAGAATTGAAAACTGATAAACCGTTCATTGTTTCAGGAGGCTCAGTTGAAACCCGATGCTGTGTGGGATGAGACGTTATTTGACTCAGCTCGCAGTTCGCTTGTCTTTGAAATCGTAGAGAGGGAGAAGAGTGTCGGAGACGCCGTGGTGCACAGCCTGCTCTCCTTTTTCAAGGGAGTGCCGCTTGACTACAACAAGTATGCTTATTCATTTTCCATCTATAGTTGCAGGGTCTGATTAAACATTTTCAGGGAACTTGTGCAAAAAGTGTCAAAGGTCACTACGGACGACCTGAGGCGAGTCGGAGCAAAGTATGTCGCTCCTCTTTTTGTCCCTGGATCTGGTCACACTTCAATTGTTTGCCACTCAAGCAAAGTAGAGGAAATCGCAACGGCATTCAATGAGTAAGTATTTCTGTATCTAAATATACATAAAAAAAATAATAATAATAATCGTGAAAGAATTCCTTACATTGAAATAAATTTATTTTCTAGCTTGGGCTTCTCCATCAAAATATCCTCATCGCTGGAGGAGAGTCCTTTGGCTTAAATATGATATTAACAAGATCCTATTAGAAGCTGCTGATTTGGATCTTGCAACAAAATTAAAATTTTTTAACAAATATATTTTGCCTCAGTTTGATTTGCAGTGTGAATTAAATTTGTAACTACATAATTAATTCAAGTTCAATTAAAGTCAAGCTTGGCGAGCACATATACATCTCTCATTTTATTGACGTTTCTATTTTTGCATCCCAAAATAAATATGTATAAATTTTTGTCATTTGTTCATCTTCCTGCCATAAAAAAATGATAAAAGCATGTTAATATATTGCTAGCTTTTGTAAGTGTACCTGCTAAACACCTAGCAAGAAGCTTCAAGGTCAACCATGCGAGAGGTCAGTCATGCCAAGCAGGTTTTTCCACTTGGGTTTCCCTGACAATTAAGTTTCAGGTGATGGACCCAAAAAACATTCGCGCTCCTTATGCGCATTCTGCCCAAGACGGATGAGCAGCTTAGTTGCTTTAATATAGCCTGATCTGCGCTGCACCAAGTAAACTGGTCAGTATTTCCAATATATATTTGTTTGCAATTTTTTTCGTATTTATTATTATTTTGGTTTTATATTGTTAAAAATTTATTTTTGCTCGTTTCAATCATAGTTTTTGGAATTAAATCTATTGTATAATCTAATTGAATATAAAAATGAGTGTTAAAGAACAAGATGCCTGTGGTGCCTGCGCCGCTTTTGTTGTTGGTGCTATCGTCGTCGAGCGTTTATGATCATTTCCCGACCGCTCCTTGCTTCTTGACCGCTGTGCAGCTCCACCAGGTGCAGGTGCCTCTGCTTGCACTGTTCCCTGGCGCCGAGAGTGTTGAGATTGAATTTCGTCCGCACGCAGGAGAACAGGCGCACCGCGAGATTTGTAGCGAACAGACAGTTTCTGTGGCTGAAGAAGCTTTAATCAAAGTAGTTGTAGAAAAAGCTAAAGAAAATATGGTCAAATATGATGAACAAAAAATTAAAGTGTCGACATCTCCCCCTTTCAACGAGCTTGAGCTTGACGGCGATCAGGTAATATGAATATGAAACAAAAACATTTTAAATAAATTAATAACTCCTTCATAGCAAGATTTTCAAAATACATTTTTGTCAATCAATTTTTCATGTGCAATTTATATTGTTCCATTTTATAGCTTCTTTGTTGCTTGCAGGCAAAGTCCATTTTAAATTCCTTTATCATTTTTTACTTATGCGTTATGTGCGATTTAAAATTATTATTTACTATATTTTGTCGCAGCAACGATTTCCACCTTCAACACCACACACTTCCAATGAGGAAGAACTGGAAGAATCAGCCGCGAACGAAATCGAAGAGTTGATCGCAAAGAAAGACGTTGAAGGCGCTGCGAGAATTTTTCTCTCTGCCCCCAGATCAGAGCTGTTTGTCACCAATCTTTTTGCGGATCTTTTTGATGAGCAGTGGAAAACCTTCCAGGTATAAAAATAGTGTCAAAGAAAAAAATATTATAAAGAGAAGGAAAAATATGAAAAAGCTCCCTTTTTAAATTTTTCTATCCTGGAAATTATTTGTATAAACATAAAACTTTTACCACTATATAATTTATTTGAATTAAATAAACTAGCTCTTTTTTGCAAGAATTTACATCCCTATGTAGAGATTCTTCACATTTTGTTTATTCATAATTTATTTACAACACAATTTGGAGTATGAGAAAAAACTTAATGATTAATTTTCAATAATATCATAATTAATACTTGTATTTTTCTATTTTCAATCTTCAATAAAAAAGAAATGAAAAAAGTTTGAAATTTTATAAAAACTAAAATTATAGGTGGGTCGCGTGTATGACCTGGCGGCGTCGGTGCGGTCGGTGGCCGCCTTTGAGATCCTGCGGCGCCATCAGGAGACTCGAGGCCTGTTCGAACAGCAACCGTTGTTGGTGGCGCTTTTTGCGTCGCGACTACTTGAGTGGACTCGCGGCGCCGACTTCACGCTGGCGCCGCCGGAAGATCAGAGTCAAGCCTACCTGTTGGCACGCGACGCCAACGCAGCAAGGCGCCGCGTTGTCAGCGCCGCGGTGCAAGAGGTGGTCGAGTCGGAGGCGCCGTCGGGCGGCGCCCTCTCGCTGCTCCAACTGATCGCGGCGCCGCCGGCGTCAAACGATACACAAACGGCGCCGCAGCTGCTCAAGGAGGCGGTAGATGTGGCCGCGCCGTTTTTACGCAATGAGAAAATCGGCGTGGCCAAATTTGCCGAAATGTTCGCCAGGAGAGAGGACACCATTTGCTTGGTCCTTGAGCAGATCAAGCGGGCCATCGACCCCGAACCCAAGTACTGCCAGACCTTGCAACTTTACATGGTAAGGATTGTATTACACGCAAAAAGTGTGCTTAAAAAATATGCTTTAAGAACACTATTTTTTTTAAATTTCATTTTAACTGGTTTTAAAATATTTTGATTGAATTAAAAAAAAATTGAAAAATATTTATTGCAATAAAAAAAATTCTAATGACTGAAATGTCAAACGTGAATTTTGATGTTCATGCGCTCAATCTAAAATTGAAATTTTTCCCCAAAATGTTCCTATTTTTTACACTTTTAATTTTGGGTTTTATTTGTTATTTTTGTCCCTTTTTTAAACTTTGAAGTTAAACGCAAAAAATTGTAGTTTTTTTTTTTAAATATTTATATAGAAAGGGAAATTATTATTCAAAGAAATTCAATCAAAATGAAAAATTTTATATCATGAGAAGAATCTGATATCCGCTGATTTCGATATACATGAAATAATTTTGTCATTTCAAAAAGTTGAATTAAGTTTTGAATTTTTCATCACTCAGATTATTCATTTATTTATATTTCAAACAAAAGGTTAATTCAAATATCAATTGTTCAGGCATATTTTTTTTTAGCAAAAAAGAGGAACGATTTTTATCAAAATTAAATTTCCAGGCCACAATACTGCGATTGCCTAGTGTGCGTGAAGCGTCAACAGAATCTTTTTATGAGCTGAACTGCGCCCCTCTAATGGGAAACGTGAGCGCGGCGTATGTGAGCGTCCGAGACGCACCGGACACGGATCTGCAGCAACACGCAGCCTGCCTGCTTCAAGGATTCAAAGAAAGCATGCAATTCTACTTAAGGTAAAGAGTTATTGTAGAATTTTATAAAAAATTTCATCGGCAACTTCATGTTTGATTGAAAGAAAATATTACTTTAGGAGTAATAAAAAAGCAAAAGAGGGAGATTATGAAAATGAGTGTCTGAAGATTCCTCATTCCATTTTAAATTTTTGATGAATTAAATGGTTTAATAAAAAAATAAAAAATTGTAAAATAGTCAACTTATTTCAAATTTCATAAGTGATTAAATTATTGTCTCGTGTTTTAAACGGTTTTTAATATTAACATTAACTTTTAAAATTTAATATGAATGTTTAGCGTTATTTTTATTTATGATTATGATTTTTTCCGATTATGAATTTTTTTTAAGTAGTAAAAACTTTTCAAAGGTACAAGGCGCCGACGGTGCCAACCCTGAAGTACCCTGAGCTGCAATACGCGTTGCAGCAGAACGACCTGCGTTTGGAGGTGCGTCGAATGTACGAAGCGGGCGGCGTCACAGAGTGCGATCTTTTCGGCGCCTACCTCTCCGTCCTGGACAGCGTGGGCCTGGCAAACTCGGCGGCGGCCCTGGTGACCGCGGCCCAGGCCCATCGGCGCAGCGAGTGCGCACGTGTCGTGGCCGCGGCGCCGCTGTGGACGCGGCGCCTGCTGGACGCGTCTCAACCGTGCGACGTTGAAAACGCAAAGACCGGACAAAGACTGGACGACGTCGCCTTATGGAACGTGACCTTTGATGAACTGGGAAGACCCTTCCTGTCCAGGGGCCCTGAAAAGACCGAGCAGCTCTTCATTGAGGCCGTGCCGCAGAGAGACAAACTGCACAGGATCTTCTCTTTGGGTAAAGAATTTTTTTAAAAATATTCTCCTATTGTTTAAAATTGCACCAAACAATAAAAAAGTTGATAGTACTGAAGGTATTAAATTGGAAATGACCATTTCAGTCATTTTCTGCGTTTTGGTAATCAAAAATAATAATTTATTACTAAAAAAAAAAAAAAATGCTTTTTCAGGTGACGGGGATAGAGGGGGCTTTCTAGGTGCAACTTGCAACGATTGCCCTGTAGAACAAAGGGCAGAACTCTACAATTGGAAAATAGAGTGCGTTTTTGATGCTGCATAAAATAATATAGAATGTAAACAATCGCGAAAAATCGTTTTATGATGAAAAAATATAATTAATGAAATAAAAAAATTATTGTAATTATTAACTATATTTTGTATATTTTAGATATTTTTTTCAAGAAACCTTACAAAAATATTTTTATTTAAAATTATGATTGAACTGGAAATTTATTTATAAATTTAACAAATTTGTTGAGAAGTTTTGAAGTTTCCTTAAAAAATAAGTAGAAAAACCAGAACTCCTAAAATTTATATTACTGCCCCAATATGGTAAAGCTGAGACAATCGAGAAACAAAACAAAACAAAACCTCTCTTTCTTTGTGCAACATGCCATTGACAAAAAGGGGTCGATTTTTTCATAACAATATTCGTCTTAATTGATATCGCTCTGAATTAGATTTTTTTCCCACCTCAGCCTAGTGAAATTTGGCCGCGAGCATAGCTGCTGCGTGTGGACAAATTCTCGCGATGATTTCTATTGTGTTTCGAGGGGCGTCACATAATAATTTTGCAATAAAAGTATGTTGCAAACATATTGATGCTAATGATCCCAAAGATGTCATTTTTTAATAGTGCATCAGGTGACGCAACAAAACAAAAAAATGAACGCTCGCAGCAGGAGACGTTCTGTCATTTCAAATGTCAAGAGTACATACATAATTTATCATCTTTTTGAGGTAAATAATGGCTTTGACACAAACGGTACTGCTTACGAAAACAAAAAAGCGTCAAATTTTCAAATAGGTGCTAAACGGCGTGTGCTCATTTATCAATATATGTATTTATGCAAATCATTAAACACCTTTTCTCAAAAATCTTAAGCCTAAATTTTAATATAAAATTGGGCTTTAAACAGATAATTAAAAAAGATATTGACATAATAATTGAAAACTGCGTTATGAAAATAAAATAGATCACAAATTTATCTAATTAATACGTGTTGATTACGCTGAATTGAAAGCTAAAGATAGAAACACGTTGATTCCAAATTACTTCTAGGTAACCATGACCCAATAGATCCCTATCACGTCGCTCCTCCCTGCGATGCAACTTTGGACCATACACGATTCTCGCGAAACATAATGAAATAGATACATGGAGATATGGATGGTCCTCAAGGACAACAGTGAAAGGTCTATATGTAAAAACGGACCATTTCGGCGCACGCGGTTCCAGTTAGGTCCGCAGCACCGCGACGATTGGACATCAAACATGTTTTTCGCCACGAAATTTGTGATATTCTTTTTGTCGTTGGCAATTTCCTACGTCGCCCCGACCAACTTCAAGGAATGCCGCAGTTTTTGGAATAACAGTAGGTTTTTTTTTAAATTTATATTTCGTTTTTCAAAAATGTCTTATGACGAGATTAGAAGTGGGCATTCCGCCTCTAAACATCACTCTGCACGGCTGCGACAAGTACCCTTGCAGTTTCGCCAGAGGTTCAAATATTTCTGGAGGAATGGACTTCATGTACAGTAAGTTTACTTATTTAAAATTTTAATTTAATTATATATATATATATATATATATATATATATATATATCTATTATAAAAATTATTTTTTAAATATAAATATACATTTTTATAAATTTTATTTTTCCATTTTTTAGTTTAAAAATATATTTTTGTAATGTCAAAATTAATTTTTATTTAATATATAATCGATTTTGCCATGTAATGTTTATAGTGACTGTATTTTTATTTTCTTTGAATGCAATTTTAATTGTAAGCTCAATATAATATAAACAAAACAGATTGATTCCATTAAAAATTAAATTGTTCTAAAGAGATGTTTATTGTAATTGTTTTATATTTAAGTATTCATGCGCACGAATTGTTCAATTTTCCTATGAAATGTTTGCAATTAAGGTTGATTGATTGTTCTTGGTGAACATTAATTTCCAAATTTTATAAATTCTCAAAACTTTTGAAATTAAATAGAATTTGCCACAGATACTTTTAATTATTTTAAAATGTCTAAATAGTGAGCTACATTTGGATCAAAAATTTTTTTTTTCAATTTCAATTCAAATTTCTTGAAAACTAGACATAATTTTCAAACTTCAAGACAAGGAGCTGAGTAGGTTAACTCCTGATGTGACTGTTTACTGGCTTGGCCTCCCCATCGGTTGGCCCATCCACCAAGACGACGGCTGCCAGAGCCTCAGCATGAATAGCTGCCCAATCAAACCCAACACAAGGGCGCGCTACGAATACTCACTTTATCTCGACCGATGGGTTCCCTTGGTAATATAATTTGACGTTTCTTTGAAATTTAACTAAAATAAAACAAATAAAATACAGGTCAGTCCATACGTTTGGTTCAAATTTAGGGACGCGAAAGGAGACATCGCAATTTGCTGCGAGGTGCCCATCAAAGTTGTTGACAATGAAATTGAAGAGAGTTAAGGTTTTGTTGAATTTTTTTGTAAATAAAATTGTTATTTTGTTGATTTATTTGAAAATTTAAGATAATGCATTTTATTTATCTCAATTCTTATCCTTTGCATACAACTGAATAAAATTCACGCTCGAACATATAAATTCAATTTTTAATTTTGTTTTTCTTTATTGTCTTATTTCATGAAACAATAAAAAAAAAATTATTAAAAATATCCTTTTGAAATAAAATTGCATTAAAAATCGATTTCACTCTTAGTTTGCGAAATGCATTAGGCATGGCAAGCCCCATTAGCGGCTGACACGAGTTTCGTGGATAATTAGTGACCCATAAATACCGATTTCGCCACCAGTGTGCAGGAACTACTGTCGGAGCAGCAAGCTCAGACCAGGAAACGATAAAAATATTAAAATTTAAAGGCAAGGAAATTTTACTTTTTTCTTCCACATAAAATATAACCATCTCAAAATATAAATAATATATCTCATTTTTAATTGTCTCTTATTTATATTCACCACCCGCATATTCCTCAAATTTTGAAGGTTGCAGCAAGCCTTTATCAGTCACGTACATAATAATTGAACTCCGGTTTTAATTGGAAAATGACTGACCTCGCCAACATCTCTGCTGCAGTACGCGAGGCAAGAAGAAGATACTTTATTTTAAATTAATAAATAATTCTCTTAAAAATTTTAGGATGAATTTTTCGGTGAAAGCATGAAATTGGAAGGCGCGCGTCAGTTTTTGCAAAATCCGGATGCGCCGTTGGCCGTGCAGATTTGGGCTTATTTAGTGCAGGTTTTGAGGTTAGATTTAATTATTTTTCAATTTTATCCTTTTTTGAATTACATTAATTTTTAGATTCAACCTTTACGTATCTATAAAAACGATGAATATTACTTCAGCAATAAATTCGGGAAAAGCACAGGTTGGACTTTCGCTAGTCCCGTTTGAGAGCGGTGACCAGAAATTTGCAGAAGTCGCACTCATTGGTCCCATTCTGGTTAAAAGGTTTAGACGATTGAATTTTGATAAAGGCGATAATTCAAATGAATCAATGCAGGTTCCAATTAATGGTTGCTGTGGAGCGAGGCCCCATTCTGGCGGACATCCAGAGCGTTTTCACTTTCGGTACATGGGTGGCGATAGGAATTACAGCATTGGTATTTTGCTTGGCCCTGGCGGCCCTTTTCAAACAAGGGGGTGCCAAACTGGACTTTTCAGAAATCGCCGTTACTGTGGTTGGCATGATTACCTATCAAGGTAAGGAGGAAAGAAAATAACTAGTAAAAAAAAATATATGAATATCTTTATCAAAATTTAATCAACTCGAAACTAAAGAGTAAATAATGAGATTGAAAGGTAATAAAATTTCTGTTTGAAAATACAAATAATAAAACTGCAATTTTTTTTTATTGAGAGATGGAAAAATGAGAAATTCTTACGTGAAATATATTCTGTAAATCGTAATGAATTGAGGTAAAAACTGCTTCGAATGAAATAGAGTTTCTTCTCTTCTAAATTTATTTAAATAGAATGACAAAATTAAAAATATTACAAAAACTGTGTATTTTTCTTTACGTCTCAAAATAACAGAATTTATGTTTATTGCTTTTAATACAATAATTGTAATTTAATTAAATGCGATTTAGCTGCCATTATTTTGTGTTAATTAAGGTGCTTTGGCGATGTCGGCTGCAAGTGGTCGCGTGGCGCTTTTCATCGGGCTGCTTTTTGGCTATCTGACGTTCAACGCGTTCAGCGCCTCATTGGTGTCACAACTGACCTTTGGCAACCGATTTTCGGCGCCGCCCTCGGAAAAGCAAGTGCTCACGACGAGGAAACTGCTCGTCCTCGACGCCACCCTTTTCGAAAAGGTCAAAGCTTTGAACGTGACGCCGTGGGACAAAGTGGAACTGGCGCAGGACGCGGATCGCGTGTGTGACGAGGGGGTCGCCCTTTTGCTTGAAACGCCCTTTGTCAAGAGAGCGATGACCTGCGAAACTTTTCTGCTGAGGGAAAAATTCTTCAGCAGCTGGTGGGGTCTCGCGGTCAAGAGAGGACCTTTCCAACGCAAAATACAAAAAGCGTAATAAATTTAAAATTATAAATTTTACAAGAATTTAAATATTAATTTATTTGGAAGGATGAGGAAAGCGAGAGAAGTCGGTTTGTTGGAGAAGTGGAAACTTCCAAAAAACGGCTTTACTGTCAAACAAGAATCAGCAAAAATAACGAACACAACGAGGCCGGCTGGAATTTCATTCATCGCTCCCATAATTGCAATTTTGGTGATCGGAATTATCGCGAGCGGAGTTTCGGCAGCAGTGGAAAATTTCCTTCACAAATTTAAACGTAATCGGCAAAACCAAAAAATTAACATGAAAGTGGCTAAAAAGCGGTCACGGGTGCCGAATTTTATAATTGTCAAGTAAATCGTCAGCATTTATTGACGTTTTCGTTAATTGAAGCTTTATCAGCTTGACCTTGGCCACATATAATGGCATTTCATTTTCACGCATTGTGCAGATTTTTCGCAAAGTGCTATTTGAGATGCGGGTTGGATTCGCACGGTAGATATTGCAATAAATAATTGTGCTCTCATGAGATACAAGATAAATAGGATTTTTTGTATAAAAGAACCTTACCCAATTTGCTCCGCCACACTCGGCCACCTGCATTCAAATCAAATGGTTTCCAGCACAATTTTGGCTCTGGCCCTTTTTCCAGCGCTCGTCGCCGCGACGAACTTCAAGGAATGCCGCAGTTATTGGAACACAAGTTTGTTCAAATTTTTTATTTTTCGTTCAAAAAATAATATTATAATCAGAGGTAGGAACGTCACCCCTTAACATCACGTTGGACGGATGCGACAGGTACCCTTGCGACTTTGCCAGAGGGACTAATATAACTGGAGGAATGGACTTCATGTATGGTAGGCAATTCATTTCTTTAAAAGACCTCTGGAGGTTGATGATTGATATGTTAAATAATCGCAATCAAAACAGTCGCAATCTTCCAGCCAAATAATTTAGAGGTCTGCTATAGCTTCTTGATTAAATAATTATAGAATAAGTTCGTTCTGATAACACGAAATTTGGTAAAAAACTTAACTTGAGGTTCAAAACTAATTTTGGCAGGTCTCCTGGTTTCAACGCGTTAAAAGATGCCATTTTTTTATGGCTTTCAAATTTTGGCGTTATTCATTTAATTTTATTTTCATAGAAACACAGGGATAACACAAATTTTCATTTACACCAAAATTTTGTATTTTGCAGATAAAGAGCTCTCGTATTTGAAACCGGAGGTGACCATCTACTGGTTGGGACTTCCGATCAGTTGGCCAATGAACCAGGAGGACGGTTGCAGCACCCTGACGTTGAACAAGTGCCCTGTCAAGGCCAATACCAGGGCGCGCTACCAATACTCGCTTTACTTGGGTCCAAACACTCCTTTGGTAAAGTAGACAATTTTTACTTGTTGTTTAAAATTTAAATTTGGGTTTCAACTGCAGGTCAGTCCGACGATGAGGTTTGAATTCCGAGACCGCTGGGGTCAAACTTCGATTTGCTGCGAGTTACCGATTCGAATTGTGGCGAACGAGAACGAGGTGCGGGCTGAGAATAATAATCTGCTCAAATAAGTGATAAAAAAAATGAAAAATAAATCGTTGCAAAATCAAATTAAAAAATTTGTTTCTTTTGATTATAGCATAGCAATGAAAAATAATAATAATATGTAGTGTTTAATGGTATAAAAAATAAAAATGAAAATAATATTTGCATTTTTAAATTAATTTTATGCCAATAGAAATAAATAATTATGTAAGTTATACGAAGCATAAAAAAACCGCAAGAAATAAAAAAAATTAAATTAAAAATTATTATTGAATATTTAATGCGTTTTTTAGTGGTAAAAGGTGCAAAGTGGCTCAAACGGCGCGTTGGGTGTTTTCTTTGAATGCGCGTGTCCTAATTCCAGCAAAACGAGCAACGCCGCGTAGACAATGGATTTAAAAGTGTAAAATGTGTGTGTAGCAGTAAAAAAGCGGAACGGATATATGAACATGCCTTGAGAAGAAGATTCTGGTGGGATGCTGCAGACCGCCTACAATCGCATGGATATTTTCAAGAAAAGATATTTATGTTTCCTTTATTATAAAAATTCCTTCTTAGATCTCATTGACAATTATATTGTGAATCCCAGTGAATCCTGAAAAACTCTCTTTGCTATATTGAAGAGCAAATTTTATCCTTCTTTTTTTAAAGTAAAAAAAAGAAACTATTTTAAAAATTTTTCCATTTTCAATAAAATAATCTTAATTGCTTGTATTTGTTGTTTTAAAGAAAAAAATTTTTTATTTTTTTTTGACAAACAAGTTAAATCCTCTAAAAGTTTTCTGCCATTCACCGATTGCACTGCTAAATTTGGCAAAACGAAAATTTGATAAATACTAATTTTTAATTGTTTTCATTCAATTTTGAGATTTACTGAAATAAGTTTGTTTCCAAATATTTATACAAATCAAAATATTGGAAAGTATGAATCATGAGATGTGAAAAACTTGAATTATCATTTAAATGAATTAAAAGTAGCGTCAATGAATAAAAAAAATTTTAATTACAATTTACATGACTCAGCGGCTCTATGAAAATAAATTATTCGTTCCCACCCAAAAGCACACTTTATTCTCTTAAAACAAATATATTAATATTATAAAGCAAAAAAAACTATTAAAATTAAAAATTACAATAATTTAATGTAACATTATACAACTTTTTTTATTTTAGTAATTCTTGGCTTAAAAATATGAAATCAATATTAGCTCTACGTATCGTGCATTGAAGTTTTTTTTATTAAAATTATATGTTGTAAAAAATTGAAAATTTTATATAGATCAATAAGGAAGAATTTTTAACCCTTCTATAATCATTCCATTCCTCTTCACTCCCTTAGTGTTGCTTTTCTGCCCATCTTTCTAGGGCCGACAAATAGAATAATTTAGAAGGATCGAGCTTTTTAAAAAGTCAAAAGTCGGGTTCGCAGATGGAGCCAGGGACCGTGCAGGGCTTCGCGAGAGGGGTCGGCGGGGAGTGAGGAGTGCGGGCGGAGAGGGGAGGAGAAAGGAATCGAACGTAGCCGTCGTCGGTGGGTCGTCGAGCTCCGTGTTTCTCTGTCCGCCTGTTTGTCTGTCCGAGGTGCTTCTGTACTCGAGGGCCCGTGGCTGGACACTGACGATGAGTTAGAAGAAGATTCGGACGCGAGACGGACAGAGGAGGAGGGATGATGAGTGAGCTTAGGAGTGACGTGTGTTGAGGGGCGAACGCAGGCAGGGCTGGCGGTGTTTTTGCAGAGCCTTCCGCCGCCGCCCTCGCCCCCAGCTGGGCACCGCACGGGCGCACCCCTTCTTCGCAGGTAAGAGCACCTTTTCTCCTAAGGTCAAAGGTCACTCGGGTCGAGAGTCGAAAGAGTTCAAAAGAAAGCAAAGGGTCTGTGAAAGAGAGATGAAAAAAAATTCAAAGCTCATTCGTTTCATCTTTTTTTGTGTGCGGTGATGTTCAATGGGCGCCCCTCGCACTGAAGAGAGGGTGTTGTTTTTCTTGTTTGGCTTCCCATTATATTTAAACCGACTCCAGACTCCAGACGGTTATGTATGTTAATCTCCGCGGCTCTCTTTGGACTTGTGCAACTCCAATTTTTTATGTTTGAGACGCCTCGATTCATTCAAATAATGAGGGCAGCTGTCTGTTTTTTTTCCATTCAAATTGTGAGACGCGGGTTATAAAATATAATATTTTAATACGTCTTGTGACTAAAAAAAAAAAACAAGAAATGGATGATATATTTACTTAAGGTTCTCGTTGGCGTCAAATAAAAATACAAAGAAAAAAAAATATTAAAGGATGAAAAAAAGTTAAAATTTCATTTTTTATCTAATGCAAATATTCACTTTTAATACAGAAAATCTTAAAAAATAATTAATTTAAATATTATAATTATTATTTTTAAATATTATGCTTATCATACTTTATTATTTTTAATTGATAAATTTAAATTTAAAATGTTTACCAATATCAATTTAAAAAGGATTTTGATGAAAATGACAGTTGATATATAAAAGTGTTAAAAGTTTTGTTGCAATAAGTTGAAGGTATTTTTCGCGAACGTTCTCACGCATTAGCACATAAAAGAGCTAATTGTCGAGTAAATCCGCCGAAATGATTTAATTCTAGCAACTTTTCGTGCTACTCCCCCGCTGTTTTGGCAAATTTTTGTTCCACTTGCTTGCCTATTTGAAACTTTGCGTGAGTTCGCTTCGCCGCCGGATTTTATTAGAAGTTTTTGTGCAGAAAACGGCCGCGAATTGACTTTCTCTGCGCGCGCGGCCGATAACTGTTTTTTTGTCAAACGTCCTTTCATGACCCAAACACCTATTGTTTTCGGCGGAGATTTTTTTAGCTTCATTGCTCAAATTGTTTGGCTCGGACGCTTTATTGAGAGAAAACTTAAAATATTGAATTAAGAACAAGAAGCTTGAAAAACAGTTCCCAAAATACAATTAAAGACAGGAAAACAAAATGCTCTAAAAGCCAGCCCTTTTGAAATTTTATTTTCTGTATAATATTAATTCCTATAAATCCTATACCAGATTCCACTTTTAAATTTTTTTTATAAACGAAATTTATGCATTCTTTTGAAATTATTTTAAAACAATTTAAAATACAGCAAAATTATGCTCAAATTATTATATAAATTTATTAAACTAATAAATCAAAATCAATTTATGAAAGATAAAGAAAATAATAATAAAAATTATTGAATTATTATTAAAATTATTATTTTATAATTTCATTATTTTCTCTTTAATATTACATAGATTAAAAAATATCCCCCAAACAAAAAATTATGTGCAAAGAAAAGAAGTATACAAATTTTTTTAATTATTTATTTCAATTAAAATTTTTTAATTTTATTCGTTTACTTTTTAAGTTGTGATGATGATTTTGTTCTCCATAATATTATTTCTGTGTAGTGTGTACATTATAATGTCATCGCTCTCTCTCTAATTCTAATACAATGCAATCAAAATAAAATCCATCCTTGCACGATTTCTGCTCACGTTTCCGTCATGCCTTGGCGCAATCGAGGCAAACAAAAGTTGAATCGGCCGCCAGAGCTATTGGCCTGCGGAATAATATGTTGTATTTTCTTGCCATTTCCATGCTTTTTCGGTTTTGTCGAAATGGGTCGGTGGTTCACGGTCGAGAGTTTTGAGCGCCAATTAATCCAATTGTTCTCCGCCAGTAATTAAGTGTGCCTGCCTTTTTGCTCATTTGCCGCGCCAACCCACTAAATAAACGGTGATGAAATCATCCTGCGTTAATATCTTATCTTGATTATTTTAATCCGCCTCTGTGCGAATCGTGCAAGTCCGCCCAGAGGAAGAATTAAATTGTGTGACTTCAATTTGTTTGGAATTAAAATAAAAATAGGAGATGAATTCAAATTGTGGTTTTGTTGTTAATTGGAGTGACGCGCGGTTTTGCAGAGAGATTCAAGTGAGAGGAAAGTTATTAGTAATTGCGGCAAATTAAGTTCAAATAACTTTACCAGGCTCATTAAGGTTGATGTAATTTTTAATTGTTTTTATTAATGAAGAGAAAAAAATTGTAATTCGCTGAAAAAAAATAAAAATAATTAAATTGTGTTGCTTGAAATTAAGGATTTTTAAGCAATTAAAGCCTTAATTTTCCCCAAAAAAATTAACTTAATTTACCAAAAGTGCAATCTTCTCTGAGGCTATAATATTGATCCACCAGCTTTGTTTACTTTTTCCATAACACTACTTGAAACAAGGCTGTGCCGCTCAGTTTATTGTTGCGGCCTTTTGCAGACAACGCCCTTGGCGTGCATACTTTTCTGCAATCCTTTTTCCTTCCTTGACAGTTGTAATTTGAATTAATTTTCTATCCAAGAACAATTATTTTGAAATTTACAACTCCTAAAATTAATTCATTATAAATGACTTACCAAGAAAATTTCATTGTTGAAAAATTTGTTTGTTTTACAAAAAAACTCTAAATTTAAATTGTATTTTAAGATGGATAGGAATGATAGCAATTAATTAAATTTATCTTACAATTGAAATTCAAGACTTAATTCTATGATTTAAATTGTTTAGAGTTGAAATTAATTTTAATTGATGTGATTGAATAATTTTTTATTTTAGCTAATAAATTGTAAAGAATTAATCAATATAAATGTAAGCAAGATTATTGGTTTCAATTTTCATTTAAAACTTTTTCCTTGATAACAGTTTGGAATTTTTGAAACTTTTATTTATTTATCGTGTTTCTCATTTCAAGCAGATTTTGTTGTTGAAAAATAAACTTAAGTTTTTTAAGTTAAATTAAATAAAAAAGACATGTAGCTTTTTATCCTTTTCTTACTGAATTGTTCAAAGAAAATCAATCAAATCTCCGTTTTCCTTTTCTTTATCAACGCAGAAAGATCGCTATTTCACTGAATTTCCACAAAAGGGCATAGAATTTACAGCAAACCTGTCTGTAACGGAACGTTTTTATGAAAAGATGGGCGCAATGGGGCGCGAAACAATTCCGTTTTTTTCTGCAAGTGTTTCATTATCAATTAGCGCGGCAGGCCGGCTGCTCACATTTATATATTCTTTACGGTTTCTCGTTTGAGTCGAGCCTTCTTTTGTGCTGACACCATCCGCGCTGAGTGCGCACCGAAAACATCGCGTCTGCAGAAACATGCGCGATCAAAACGCTGAAACTCTCTGGTCCGGTCGGTCGGTCTGTTGGTCTGACAATGAGGGACACCCACGGTCCGAATGAATAAGAAACTCGGGGCCGCTCTCATCATGAATCAAAAGCTGCACTACTTGCTCCCGACAGGTAAACAACCGCCGCTCTTTCGATTAATTGGACACGCCAGTCAATTCGTTCCCAGCCGCACTTTCGCCTAGATTTGCACACGTGGCCCCTCCATAAAAACCACCTGCGTCTCCCATTGAATTTTAAGCAAATCTTTTTTTATTAAAATACTAAGTGAGTTTAGGTTAAATCAGAGAAAATGGTTCAGAAATGGTTTTTAAATCTAATGTTTGAAAAATGATGCAATAATTTTGTTACTAGATTTTATAATTTTTTATTTAATTAATTACATTAGGTTTTAAAAATTGCACAAATTAATATCAATCATCACAATTATATCATCACGTATTCCTTTTTAATTGAACTTTGGTGAAGAAAATATTATAAATTTAAAACAAATTAGAATTTTTTTAAACTGATAACTTTTATATTATATATTTATTTGTTTTAAATTGCAAATTATTCAGTAAAGACGTTTCTTGTAAGATCACTAACCGTTTTAAATTTCCATCCAAAAGAAATGAGATAATTTGACATTAAACTTAGAGATTTTTTCAACTGAAGCGATGGTTTCTAATTTAAAATACCTGAGGTATAATTATTTATTATATTAAATATCAATTATTAAAAACAGAAATTATGTTCCTCAAATTACCTTTATGCTATTTTTAATCATGTAATTATTTCAAATTTATTGATATGATTTAGAAAATTAACCAGCGTTTATCATTTCCCTTTTGGCTTTGTCAATATTTTACTCTTTATCTTCTATAAACAAAATTTCACTAGTCACTAACTTTACATTTCATTGCAATGTATTTGAAATATGTTAAGATTCATCAATTGTTTTCACTGAGATGGTTAATTTTGATTAAATTGAAGCAAATAACTACAAAGTTCATTTCGTCAATGATTCACTAGGAAATAAATTAATTTAATTTGAAAATAACAACAAAATTATAAATTTTAAATTGAATTCAATGTTCCTTTCAAATTAAAAAATGATTTATTTCTTACAAGTAATAAACATAAATGGGGAAAATAAAATAAATTAATATTAATTCGTCATCTTGAAATGTAAGAAGTTATTATTATTATTTTTATATTGGTCTAAGACGATTTATCTCTTGGTCTCTCCAATTGAATGCAGAAAAAATCAATCCATTTTATGAATATCTCGAACATCTATTAAAATATCATTTTCAAAAATTAGCATAAAGTCCGAAGTTGGAAATGAACTCGGTTGTGCCTGGGCAAAATATCTGGAAAGGGAGGTGGCTGGCTGGCTGGAAACCCAGTTTTCCCGTCTCGGAACGAACGCGTGTGTGCCACTTTGCGCTGCTTTCGCTTTCCGCCCTCGCTGCCGGGGAGGGTGCGATTTTATCGATTGGCGGCGGGCGCATGGGAGGAGTGCGCAACTGGAACCCCCGTGCCCATCTGCCCCGTCTGACTCACGCCAGTCGAATTATTTTGCCATTCCAAGACACTCACACACGAGGAGATGAACTCGATCCGCGTGGAAATCATTGCTGCCTGCAGAGGGGCGAAACCGCTTTTAAGAATTAACTCGCTCATCTCTTCTTATGCACGTGAGAAACCACAACAATTTTATAACTCCAACGAGAAAGATAGATAGGGGCAGTTTTCAACTCTCGTGTTTTTATTATTATTATTTTTTTTAACTGCTCGTTTTATTTCAAAACGAAAAGGCTGGATAGGAAAATTTGCATTAATTTCCATTTTTTAGAAATTTTTTTTATCACATTGTTGTGCAATTTTTCCTTTATAAAGATGATGTAGGTCAAGCCTTTCTGTAGTGGAGAGATGCTTGCCCTATTTATGAAGATCTGCAAGCTCTGCCAAGTAAAGTTGGTCACTAACTTTTCATGAATTTATTTTTTATAATCACTCATTAAACTTTAAAAGTGGTTTGCTTGCTTAATAAATCCTAAATTGAGTAAAATTTTATGAAGTAAAATAAAATGTATTATTTAAATTCCGAATAATCAATGATCATTATGAAATTTTCATTCCTACCGCAAAATTTTGTTTGTAAAAGATTACATTTTTAAACTTCGGAAAATTTGATGGATTTTATTATTTTAGTTAATTGAGCAGGAAAAACCTAAATTTGCTAATCATGCCCAGATCATGCCAATTTAAAATGATCAAATAAGAAGCTAAAAAAAAATGAATTATTAACTTTTGCGTGTTTAGATTTTTAGTCCTTTAAATAATTTGGTTTGCTTTACCTGGAGGCTGGAATTATTTCTATTTCAGAGGCGTCTCAGTAAATGCACCAAAAAAATTCATTTAATTATTGTTAACAAGCTGTGAATTCATAAAAAACCACTTATAAAAAATACAAAAAAAACCCCTAATTTTAATAAAACTTCTGTCGCCAAGGGTTCTCCTGAGTCAGTAGAGAGAGAAATTTTGCCATACTTTCATAAATTTTTCTTTTTAAATTTAACATTAAAATCACGAAGCACACACACACACAAACTAATAATTAATTGAAATAAAAAATAAGCAAAAATAACCTAATACAACTTGCATCAAGAAAGTATAAATGAAATATCGTAACAATTTTCCCAATGATATAACTTTAACAGAATCAATTTTAAACTTGTATGAAATAAAGTTTTTCCACTGGATGTATTGATTTCCAAAGGGCATAATTGATACCGTTGGTTTTTCGAACCGCAGCTTCCATAAATCCATACGTGTCATTGATTTTTGTTTAAACAACCGGATACGATTGTAAAAGGGGAGAGACCCTGGCAGGAAGCTGCGCACACTTCCAATTTGAACCAGGTTAACGACCCGCGCTTTAATTTTCAGAGCGAGAAGATTTAATTATTATTTTGACGCGAAAATTTTGTCTGCTTCACAGGGAATGGCGTCCAGGGCTGGTGCCGGAAGTAGAGATGCTGCAGCAGTTTTCGCCCCCGGCGGCCGTCTTCATGGTGTCGCCGCCGCCGCAGTTCGCCGGGGGCGGCAACTCGCCCCCAAAGCACTTCATCTGGCCCGAGGTGCAGCGCCAGGCCAAACCAGCCAAAACCAACCCGTTCGCCTTCCTCAGGGCAAACAACAACGTCCTAGGTGAGAAAAAAGCTAGAAAAAGTAATAAAGATTAACGGAGGAATTTCGGGTCGGAAGGAATAAAAAAGAATCAGCGTCCTTGCTATTGCTCAATGTATAAAAGCGTCGGTCTTATCTGTGTTGTCATTGACATTGTCACGGCGTTGTGCAACACAAATTCAATTAAAGAAAAACAGGAAAAGGGACATTCCAAAGAAGCTCAAATAAAGCACCTAATATACTTTTTACGCGTATGATAAATTTTAAAAGTAATAATTTATGAGCCATAGAAAGAAAGGAAATACAAAAACTCGGATTCTTCTCCATTAGACTGGTGTAATTTTTTTATTTTAAATATTCTTTCCAATGTCATTCTTATATTGTGTGAAGCTTTGCAAATTGTGTCATTCTGATTGAAAATATGTGAGGGTAAAAACGACTTTTATGTAATTTTTAACATTTTAATTAAATTTTTGAGCAATTTTGAATATTTCTTTTCCAATGTCTTGTCCCTTTAAAGAGTTTTTATGATATATTTTACCAGATTTTTTTCAGCTTTTATTTTATTGAAAATAAAATAATTAATTCATTAAAAAATATTTAACAATTTAATAAATGTTATTTTTATTAAAATTTCACTGCTGAAACAAATCTTTTTTCTATTAGAAACTATGAAAGTTTACGCGGCTTTTTGAACAATTTTTTGTAAATTTTTACTAAAACATCGCTAATTTTATTATTAAACCACAAAATGTTTTGGAAAAATGGCTTCTTGTTAAATATATCTCTTTGAAAATTTAAAAAATGATTTTTGATTAAAATTTAAGACTAAATCGCATTGGAGACTCTGTTTCACCAGTTTGCAACGGTTTTTAATCATCAAATATTATAACATTTTTAATACTAAAAATGGTGTGATCAATTTTATTAAAAATTGCACAATTTGTATAAAATATATTGAGGAAAAATTATCTTTTGTTCATTTCAAATGAGTAATTTTGACTCCCGATTACAACTATGTGCCACAAGCAAACAATGCCCTGATTTTCTTTTATAGAATATAAAATTAAATTTAAAATAAAAGAGAACAGTAAAAAATGCCTGAATACCTTTTTTTAGAAACAAACCAAGAAATTTAAATTTGCAACGAACCTTGAAAATCATTAAATTTTAGAAGCTTTTTCATAATTTTATAGGCATTTAATTTAAAATACTTAAATTTGTTTAAATTTGAATTTGCAGCGAATAACAACAAGCGGAAGAGCGCCGTGGAGATGCTGCAGGAGTCGAAGGCGTACTACGTCAAGTCGGAGCACGTGCTGGACAAGAAGCAGGTTTTGCGCCACAGCGACCACCTGCGCGTGCAGGCGTCGCCGGTGTTGGCGGCGCGGTCGAACAAGCACCACCGGACGGCGTCCCTGGACAAGGTGGCTTTGCTGCAGGAGAACACGCCGCCCCCGCCGCGCGTCCCGGCCCGCTCGTGTTCGCAGTCGCCGCCCCCGCTGCCCCCCAAGTCGCCGCGCATCGCCCCCGGCAGGCCCCGCGCCAAGACCCTTGTGCTGCCCCCCGTGGCCCGCAACAGACAGGCCAACTGCGACGTCCAGATGCGCCTCCGCCAGCTGCTGTCCCACCCCGACCACACCGTCAACGGCTACCGACGCCTCAGCGACGACGACGCCTCCAGAATCGGCCACGACGACCACGTCTGGCTCAACGAAGAAGATTCGAACGCATTCGAGTCCAGAACGGTAAAATTGCAATTTTTTTAAGCCAAAATGAAAATTCTTCAAACTTATGCCAAAATATTAAAAAATTTGATGCTTTTTTACCTACAATTCCTTTCGACACTTAAATTTGCAACAAAAATCAAACCTTCTTAAAAAGTCATTCAAATGCATAATTATTTAAATTTTCGATTTTAATTATCTTGAATGAAATGTTAAAACTAAAAATTAAGTCTAGATGAAAATTGTGAAAGTGCCAATTTTTTTTTACCACACACCAAAAATTAATTTTCTGGCTCTTACTTTTTTTGGTAAATTATTTAAAGTCTCTAACTCGAGTTTTAAATAGCACAAATTGATCGCACTATTTTTCTCAATAATTTATCACTCTTTGCTTCAATTAAGGAAGCATTTAAAAAATTAAATTAATCGTAGGAGGAATTAAACTTTAAAATTTGAAATCAAATTGACATTATTGTTCCGAGGCAAGGACACATTGATTGTTGGCAAACAAGTTGACGGCAGAGGTATAAATTGAAACAGTTGTTGCCCTTTACGCATTGACCTCTGCAAAAAGGTCAATTGCAGCAGCAATTGTAATTGATCTTTCAACTGGTATTTTGCAGGTGGCCGGCGAGAAGATTTACGTGAGCAGCCGGCACTCGACGCCGTCGGCGGCCTCGCGCTCGCTGCTGAGTCCGGTGACCCACAAGTCCCTGCCCGACCTCAGCCCCAACAAGAACGGCGAGGACGCGGCCAGCGACACTTCCAGCAGCAATCGCTGCTACTACCCCAGCAGCCGCGCCACCTCCGACTACGTCAGCCGCTCGCCCAGCAGCTGCAAGTGCTGCAACTCAAGGTATAGGAAAAATAAAACTAAAACAGTTGAAAAAAAGCTGAGTTATTTACAAATTCTTTCTCAAGATTGGGATCCATTGCGGAGCTTTCATTTTATTCGAGTTGAGAAGTTCAAAGTAATGAATTAAGAAAAAAAATGCGAATTTAAAATTAAAGGTGACTGTTATAATCGTCTATTTTAATTATTTTGCGCTCATATTTTTAGTTAAATTTGAACAACTAACTCAATCTCCTCATATTTTTGTTAATTAATTAAAATTTTGGCAAATTTTGCAACTCCATCGGAACTTTCAAAGCTCAATAACAATAACTTTAGAAATTTGCCTCCTGGCAATTATGCTAAAAAAATTAAAATTATAGTCCTAATTTTTAATTATTTTGGCGCAGACATATTGTGTTTTATTTACACACAAAACTAAATTTCCTCATTTTTTGCCTCATTAATTAAAATTATGGCAACCGTAGCATCTCATTTTGGCGCTTACAATGCTCAGTGACAATAAATTCTAAAAATAGTCCCCTGGCGATTTTGCTCAAAATGAATTATATTTATCTATTTTAATTATTTTGCGCTCATATTTTTAGTTAAATTTGAACAACTAACTCAATCTCCTCACATTCTTGTTAATTAATTAAAATTTTGGCAAATTTTGCATCTCCATCGGAACTTTCAAAGCTCAATGACGATAACTTCAGAAATTCGCCTCCAGGCGATTATGCTAAAAATTAAAATTATGGTCCTAATTTTTAATTATTTTGGCACCGACATATTATGTTTTATTTACACGGAAAACAAAATGGCCTCATTTTTTGTCTCATTAACTGAAGTTATGGCAACCGTAGCATCTCATTTTGGCGCTTTTAAAGCTCATTGAAAATAACTTCAGAAAATTGCCTCCTGGCGATTTTGCTCAGAATCTTCCAAAAAGTTTAATCCTTAACTTTTCAATAATGTGTCTTTTTTTGTTAATTAACTTGCAAAATCTCATTTTTATTTTTTAATTATTAAATCGCCATTAAATCCATTATAATCTGTGTAGATTGAGGTCTCCTTCGGAAATTGGATCGGCTCCGGTTGCTTCGGACGACGACGAAAAAGATGAACTTTTGTCACCGAACACAGACGACTCGTCGCGCCGACGGCCAGTTTTGCGTTCCAAGTCTGACATCAGCTACCGCTACTCCAAGTCGGCCGCCTTCCTGGCCCCGGTGCCGCGCACCGAACAGGAAGAGCAGCCGATCAAGACGACGGACGAGGTGCAGCAGTTCTTCGAGAACCTGGGCCTGGAGGAGGACGTGTTCAAAACGCTGACCAGGCGCGGCTCGCACGACTCGCCCGTCTTTTTTGGCTCGGTCAGCTCGGTCGAGTCCTACCCGGGGGTGCAGTACGTCAACAACGTCCCGGAGGCGGGCGAGGAGGCAGCACTCGGCCCCGGAGGCAGCAAGATGGGCGAACAGCCCTCCATTGTTGAGAGGAACGCGCGCATCATCAAGTGGCTGTGTAACTGTCGCAAGGCCCAATCCACCTTCAGCTGACAGCCTTAAATTAGGAGGTAAATTCAATTTGAAAAAAAAAAAATCAAAATCTTTAGGTAGACTAATTTTAATTCTGACGTTTTTACCAAAAAGTAAGGTTCCATTAATGCTTATTGAATTTTTAAAATTATTAATTCTCATTCCAATTATGCAAATTTCAAGAAAGTCCTAGAAAAAAAGTTCTATAACTTTGGTCAAATTTTGTGAAAATTTCAATCTGTTTCAAATTTAAAGAAAGCTATTATTTAAATAAAGCACTGATTCTAAATTTCTTATTTGCTCTTACTTAATAAAACTTTCATTCTTAAGGATAAAACTATTTTGTTTATTTGAGGAAAAAAATTGCCAATTTCTTTTAAAAACCATCATAAATAATTGAAAAATGAACAAAATAGCATTTTAGTTGCAGTGTCTTATTGATTGAATCAGAAAACAATTACTGCCCAGGTCCATCATAGATACATTCAAAAATAAAATTATCAGTTATTTTAAGAATTTCACTTTTTTTTTGTTAACAGAATTTGAAAGCTTCCTGGGAGTTGTTGAGTTGCTTCATGTGTGATCTCAAGCGGGAGCAGGAAGCTCAGAAAATCCACCACCACATTTTTTGCTCAGACACACTGCCATCATGCTATTTTAAACGACTTGAAAAAGCAGAGTGTGTCGCATCGGAGGAGAATAAGTAAATCAAGGAGGAGGAAAACGAGCAGCACCAACCCTGACCTCTAGTCACATCAGAAAATGAATGCTGTAGTTAGAACTCTCAAAAGAATTGTGTGATAATTCGTGATGAGGAGATATAATGAAAAAAAATTATATACATTTCCGCCGCTCTCACAGTAGAACGGAAACCTAGTAGCTGCATCGGTCTATCAATTTTGTTTTGCGGAAAAAACCTAATCTTGATTGTTTTAGTTCCTCAGTAATGTCCTTTTTGTAGGTAATTATAATCTCAACGGTGTTAAATGAACATATAGTAAATATATATGATTCCAACCACATTCCTTGAAATGAAAAAATAACTTGACAGGTTGCTTAAGAACAGTTTCGAGACACACTCAAAAAATGGAATTTTAAAATCGCAGTGTATTAAACAATTAAAAAAATGCATTTTACCGTTTTTAAAAGAAGTACTTAGGCTGCGTACTTTTGTGTAGAAGTTGCAGGTTAGCGCCTGTTAGTGACACAAGGAGTTGTACTTGGAAAGTTGGCAGGTGCATGTTAATTATGTCGCTGGAGGAGTTTGGCCAAAAGTGATCCGCCCTCTGCGCTCAACGCGTTTTTAGCCGAGAAAATCTTAAACATTTTAAACTGCTAAGCAAACAACACACCCCAACAAGTCAATGTTTTATTGTAGCTTGGATTAAATTAGTTATCTTTGATATTACAATTATTGATTAAGGTGCGCGGAATGTAGTTTTGGCACTCAAGTATAATAGAAGTAAAAACCTATTAGAAAGTGGCGCTTTTCTGCAGATTCCTCCTCGCCTGCGAAAATATGTTCGATTCTGATTAAATATCGACTTCCTTTCGTCAGCAGAAATAATTAAAAAAAAATATGTTGTAATCACAATCTCAATTTGCTCCATTCGGACCAAAACTCAATGTTCTCATATACATATTGCAATCCATACACATACATTGTTAATTAATTTGTGCTGTTTTTTTTTGTAAAAATTTAATTTTTGTATAACTGGAACACTTTAACTTGGGCTGCTCTATGTGTTAATTAAAAATGTATTCGCCCAGCATTATTTTTGTTGTATACCATTATTGCGCACTTGGTGAATAAATTTTAGTGTCGCCACCCGGCCTTGACCGAAAACTAAATTGTTTCATTTTTATAAACAAGAATTTCAAAGCTCATTAAGTTATTTTAAAATAAATTACTGTGCAAAATCTCACTTTTATCTCATATAATAGCTACTTTGAAAAATAGAATTTTTTTGTAAATAAAGTGCTTTTCCAAAAATATAAAATTTATGGCAATTTCGGCATTATTTTCTTTAAAAGGTCTTGCGCCAAAAATAAAACACATTTCTCACTGTTCAGCGGAAGAGTATATATTTTACAGCGTTATAAGAAAGCATGTCATTACATGTCGCCATGGTTTGTTTGATCAAAAAGCGGGCGGAACAACAGGAAATTTGGTGGTGCCACGGTCGGGGGTGTTCCGAGGGTCGTCATGGCGACGGGGTGGCCCAAAACACTCGGCGCACTCGCTATCAGCAAAACAACACTGGCCATCTCGCACCAGCAGCTAGTGCGATTGTTGCCGCCCGACAACAATATGTGAGTGTCGGTGCGCATTGTTGTCGCGATTTGATTGCGAAAATGTCGTCCGGCGAGGTGCAGAGTCTCGAGCTGGACGATTTCATCACCAAGAAGTATGAAATCAAAAAGCGCATCGGCAAAGGGGTGAGTTAGTTATTTCTTAGCCCAAGTTTCTAGGTTTTCAGGAATTTTTGTGTGAAAATAACAAACGATTTTTATTTGAAAGGCGTACGGAATTGTGTGGAAGGCGGTCGATAGAAAGAGCAAAAAAATTGTGGCGCTGAAGAAAATCTTTGACGCCTTCACGAATCAAACGGACGCCCAGCGAACCTATAGGGAAATCACGTTCCTCAAAGCGTTCTCCGGCCACCCGAATATCATTCAGCTTCTCGGAATTCACTCTGCTGCCAATTTTAAGGACATTTACCTCGTTTTTGAATACATGGGTAAACAATTTTCTGTAAATATGATTAAAATAACAAAACACTTAAATTAGACACGGATTTGCACCGAGTGATTCTGAGCAAGGACATTTTGAAAGACGTGCACAAGCGGTACATCATGTACCAGCTTCTGAAAGCCACCCTTTACTTGCACTCTGGGAATGTGATTCACCGTGATCAAAAGGTATGATAAATAAATACAAATTTTCCTATATACAGTATGTGCACGATAAAAAGAAAATTACAGAATGTAATCTCTGTGGAAGACTGATTTAATTTTTATATAGAATTAGAGAATTTGGTGCAAAAAAATTTGAAAAAAAGTTCATTTGAGATGAGAAAAATCGGTTTATTTAATTATTTTCTGCAGTGCAGAGGTTTACTAAAAATTTATAAAAATGTTTTGTTTTTGGTTTAAAAAATAGAAGATTGTTTATATGAGAGGCCAACAAAATTTATGAATTTTTTAAATGATATGAATTTTTTAAATGATACGAACTTTTCAGCTTTCACTATTGTTAGTGGAAAGTATTGGTTAAGAAGTGTTTTTGAAACTGTAATGTTGCAAATATTTAGAATTTTATTTTTAAAACAAGAACTCATGCATAAAATTGGAAAAAAATATGATAAATTGTAAAACAAGCTGTAAATTTTAATTTAAAACTTATGCTTATCCGTTAATGTAATTGAAATAAATATTTTTTCAAAATCATAATTATAGATATATTAGATTGATGTAGTAAATAGAAAGAAAAAATTTACAAAGTGGATTATTTGTTTTTTGCGCCGAATCTGCAGCCGTCAAACATCTTGATAGACACGAACTGCACTTGCAAAGTGGCTGACTTTGGCCTCGCACGCTCGCTGAGCCAACTTTCCGACACGCCAGTCGGCAACGGTGAACTTACCGACTACGTGGCGACCAGGTGGTACAGGGCGCCGGAGATTCTCGTCGGCTCCACGTGGTGAGTATCTAGTGCTGGGAAATCGTGCTCGAAATAGAGGCGAAATTTCCGTGGGATCAAAGACACCTGTTCTCCCAACTGGGCAAATAATAGTATTTCCTCACGTTTCGCAATATATACGAAAAAATTTCCAGCTACACGAAGGGCATCGACATGTGGAGTCTGGGCTGCATTTTGGCCGAAATGCTTTTGGAAAAGCCGATTTTCCCGGGGCCCAGCAGCATCCAGCAGCTCCAGCTCATTTCCCAGACTTTGCCAGCGCCCACTCGAGAAGGTCTGACTTTTTTCTATTTTGAAATGTATATTTTTTATAAATAAAAATTTGCGTGGATAAACCAGATATGAAGATATTTGCGGGCACATACGGTAGCAAACTGTTTGCTCAAAAGCCTCCAGGCAGGCACACGAGTGTAGAGGAGATTTTGAAGGAGGCGCCGGCGGACGCGGTTGACCTGGTCAAAAAGTTGCTGGTGCTGAATCCGCTCAAGAGACTGACCGCCGCAGAGGCACTCAAACACGACTACGTCGCAAAGTTAGTTTTTCAAAATTATCAATTACAAAGAAATCGTTCATTATTAGAAGCAAATTACAAAAAAATAAATCCAATTTTTTACTTTGATCCATCTATAGGTTTGCAATCAGGTCAACTTACCATTTCAAATCGTAAGAAGAGAAATTAATGGCATTTTCAGTACAATATGCAACCCGCAAAACCAAATCTTCAAATCTGGAATGATTTTTTTAAAATTTAATTTCAATCGATATGACCTGCAATATTTATAATAAAGTGAATATTCTCAAGTTTTTTTTTATGCCAAGTGGCGTGTTTAAGGAAAACTTTCTGCGTGTTTCACATAAAATTTGGAATAACCACGTTTTGAAAGAACAATTAACTTTTTAGGTTCCACGCGATCGATTCGGAGCCGGTGCGGTGCAGTCCCGTGACGCCGCCGCTGGACGATAACATCATGCTGTCCGTGGACGAGTACCGCAGCAAGTTGTACGAGTTGGCCAACTTTGGTGGGGCGGCGAGACCGGCGGCCGTGCAGCCGAGGGCGCGCCGCCACCACACACCGCAGCCCAAGCCCCAAAACAGCGCCTTCAGGGCCGTCGCCGTCGCCGCCCAAGTGAAACCCGAAAAAGCGCCGCGAGTGCGCCCCGCCACCCAACCACCCCTCGTTCAAGGTGCAAAAATTACCATTATTATAAAATAATTTCATTTATATTTTTTAATTTATTTTGGAAAGTGTTTTTAAGTAAAATAAACGTTTCACTCTAAAAATAAATAAATAAAACTTTTTTTTATGATTATTTATATTATCAATTTCCTCTTTAAATTTAGTATTTTTTATATTAAATTCTGTTTTTTAGGCTTATTTGAAATTACTTTATTTCAGTAGAGCGGCGGATGTCGCTGCAGAAAAAAGACCCAAACGTGCAGCTGAATGAAAAAGCGGTGACCAAGAATAAGTTACACGAGAGGAAATCGTCGTTGCCGATTCTGAACGGCGCCTCCGCCGCCGCCCCCGGCCTCACCAAGTGCCTCCCTGCCTCCAAGACCACGTCGGCGATCGCCAACCCTGCAGCGCCCCTCCAAGAAAAACCAAAATTGGTAAAATATTTTAACATTTTTGTTCAGTCCTAAAATTGCAATCATGGCAAGAAGAAATATAAATGAAAATTCATATTGTAAAATTTGCAGCTGACATGTCGTATGGGTTATATTTAAAACGGAGAAAGGTAATTCTCAATGTTGGAATGAATTCAAAATTCTCAAGCATGGAGAAAAGTACCTATTTATTTATTTTTTATTTCATTATTATTATTTTAGTGTTAATTGCTTTAATTTTTATAGAATTTTAGGATTTATGTGTTTCCTTTTAATTTTTGTTTAGATTTTCTACTTTTCCAAATTCCAAATTCCTCCTTTTTTAAATAAAATTATTTTTGCTTATTTGGAAATTTTTCTTTTGTAATTCGTGGCATTTAGATTGTTGTGCACATAATTTTGTGAGTCAGAAAATGAAGAATAACAAGTTTAAATTTATTGCAATATAATAATTGTATTCCTGTTTCCAGCGCAGATCAAGTGTCCACTATGATTTCAAGCAGACCATGGCGCGACGAAGCTGGTATTAAGATCGCTGCATTTCCATCTCAAGATTTAAGACACTCATACAGTGAGACGCGTAATTATGTTCCAACCGGAGTGATTTTAATCCAATGCGAAAACATTTGGCGGCGAATAATTATAAAATCTGCAAAAATGTGAATAAAAGACAAAATGTAAATTTAAATTCAGAGAATGCCATCTCGCATTAATTTCAACATGAACCTAATCAGAACTCTGGATAACAAACTTAAAAATAAAAAATAAATTTGAACCGGGGTCTATGAACCTTATTTTCTGAGAGAGAAAATAAGATTGCTCAGAAAATGAATAAAAGGTACACATAAAGATTTGCTTTGGCTGAATTAAAAAGGAAAAACCGACTGCCACCTACTTTTCTGTCGCTTATCAGATTCTGGCGCACATGTGAGGGAGAAAATAGCATTTGTATCGGCGAAGATTTTATCTTTGGAATCGCGGCCGGAGCTTTTATGAGCAGCAGAGTCGCAAGGCTTGATAAGTGTTGTGTGCCTCGTTCGACTCCAATCGCACGCGAAGTTGTTTTTTTCCGCGTTTTGTTTTTAACTTCCCTGACCGCGCGCGCGACGTAATGTTCTATTCACCCTTAATTGCTTGGTTTAATCGGGGTGTGCGTAAAATTAGACGTGTGCCCTGTGCCCTTAATAACAGAGGGAAAAATTTGGCCTGATTTGTAAAAAAAAATACATTTTTGCACCTATTAATCTTTTAGTGAAGTGTTCTCAAAAATTAACTTTAGCACAAAACGGAGTTTTGCACGTATTAATACTTAGCATCTTTTTTTTAAACGTTCATTAGATTTAAAAATTAAATAATATTGTGGTAGACTTTCCATTCGAGGGTTAATTTATTGTCATTTGAATTGAAAATCGGCTTTTCCTCGATTAGTTTTGTGAGTTGTTTATTGTTAAAACAATATCCTGCTCTACAAGTTTTGTCTGTATTGTTAAAAAAAACTCACAAAACCCATTGAGGAAAAGCCGAATTTAATTTAAATTTATTGTAAATAATACTTGTTGCGGCCAAAGATTTTTTAAAAGTGAAAAAAATATAGGGCTTAAATGTTAGCTAAGTTTTTATTAATGTAGCATTTTAGTTAATGACAACACATCGAGTCGCTGAATTTTTAAATTTAATTTTCCGGCTAACAAAATATTAATTGAATTTTATCTTCTTTACTTCTTTGCCTAATGCTGTGCCAGAGAGCACTGTATAGTGTAGTAGAGCCGAAATTGTCTTGTGGCTTGAAGTGTGCGAATCTGCCAGTCGCAGCGATCAACGCACCTCCTATGATTTCCTGAAGCCTTGTGAACTTGCCGGCCAGAAGTAGAGGTTTTCCAAACCCTGCCCCAGCAGCCGGGTGAGGAACCAAGGGCATGAAGGGCATAATAATTGTGTCACAAGTCGCTCTACTGCACTTCATACAATATTACACAATGATTCATTTTCTCTTTTCTCATCTCCCTTTTATCATTCTCTTTTCCGCCAGTACCAACAGACGCGCCAAGCGTTGCATTCACAAAGTTAAATTAGGTAGAGTTGCATTATTTTTTTGTCCCCATAAAATAAGTCTAAAAACAATAAAAGCAACTGAAACAAACTATCAATCTTTTCATAAAAAAAATGGATTTATCGAAATTTTGATGGAGTAAAATAATTTTTTTTATGCATATAAATTCCAGCGAGAGCAACGGCTTATCAATAAATAAATAAAAATTATACATAATATGTATAATATTATTAGTAAAATACCAAGACAGCAACCCACCACCTCAGAGCAGCGGTGTACGGCAGCGTTGAGTATGCATTCTATTATTTTATGCCGCGACCGGTAGAGGCACTAGCCACAGACAGCTCGAGCGAACCTCGAGGATCGAACGCAGCCGCAGACGCGCGTAGACTTTTGTGAGGAGCAGGAGCACCAGAGATTTGGTCCAGCCTGCATTCTGCGAGTGTGTTGGCGGTCAAATTAGAGTGGTTTTAGGGGTTGCTTGGTTGCGCCTAATTTGTTCCCTCATCGTCTCTGAGGTAAGTTAATTGACGTTATTGTATTGCAGGTGCCCTACGTGTTATTAAATACCATCAACCACACTTTTTTGCAATTCAGGGCGTGTATACCAACGCGTATACCTCGCTTCGAACAGATTTATTTTTCCAGTATATTGATGGGAAATGAAAATTCTTTTTACTGGAGAGTAGCTAAATTTTCCATTGTTCAAGTGCTGCTGATTGAAATTTTCTATTCACGCTGCATAATCGGTATTTGGCCGATTATCAGTTAAAAGCCGCCTGACTTTGGCGGGCCTAAAGCCTAAACTGATCACTCCACAGTCAAAACATGCCGCGGCATGGAGTTCGGCACCAGGTCATTTTCGAGTGCTGGGAAATCAAAATTCTTTTTACTGGAATAGTAAATTTTTTCACTGCCGAAAAACATTGTTCAAGTGCTGCGGATTGAAATTTTCTATTCACGCTGCCTCTAATCGGTATTTGGCCGATTATCAGTTAAAAGCCGCCTGACTTTGGCGGACCTGAACTGATCACCCCTTCATATTTTTTCATTTATATTTTGTTGTTGAATACATTTATTTCTTCGTCAAAGCAATTTACTTCCTTTCCAGCATCAGGAACGTTTTAAACTGTTTTTTAGCATTTTATATTTCTAAATTTTTGACCACAGTAAATGGTGCTTAAATAAGAATTTAGAATGTTTTTTGTACCGAGTAATCATGTAAGCCACATTTAAAGCGCGCCATAAATGTAGTGAAAAAGATTGAATTAATAAATGAAAATAAAAAATTATTTAATTAACAGCGACAGCATCTCACTTAACAGCGGTAGTGTTTGGTGGCGTTGCATACATCTGCTCGCAACTTGCAAGAAATGTTTTTATTTTGTCAGGCCAAGAAAAAGTGTCTTATCGGCTTATGCCCTTATTGAGCTTCCAGAAGGCAAAAGCTCTTATTTTTTTAAATGGGTATTATTTTAATTTTTATTTAACTCATCATTCGTCATCAATTGAAAGTTTAATTTAATCAAATCACTTCTCATAAATAAAAAAATTTAGCTTAGCAATTTTTGCCAGATTGATTTTGTTTTCTTTAAAAAATGATTTCAGTTCAAGCTGTATTATTAATTTATATGACTGATAATTTTAATTTTAAACGGAAAAAAAGTTGATTAAACTTTTAATTTGGCTTTTGCTTTAGAATTTTGCACGCGGTTGAAAATATTTAATTTTATTTTGTAGTTAACTACCACGCTAAATTAGTAAATTTCTAGTTTTCTTACTTTCATAATCCAATCAACTTAGAAATAAATTCAGTTAAGCGCACGGCAGCGCCGCTCCATAATCAATTTGATTGCAGACGCTGGCGAGAAAGAAAATTTATAAATTTAATTTTTTTTTTAATTTTTTCTTCCTTATAAAGGGCTAATACTTTTTTCAAGTTTATATGCACTGACACGCTTTGGAAAAGTAAATGACATATTTTCCAGCTTTCCAAAATCTGCAGTCCTTAAAAATTAATATAATTAATTAATAAATTAATTGAGTGTTGTTGAGACATTTTTGTATAATGATTCAGTTTGCTCAAAGATCACGCTGATGTATATGCTTTAGATTTTTTTGTGGCAGCAACTTCAAATGTTGTTTGTGATTGCTCATTTTAGATAGTGTGTGGGTTAACGAAGGCGGCTGTGTCTCTTTAGATGTCAGACATTTTAGCAGACTACCATAGTTGTGATACACCCTTTCTAATCATTTTGCAAGTTTCTAAAAAATAATTTTTTATAATGACTAGGATAGCATCTTGAGGAGAATAAGCGACACGATAATAATTATATCTTTGCGTCTCTATAGTCAATCAAAAAGGAACAAAACGTTTTGCACAGTGCACTATTATTAATGATGGTATTTTAATTGTGTTTCAGGAAGATGAAGAACACGACAATGATGGCAGACGACGACGACCATGTTGAGGCGGGGCCAAGTACTTTGTAAGTTAAAATTTAAATTTGAAACCAATTTCCAATTTGAATAAATAAGTTTGAATCAATGTTTGATTCAAACTGATTTGTCCAATTTTTTTGTTTTTGTTTTTTATTGTCAGAAGAAAAATTGTAGATTTTTTTTTTAAATGCTTTCATAGCTCATGAATTATGACTGTAGCCTGCAGCCGAAACATGTGAGCAGGAATTTTTTTCTTAAACAATAAAACAACTCGCGAAACCCATTGAGGAAAAGCCGATTTTAAATTAAAATCACCAATAAATTAAAAATTAATATTATTTAAATAATAATAATTTCAGGCCAGAATCGGCAAAGTCATGCTCACCGAAAGTGGCCCGAAAATTCGGCACTGAAAACTGCACAGAGGAAAATAACAAGGAAGGATTTGCAACTCAGAGTAGCGGCTTCTCTGCTGAAGTTGCCAAAAATTCTAAGCCTGCAGCTGACCCCATCAGAATTGAATCTTCATCCCGCGCTTCAAAAAAATCATCCTTGTGGCAAGCGCTGATGACCCTACTATTGCTGATCGTGGCTCTCGTCCATTTGATCATCCCGGTTTACCAGGAGGCGGGCATCTACACTGTGCTCATCTACACCATCAGGCTGCTCTGGGCAATTGCGAGAGTGATTTTTCCCAGGTTGGAGGCGCTTTGGAAAAAGTTCCAGAAATATCTCGGCAGCTTGATCGGCAGCTTGGTCCTCTGCTTCTTTGCGGGCCAACAGAGTGGCACAGACGACCTTTGCAGTCAGTATTTATTTTTACTTAATTTCATTTTTAATTTTTTTGTTTCTTTTATTGGAAAAGTAAAAATCGGTAAAAATATTGTTTTTCTAAACAGAGCATTCTATTTTGAAAGAAAGTTTTCTCATTAAATTTTTATAAGTATTATTAAGACTCAAGACTAAGAAATTATTGAATTTTATGGAAAATATATTAAGATTTTATTTCATTTTGTTCTAGCTTTCAAGTTTTATTTTATTTTTCATTTTGAATTTTTACATTTCAAGTGAGATTCCGATCTATGATCTTGGCATAAAAATTTCAAAATTTGAATGGAAATTAATTTTTTTAGACTTCGCTTCAAAAATATTGTGTGTTTGAAATTTTCAATTTAACAATCTTTCTTTTGTTGCAAAAATTTAATGATAAAAATGGTTATTAATAGGCTCGTGTTTTTTAGTCGATCAACTTTTTTTCCACGTCGCTCGGAACGTTACGGAAATGCATTTTCTGCATGAATCAAGTGATTTTATTACGATTGGCACCCTATTTAAAATCGACTAAAACCGACTATTTCTTCAATTTCCGACTAAAGCCACTAAAATAGACTAAAATGACAGACTTTTTAAGCAAAAACTAGGTTTTTCCAGACTTTGAAACAAAATTTCCAAAAAATTTTGCCAAAAAATATTTTGAAAAGCTGAAAATTTATTTATCTAAAAAATTTCATCATACAGATTTTATTTCAAGCGACTCAAAGTAGCATTTAATAAAGCTATTAATAATCTTTAATTACAAAAGAAAAAAAATAAAACATGGGATGGATGAAAATTTCATAATTTTCAACAAAGGAAAAAACACGTTTTTGAGCATTTTTAGAGCATTATAATCATAATTTTACGACAAATTATAAATTTTGTTCACAAATATCAAACAAAACATGCATTTAAATAAATTACCCTGTGAAACTATTTTCAAAATATTTATCTTAACACAATATTTGCAAAAATTCAACGGTTCAGCAATTGTATCCTTTCTATATCATAAAATCACAAAGTTCTGCTTAATTGCTATATAGCTAGGAAATTTAAAAATGATGAAATGGGTGATATTAAAATATTATTTATGATTCCAAAATTGGAGATTTAATAATGCAATCCAAAAAAATCGATTAAATTAATATTTTCATATATTTTATGGCTCTAAAATTCCGATTTAAAAAAATCGACTAAAACCGACTATTTTGGCCAAAACCAGCTAAAAAGGAGCCTAAATTTATGTAAAATCAACTAAAAATATTCGACTTTTTGACCCCTAAAAACTGACTAAAATGCACGAGCCAAGTTATTAAATAACAATCTTTTTTATTTTTTCTCATGGAAAATCAAAGTTTTTTGTCGACAGCAGTTTGTCTGAATTTTCGATTTTTATAGAATCAGTGGTTCGAGTGGTTCTGCGCTGCTGCAAGATTCTGTTTTTCATATCGTCGTGTGTTTTCATCGCTTGGCGGTACTGGACAAACCCAGACATCCTTTGTGTGCAGAACCTGATCACCACCTTCGCTAGACTTTCATACATCTTGCTTCACGATTTGATAGAGTTGCCATTCACCGCAGAACTGAATGAATTTTTGGAGAACAAATTCAAGGAAAACTTTGACATTGTCGCTCAGCATTGGAAAACTTCAGAGCAAGTCAACATTGATGAAGGGATGACGAGGCCCAGCGACGGCATTTTGCCTTCACATCATCCCATTGAAGGACAACCACTCAAACATGAAGCATAATTATGATAATTATTATGACTAGGGCTGAGCGTGTTAGTCACTCCATAATAAACAATAATTGTTGCTACTAAAATTTTGATAACTTTTTCATTATTATATTATTCACACACCTAAAATTTAAAAATGATTTGGATTGTCTTCACTTTATTTGTTTTTATTAATTTGGGAAATTTACGATTTAATATAATATCAAATATATTAGATGCAATTAGATTTCATTATCTTCTGATTTCTTTAATATTTAAATTTTTAAACTGAGAATTTCCTCTTATATCCGTCAATATCCGTCTTGCGACTTGCCGATTTTTTTTTAAAAAAAATAACTGCTTGGCTGGTGAACAAAGCAAAGGCAATAATACCATAATACTGTGTCAACTACATGACACAAATTGTGCAGGAAAAAAAACTCGCATCTAAATACTGCTAGGAATAGGAACATTAGGAACGAGAAAATGTGAGATGGCCTCGATGCTCTCCCCAGTCGTTGAATTATGGAATTGTCATAGGGAAGTAGGGAATCATTATTCAAATATTCTCATTTCAAGACATTCAAAGTTGACCAAAAGTGGAAAGCAAGACACATGGTCACAATATGCCAATTGGCTATTGCCTGCTTGTTTTCGCGCGCTTTCATTAAAAATTGACGACTCCGATCAGCACCACGCCCTTTATTTTAACAAAACAAAATTTCAGAAGAGAAACGACATTTCAATTATTTATTTTATTCTAAGAATTTGCCCTGAATTATTAATTAAATTAATATCCTATCGACGGTCGAAGGTGACCGACCTCCGATATGTCCAGCAACGACTTTTGTCTGCAGCTGTCGGATTTCCCCATCAGATTTGAAGCCGTGAGCCATGTAACAAACGTCTTTTACGATGACTCGAATAAGCAGGTTTGAAGAGTCAAATATTTCCCGAATCTCTGAAAGTTATGTAAAATATTCGACAGGTGTTTGCCGTCAGATCTGGAGGAGTCACCGGCGTGGTTGTCAAAGGACCCACCGAAGAGTTGTCCACCAGTTTTCGAATGGAAGACAAGGGGCCTGTCATTTCCATCAAGTTTTCTCCGGACCAAAAAGTTTTGGCCATTCAGAGATCAAAAACTTCTGTGGTAAATTTATTTAAATTTTAAAGTGAATATGAAAAGCTTAAAGATTATATTTCCAGGAATTTCTGAATTTTTTGAATGGCATCGACTGTCTCGAATATTCCCAAAGTTGCAAGGGCAAAAGCAACACCATCATTGGATTCATTTGGACCAGTCAGAATGAAATAGTTTTTGTCACTGATAACGGAATCGAATTGTTTCAGGTAATTTTTCTATTAATTAAATTGAAAGTTATAAGTTTAATAATTAAAAAGGTGGTTCCGGAGAGACGATCGTTGAAAGCTCTGAAAAATCTTACCATCAGTGTCAACTGGTTCGTCCACTGCCCCCAAAGCAAACTCTTGATGCTCTCGACTGGTGCTTACGGCAACAGCATTCAGCCTCTCCAGTTCAAGAAAGGCAACTTCTTGAAACTCAACAAGTTTGATGGTTTGAATTATTTTACTTTTGCAAGGCAGAATTGTTAAGAAATTCTTTTTAGTCGAAATGCTGGCAGTGATGAAAACGCCTCCCAAGTTGTGTCTTCTCGAGAGAGACGTCACCCTGGCCATGGTCTACGGACAGGCGTGCGTCATTGTTCTGCGACACCAACCTGCCAGGGTGGACAGAGGGCCTGGTGCCGAGGTGCTCATTTACACAATGGAAAAGTAACAAATGGATTGAGAAACAAAATTGTATTTTAATTTGATTTCTTTGTCAGAATGCTCACAGCAAAGAAGAGTCACATTTTGAGGTTGGAGAAAACTGGACGATTTGCTGTGAATGTGGTTGATAATTTGATCCTAGTCCATCACCAAGCCTCAAAAGTATTTGTTTTTCTTAATATTCGAATAAATAATAACCTAATGAACTTCATTCCAGACTTCGATGATTTTTGACGTGTCTCTCTCCGGTGACTCTGATGGCTACATTTCTTACCACCACCCTATTGCAATGCCTCTTCCCATCAAACCTTTTATTTTGAAAATCCCATCGGCCCAGATGTCCAGTGAATTGGCTGAAGTCAACTGCGAGCTTTGTGCGTTCTTTGTAAATTTTACTTTTGATAATAATTTGAGAATTTGACAGATTCGCCAAACTGGGTGGTTTTCCAGCCCGACATAGTGATTGATGCCAAATTGGGCTGTTTGTGGCACGTCGAGCTGTGTCTCTCCAACTTGGCGCTCATGATCTCGGACAAGTGCAGACTTGTCGACTGTTTGGTGCAGAGGAAGGCCGGAAAGTTGGTGCTGCTGAACGTTCTGAGGCGACTGCTTGATCCTGCTGCCGGAAACAATTTAGGGGTGATTGCAGATGTCTTCGATCACCTTAATGACGTCTACCGGAATTTCCTTGAAGTGGAAATGCAAAGTCAAGTCAGTCAAATTTGCAATAAAAATAGAAAGCAAAATACGATTTTTTTTAAAAAAAAAATTGATATAGGAATTAAAACTAATTTTTTATTAAATAATAATTTGCAGATGGCAACTCCAGCTTCATCATCCCCGTTCTCGAAGCCTTCGTCCGGTCCAATAGCCACAACTCCAAAGGCTGCAGTGGTTATTGATCAATCCGACATGTATACAAGTGTGTTTGTCCCCCTTTCTGAAAAAGCTGACGGCCCGTCTGGGAAATTGGTGGTCGCCGTCATGATCGAGTACGTCCGGTCCCTCGGGGACAGCAGAATTCCAGTGCAGCACTACCTGTACGAACTGCTCATCAACACCATGGTGCACCGCAAGGCCTTCTTCCAACTGCACCAACTTCTGCAGTACCACGTCGTCACAGACTCAAAACCTCTGGTAAAAAAGTAAATAATGAAAAGTTCAACTGATTTCATTTTTATATCTTCAGGCGTGCCTCCTCCTGTCCCTGGAAAATCTTTATCCTGCTGCCCACCAACTTGCCTTGGACATGCTGAAAAGACTGGGAACTGCAAACGAAGAAATTGTCGAAGTCCTTCTTTCCAAAAAGCAAATTCTCGGAGCTCTCAGGTATAAACATAAAAAGGTTGACTGAAAAATATTCAAATGGGATCCTAATTGGATTAATTTATATTTTTTTATAGTGTGTGATATTGATTTTGTTTCCAAAGGTTTATCAGAGGAAACGGTACTGTCGAGCAGGCGTCTGCAAGGAAATTCCTGGAGGCGGCCAAAAACACTGGAGACGACGATGTTTTTTACGCTGTTTTCAAATTTTTTGAGCAACGCAATGAGCAGCTGCGGGGAAACCCCCAGTTCAACAAAGGTGGGCAAACATCCTGAGTTGACTTGAGTTTTATTTTACTTCTCTTAATTTCCAGGAGAGCACTGTGACGTCTACGTCAAGTATTACGAAGAGAAATTCACCAGCATGGGAGACAGAACCCCCACTGAAGCGCCACCCACGGAGCCTTCCAGCTTTTATCAGCTTGTAAAATAAAAAACCTATGTCTCTATCCCTCTTTTTACTTGTCTGTGATAAATAAACTTGCGCCATACAAACACGATTTCTGGTCTTCTGGTACTTTTATTCAACGAGTAACTGCTTTTGGACAACAAATACGAGTTATTTCAAGTCTCAAAAAAAGAAGAATCATAGATAAAAGCAAATTTAACGGAATGCACAGAATAAGTTATTGCCAACAAATGCAAGAGTACAGAATGTTTAGAAGTAAATTTTCGCTAAGACTCGCAGCTACGTAACATTATTTTACACTTTACTATCCGACTGCTTGGAAACACGAAAAGAAGAGAAATTTGTGGGCAAGCATGTGACCTGAGGAGATGAATGAGACAACTTGGGCAAGAAATGAAAATTATTGGCCAATTAGGAGGTGAGAAGAAAATGGGGTGCTTTCCAGCAGTCAACTAAACAATCTAGTTCTGGGCCTCGGCCAGTTTCTGCTTCAGGCTCTCGGGCATCTCTGGTGGGGGAGGGCGAGGCAGGCGAAAGGTGACCTTGACGGCGTCGTAGATGAACCATTGTAGGGCGGTCAGGGTACCGATCATGATGATACGAGGGGTCAATCCCTTCCACAGTCCTGAATAAAAAAGCTAGTATTAGATTTTATTCTAAAAGTAACAAAAAAGTTGTACTGACCGGCCATGCCAAGTTTCTTTGCAGCCCCCAGGGCCGTCGAACCCTTCTCCTGGTTCAGCTTGGACACAACAGTGTCAGCGGGGTGAGAAACAATGGCGCAGAAGACACCGGCAATGTAACCGGCAGCAAAGGTGACAACGAGCTGCTCTCCCTTGGTGCACTCGGCGCGGGGCTTGGGCACGACATTCCTAAAAGTTTTCAGTTTAATCAGTTTTTGCAGGTTTCAAAACAATTAAAATAAATGAAGAAACTAAAACCCTCTCTGTATTTAAATCTAAGCTTATCTTAATTTTTAATTAGTGATTCAATTTAACTCCCAACTGGAGAACAGTGGCACTTTATACTTTATTAATTGTTTTACCTAATATATTATTCTTAAAGTGAGTGATTCAGAGGAAAATAAACCAATGTAACCTACTTGTACAAAAGTTCAACAGTTCTCTCGAAACAGGCAAACTTCATCATGGTGTATGGAATCTGCCTCATCCACAATGGCACCAAACTCTTGTAAAACGCGCCGATGCCTTCGTCCTTGTACATAAGGGGAATGGCCTCGCGCATTGTGCTCACAAATCCTGGCTGCGTTTGGATTCTCACCTGCAATGAAGACGATTTTCTCAAAATTTGTTCACAACTTATTTTGCTCAACTTTTAAATTAAAAACTATCAAAATCCCCGCCTGTTTTAAATTTGAATTTTTATTTCATTTTTTTTGTAATTTTTTTTTTTTTCAAAATTGACCTTGACAGCCTCCATGGGGCTGAGGGCGATGTCTGCGAAGAACTCTGCTGACGCAGAGGCAGCCAGATAGAGGGACGTCCTCCACAGGTAGGTGTTCTCCTCGCCAAGAATGTCGGCGTAAATGTTCTTGAAGACTTCGTAGAAGCCGAATTTGCAGAGACCCTGCGCCGAGTAGCCAAAGAAGGTCGGAGCCCAGCCCTTGCCCAGTCCTCGCATGCCATCCTCTTTGATTGTGACCTGATTTCAACCTGATTAATTCACCCTTCAAGAAACAGAAATGGAACTCACTCTGAATCCATTAAAGACCGATTTGTACTTGTCGGGGTTGACCTGGATTCGGCACTTGACCAGATCGAGGGGCACCATAGCTGTGTGGGTGATGCCGCACGAGAGGACGCCTCCAAGGCCGCACAGGGCGTAGTATTTACTTGAGCCGAACTCGCAGCTGTAGCCTTCGTCACCTAAAGAACGAAAAATTATAGATTTAAATTCCATATTTGCTTATGTAATTTAATAAAAACGAGACAAAAGCGCCTGCGACGGTTACTCAAAAGAATTAGAGAAAAATAATTCAGCTTTTTTTATTACATATAATTTAATAATCAACATTATTTATTTACATATTAATAGTTAGCAAAGAATTAATTTGAACAGATTGAAAGACAGGAAATTTAGGGAAGTTTATGGGTTAGAAAAACGCTCTAGAGAGCGAGAGCAGGGTGCGATGGAGGTCGATTTTTACCGGCGGCTGCTGGGGCCGGCGAGTCGCATTTGGCCACGGTCATGGGGCCCTTGAACGGACTGTTCTTCGCAGCTTCGATTAACGTGTACAACATTTTGGTGGTCGCTCTCGGTTACTGGTGAAAAGGGCTGCGATCGCCGACAAGCTGGGGCTGGCTCGGAGCAGACACCGCAAAGGAACTTTGAGACCGGAAGTTGCGTCAAGAAAATCGAGTTTCGCAGGTGGCAGCACGGTCGCGTCGGCAGCTGACCAATGGGGGCGTGGCGGCGGGTTTGTTGAAATCTGCTCCAGATAATTTCTTTTGCGCTGATTTTAGAAGATAATTTAAAGATTAGCAGCGGTGTCCGGCAGATATGCTGCGTCGCATCTTGCACGGCTGTTACCGGATTCAGCGAAAATCGGCCGATTTGCGAGTGACAAACTTGCCAGCCGCGTCAATCATGCCAAATTCGAGAGGCCTCATGACAGACGTGCAGCGACTTCGGCTGCAGCAAAAACTGAAACAGACTGACAAGTTCAGTGACGAGCAGCTGAAAAGTGGACTGTACCTTATTTTTATTCGCAAGGAGGGGCAGGTTTTGATATCCAGAAACAAGGGCCAACTCGCAGCTGCAAACTTTGAGGGTTGGTAAATACATATAAATTTAATTAAAAATGTGTTGATTTATTGGCAAATTCATCTTCAATTAAGTTTTTTATCTCATTGTGCTTAAGATAGCACAGCTTGTCAGTTGCAAAACTGATCTCATTTCCACATTGCACAATTAATACTATTATTTATGTGTTCCGAAAAACTATTTATTTAATTTTAAATTATAAATAAATTAATTTTCCTTTATTTTTTCCAGATTTGAAATCTTTGTTTGATGAACTTGAGAGCAAGGCAGTCTTTGTAGACGTTGACAAGGACAGCGATAGGTGCAGATTTGCCATCGAGATTCCCTCGATTTCACCTGAAGACCTCAGCAAATGGGAGGAAAAGTTTTCCGGGAAGTTTGTGCACTTGCGGCAGTCGTTGTTTCTCCTCAAGTCCGAACAGAGCGCCCTGGTTTCACAAGTAGTTCAATTTGAAGTTAATCCTCAATCCAGATTTAATTTTGTTAACTTGCAGAGCCGAGCTCTTTTCACTTGGAGGCGCAGGAGGAACTTCTGCCCGGAATGTGGCAGTGCCACAAAACCAAAGGCCGGCTTCAGCCACAAAGTTTGTCCAAGTTGCGACACACCGCAGTACCCTTACACTGCTCCTGTAGGAATCGCTCTGGTTGAAAACCAAGAGCACTCTCAGGTTCTTCTCGTTCGCCAACCGAGGCATCCACCAGGAATGTTCTCCTGTCTGGCAGGATTTGTTGATGCAGGTCAATATACATACTGGCTGATGCTGATTTTAACTATGAAAGTATTTAAGATTAAAATACTAAAAATGTAATTTTTATTTAATAGATTTATAAAATTAATTTATCTCTATTAAAAACTCATAAATTTAATAGACGGAAGTTGGTGAAATTTCAAAACCTTTTTTCAGTGCTTTTTTTATTTAATATTTTTTATTGGAAAAATTGATAGAAAGAAGACAAGAATTAAATTAGAAATCATATAAAAATATCACAAATTTAATTTAAAAAATTAACCATTTATCAGATTTAAAAAAATTTAATAAGTATCAATAGTTCCTAAATTTTTTTAACATTAATACGCATTAATATACAAAATTTCATTCAATTTTTTTCTATAAATTTTGGCAAAAAATGAAACAATATAATTTTTATAGATTGTTTTTTTATAAGAGGTTTTCAACTAATTAATTATTTCCAGGTGAATCTTTGGAGCAAAATGTGGGTAGGGAAGTTGCTGAAGAGGTCGGTTTGACCACTTCAAAGGTGGAATACATAGCCTCGCAGTACTGGCCTTACCCTGCAGGTCGTCTGATGCTCGGCTGCATTGCCACCGTCCTGCCTGGCACAGTGAGTGCTTAATTAACTGATAAAGTGCATGTTATCTAAAAGCTGTATTTATCAGGTTGACATTGACAAGGAGGAGTTGGAGGACGCCTCTTGGTTCTCGCCGGCTCAACTGCACAAAGCCGTCACCCGCGCTGCCTCCTTCAAGCCGCCTCCGGAGGGGGAAATTTGGCTTCCACCCCCGGGCGCCATTGCCCACGACCTAATTAAGGTTTGGCTCAGCAGACACTACACCAGCTCATCTAAACTGTGATTTATGTTTTTTTACAAATTATATAAATTATCATTTTACCTATCAAGACTTTGGTTGTTGTTTTTGTTGATCGATGTGTAAAAGTTGATCTGAATTTTCATCATACTTTGTCAGCCGGTGCACTTGAGTGAGCACCAACATGTGTCAGGATATGATTGCTTTATCAATAAATTTCTGTCAGCCAGACGCACCCCCTGCGCTTTTTGGAATTTACATAAATTCCATTACCTATACTCAAGCTGTGACGTCATAGCTAGCAAGGTTGGTCATTATTAAAGCAAAGCAATAATATCAACTATTTACTGAAAGCAGAAAGTGAAACTATCAAATTGAAAAAGTAATATTCCAACATGCAACTTTTAAAAATAATTTCAATTCCAAAACTTGCAATTAAGGTATTGTTATTTACAGACATGTGGTCGAAGAAAAGTACCCAATATTTATTAAAGAACTGATGCGTAATTTAGAGATTATACTTTCTACAGTAGCTTAGCTTTATTCTGTCACGTCTACAAATCGCTGGCTGATCAAAAAATAAATTTTCTAAAATTTTGAAATCTGAAAATATTCTTACCCTGAAAATTGGTAAAAAATTAATTTTTTTCAATTCATATTTAACCACTTGTGACCTTTGCGATTCCCTAGATCAGTCTCACTGATTGCGATAATTCAAGCTTATATTATCAGTTTTATATCAACAATTGCGTTCCGAATGCTATATTCGTATGAATATAAGTGACGCACCAATTAAGTTGAATTTCATATATTTGCCCATCTTTGTACTTGCAACGTGTTGAATGTGAATTTTAACTTTAGAAATACTTTCTACAGTAGCTTAGCTTTATTCTGCCACGTCTACAAATTGCTGGCTGATCAAGAAATAAATTTTCTAAAATTTTGAAATCTGAAATTATCTTACCCAGAAAATTTGTAAAAAATTTATTTTTTACAATAAATAATTAACCCGAAGCGCCCTTTGTGATTCCTTAGATCAGTCTCACTGATTGCGATAATTCAAGCTTATATTATCGGATTTATATCAACAATTGCGTTCCGAATGATATATTCGTCTGAATTTAAGTGAGGCACTAATTAAGTTGAATTTCATATATTCGCCCACCTTTGTACTTGAAATGTGTTGAATGTAAATTTTAACTTTAGAAATACTTTCTACAGTAGCTTAGCTTTATTCTGCCAAGTCTACAAATTGCTGGCTGATCAAGAAATAAATTTTCTAAAATTTTCAAATCTGAAAAAATTCTTACCCAGAAAATTGGTAAAAAATTTATTTTTTTTAATAAATATTTACCCAGAAGCGTCCTTTGTGATTCCCTAGATCAGTCTCACTGATTGCGACAATTCAAGCTTATATTATCGGATTTATATCAACAATTGCGTTCCGAATAATATATATGTTTGAATATAAGTGACGAACCAATTAAGTTGAATTTCATATATTTGCCCATCTCTGTACTTGCAACGTGTTGAATGTGAATTGTTACTTTAGAAATACTTTCTACAGTAGCTTAGCTTTATTCTGTCACGTCTACAAATTGCTGGCTGATCAAGAAATAAATTTTCTAAAATTTTCAAATCTGAAAAAATTCTTACCCAGAAAATTGGCAAAAAATTTATTTTTTTTTAATAAATATTTACCCAGAAGCGTCCTTTGTGATTCCCTAGATCAGTCTCACTGATTGCGATAATTCAAGCTTATAATATCGGTTTTATATCAACAATTGCGTTCCGAAAGTTATATTCGTCTGAATATAATTGAGGCACTAATTAAGTTGAATTACATAATATTTGCCCATCTTTGTACTTACAACGTGTTGAATGTGAATTTTAACTTTAGAAATACTTTCTACAGTAGCTTAGCTTTATTCCGTCACGTCTACAAATTGCTGGCTGATCAAGAAATAAATATTCTAAAATTTTGAAACCTAAAATTATCTTACCCTGAAAATTTGTAAAAAATGTATTTTTTACAATAAATATTTAACCCGAAGCGCCCTTTGTGATTCCCTAGATCAGTCTCACTGATTGCGACAATTCAAGCTTATATTATCAGTTTTATATCAACAATTGCGTTCCGAAAGTTATATTCGGTTGAATATAATTGAGGCACCAATTAAGTTGAATTTCATATATTTGCCCATCTTTGTACTTGCAACGTGTTGAATGTGAAATTTAACTTTAGAAATACTATCTACAGTAGCTTAGCTTTATTCCGTCACGTCTACAAATTGCTGGCTGATCTAGAAATAAAGTTTCTAAATTTTGAAATCTGAAAATATTCTTACCCTGAAAATTAGTAAAAAAATTATTTTTTTCAATAAATATTAAATCCGAAGCGCCCTTTGTGATTCCCTAGATCAGTCTCACTGATTGCGACAATTCAAGCTTATATTATCAGTTTTATATCAACAATTGCGTTCCGAAAGTTATATTCGTCTGAAAATAAGTGAGGCACTAATTAAGTTGAATTTCATATATTTGCCCATCTTTGTACTTGAAACGTGTTGAATTTGAATTTTAACTTTAGAAATACTTTCTACAGTAGCTTAGCTTTATTATGTCACGTCTACAAATTGCTGGCTGATCAAGAAATAAATTTTCTAAAATTTTGAAATCTGAAATTATCTTACCCTGAAAATTTGTAAAAAATTTATTTATGTCAATAAATATTTAACTCGAAGCGCCCTTTGTGATTCCCTAGATCAGTCTCACTGATTGCGATAATTCAAGCTTATATTATAAGTTTTATATCAACAATTGCGTTCCGAAAGTTATATTCGTCTGAAAATAAGTGAGGAACTAATTAAGTTGAATTTCATATATTTGCCCATCTTTGTACTTGAAACGTGTTGAATGTGAATTTTAACTTTAGAAATACTTTCTACAGTAGCTTAGCTTTATTATGTCACGTCTACAAATTGCTGGCTGATCAAGAAATAAATTTTCTAAAATTTTGAAATCTGAAATTATCTTACCCTGAAAATTTGTAAAAAATTTATTTATGTCAATAAATATTTAACTCGAAGCGCCCTTTGTGATTCCCTAGATCAGTCTCACTGATTGCGATAATTCAAGCTTATATTATCAGTTTTATATCAACAATTGCGTTCCGAAAGTTATATTCGTCTGAAAATAAGTGAGGCACTAATTAAGTTGAATTTCATATATTTGCCTATCTTTGTACTTGAAACGTGTTGAATGTAAATTTTAACTTTAGAAATACTTTCTACAGTAGCTTAACTTTATTCTGTCACGTCTACAAATTGCTGGCTGATCAAGAAATAAATTTTCTAAAATTTTGAAATCTGAAAATATTCTTACCCTTAAAATTGGTAAAAAATTATTTTTTTCATAAAATATTTACCCAGAAGCGCCCTTTGTGATTCCCTAGTTCAGTCTCACTGATTGCGATAATTCAAGCTTATATTATCGGTTTTATATCAACAATTGCGTTCCGAATGCTATATTCGTCTTAATATAAGTGAGGCACCAATTAAGTTGAATTTCATATATTTGCTCATCTTTGTACTTGCAACGTGTTGAATTTAAATTTTAACTTTAGAAATACTTTTTACAGTAGCTTAGCTTTATTCTGCCACGCTTACAAATTGCTGGCTGATCAAGAAATAAATTTTCTAAAATTTTCAAATCTGAATATATTCTTACCCTGAAAATTGGTAAAAAAAAATTTTTTTTCAATAAATATTTACCCAGAAGCGTCCTTTGTGATTCCCTAGGTCAGTCTCACTGATTGCAATAATTCAAGCTTATATTATCGGTTTCATTTAAACAATTGCGTTCCGAATGTTATATTCGTCGGAATATAAGTGAGGCACAAATTAAGTTGAATTTCATATATTTGCCCATCTTTGTACTTACAACGTGTTGAATGTGAATTTTAACTTTAGAAATACTTTCTACAGTAGCTTAGCTTTATTCTGTCACGTCAACAAATCGCTGGCTGATCAAGAAATAAATTTTCTAAAATTTTGAAATCTGAAAATATTCTTACCCTGAAAATTGGTAAAAATTAATTTTTTTCAATAAATATTTACCCAGAAGCGTCCTTTGGGATTCCCTAGATCAGTCTCACTGATTGCGATAATTCAAGCTTATATTATCGGTTTTATATCAACAATTGCGTTCCGAATGATATATTCGTCTGAATATAAGTGAGGCACTAATTAAGTTGAATTTCATATATTTGCCTATCTTTGTACTTGAAACGTGTTGAATTTGAATTTTAACTTTAGAAATTAGCTAAAAAAAAACTGGTTAGAATCAACAGTAAAATCTTAACTTAATTTTTATTATTCCTCGTACCGAAATGCAATCATCTATTTTGATTTTTTTATCGGCACTCTTTGAAAATTAAATATTTGAAAGTTTATTTACAAACAAGAACAATTTGAAAGGTCACACCTGTAAGTATATCATATTTTTTTTAATTTATTTCTCTACGTTTATCAAAAGACTCGATTATCACAGGGTTTTGAACGTTTCAGTCAATTGACTTTTTTACCAAACACTCTGTTATGAAAAGATCTCAAGAATGACACCTTAAGCACGGGTCCTCGTGCTGCCTTTGACATTCTCCTGTTCGACGGGGCAAACATACATGTCATGTCAAAAGGGGAAACCGCTCTTTTACAATCCTGACGAGACCTGCTGTCATCGTACTGACAATTACTTTTCTTATACTCGATCACAAGGAAGAAGCGATTTTTTCAATTCCGGAAGCTCAACTCGTTATAAATATAAATTTATTACGTTGAAAACACACGTGGACGAAAACCGAGTTGCGTTGAGGTTTCAAAGCGCCCACGCACCAATATGCTTTTGTGCTGCTAAATAAAGAGTCCCCAGTTACAATTTTATTCTGCTTGTTTTCAAACAAGATCAGTCTGTGTGATTTGGCGCGTGCAGTAACAATGGCAAAGCTGACGAGCGTCTCGCAAGGGATTTGTAGACAAATGATCATTTAACAAATTTTTTATAGAATAAAATTTTGTCAGTAGCAAAATGCTAAGGTAATGAAAAACAAAGTAATTTAGTTCCGTGTTTTCATGTTTTTTCTAAAAAAAAAAATACAATCTGCCATGTTTCATTATTGATGAGAGGGAAAATAATTTCATAATTCTGCAAGGTAAAAATTTCCGCGGTGAGGCCGGTGAGTATGATAAATTTTATCATAATACCAAACTCATAAAAATTTTATTTTGTATTTATGCTGTGCAATATAGATTGAGAAATTAAATCACCACAAGTACTTTAAAGAATATTAAAAATTCAGACCATGCATGTGTTTTTTTTGTATATTATTTTTTTTTATAAATTGTGTGAAAGTTTGTAACTTGGCAGCCGCAACTTTAAAGTGAAATATAATCTTCTCAACATCTCTCTCTTTAATATTCGCAAAAGGCGCGCTCGTTCTCAACAAAAGTGATATTTGATATTATTATCCATGGTAACCGAGATTGAATGGCGAAATTTGTATGCGTGCGCCACTTTGGAGGGCTTGCGGCATTCATCTCTTTCGCCGGCGGTAACATAATTACGAGACACCCTGTTTACCAAAACGCGCTGCTCTAAATTCCGCTAAATTCAATATAAGGAAGGCAAAAGCGTTGGTACGGAGCTCTTATTCATTTCATCCGTCAAACATCTCGGGGCAGTAATCAAATTTAAGCTCGTCGTGACTCAATATTCTCTCATTAAACTCGCGAGGCTTAATTGATCAATGGAATAGCGGATGCTGTTTCACGGATTTTCGCTCCGCCGATTTCGCTTAAGTGAAAATTCGGTCGCTTCCTTGTGAAATAAAAGCAGCGTCTTGACACGAGCTAGATTAATTTGGATTTGATTCCGCTCCAGGAGCCAGTCAAGCGCAAGTGGCACAGAACGTGTCCCGCAGGCATGCACCATTATTCGCGAAAGACGCCGCGACCAGCGCGTCACGTATGTGCGGCGGGCTGGCATAATTATGAAAATTGCAGGCGTTCGTGCACAGGAAATTAAAAATGAAAATTACAATGCCCTCGGTGCCAATTTTCCTCATTATTGTTAACTTCAAAATTAAATTCCAAAAATTTACTTTCATAAATATACACTAACTATTAATTAATAAATATTTAATTTGTTTGAAATTTTCTTATATTGTTTATGCAAACTTTTTCATTGAAACTCTTAAATTTCGTGTCAAATTTTTAAGCTTAATAATTGAGCCTTCTAAAGGTTTCCAGCACAGACTGTTTGAAAAATTCCGCTTTTGAAAATAATGTTTGAGGGTTTGCAGTAGTTTGTATGAAAAAGTTTGCCAAACAAATTGTACAATTTTTTTCTGTATAGAAAGTTTGATGGCGAATTTGAAGCAAATAGATGGCAATATAAAATTATATTTCCGTGTCCCCTATTTTACTTTTCCACTCGTTTCTATTGACTGCGTTTTCGCTTTCGGAAATGTAGCAATTGCGACATCCATATCGGTGCCGCCGGCCAGAGTTGTTTTACGTCCCATTTTTTGTCGTCACGGGTCGGAAGCATTAAAAACAGAGAGTCAGCACAAACAAGTGTACACACGCTCGAGTTTCAATGGACAAAAATGTTCTCTTCCCTTGTGATCTCCGGTCGGGCTCAACGGCGACAGCAATTCATGGCGCTCCCTTTCACTGGCGCACTTTTGGAATGGTTGAAAAGTCGCTGAAAGAGGGAGAGAAATTTTTGGGCGCCACTAAAAATCCTCTCGTTGGGCAAATTAAAAAGAATTCATGAAAAAAACTCCGCCGAACTGTTAAGCATCAATAATTAAATTTTGCTTTCAAAGGAAATTTTCTCCCCAGTTTTAAGAACATCATTAATTAGAAGACCTGCAACTTCCTCTCTTATCAAAAACAGGTATAATTAATATGTTCTTCCTTTTATTTTGAATAAAAGATCAAAGTAAACGAGGATGATTTCCTTTTTTTCAGTTTATAAAAATCATTAATTAAAGGTGAAACAACTTTTTTCCAAATGTAAGCTCCTCCTTGGTGTAAATATCCAATATTTAGTCATCATATTAAGTAATAAACATTTTAATTGATAAAATTTACCCCCTTTAAGGAATTCCTGGTTTCATATTGAAATTTCGCTGTAGGTCCGCTTAATGGGTCCAAATACCTGGCTGGTCAGCGTGCAAAGGACCCAAATGTTTGGCAGGTCAGCGTGCAAAGGGTCCAAATACATATTTAGTAATTTTACAGTAGAGGGGGTAAAAGAAGAAATACTGATATTTCAAGTTATAAATTATCTTGTACATTAAATCTCAAATATACTTGTTGGAATGAAATTATTGCACTAAAATCTAATAATTACAGTTGAAAATAGTGCTTATATTATGATACACTCTTGCGTTTTGATTTTTTAATGCTAGATCAAAAAAGCGAAAGTTGAAAATTATATTAAAAAAATAGTTTTAATCATGGAATCGCAATAAAAATCACCAAAAAGGGTTAAAATATTTCCGGAAATGATATTCCAAGGTCAAATTTGTTTTATTTTACCTGGTACATATTAAACATAGAGGTTTGCGTTTTTTATTGTTATTCAGTACCTATTAAAAAAAATTTAGTAAATAGTTACATGAAAATCATCGCAATGGACCGTGCTTTTATATATTTTAGAGATAAAATTTGTTTAATTAAGGGTTGGCCTTGAAAAGAAGCATTTTTTGAAAAAATATGAAATAAATGTATGAAAAATATTTTTGAAAACCTATTTCATCTTTTCGTAAGACAATTTACCTTTTTGCGGTCATTTTCTTTCCAAGTTTTTCAATTTTGGTCCAGCGGTTACAAAACTACAGCCCTCGATGCAAACCCTTGTTCTAGGTAGTATTCTAGGTAGAATTAAACATATCTGACCTTGATATTGCCATTATTTTGCTAAAACGATCTAAATTGCATATTTCCAAAACAATCACAACAGTATTTTAATTTTATTCCTCTAATTTACATAAGCAGCCCTGTACATTGGTATATAAGCTATGGAGCCATTTAATTTGCATAAATTGATGCGTTAATTTAGATAATTTTTCTATTAAAATTAGTTAGTACCCATATTTCATGGGTCGAAATAAGTCAATTGGAATCAGTTTTCACGCAAATTTTTATATTGGTCAAAATAGTATTTAGCCCCTTTGGCATTTAGCCACTTTGGCATTTGGACCCTTTGCACGCTGACCAGCCAGGTATTTGGACCCATTAAGCGGACCTACAGCGATTTCCTTTTTTTTATAACGATTTTTTATTCACATACTTTTTTATAACTTTAGTTTCCAATCACCAGCAATGACTTTCACTCACAATCACACGACATATAATTTATATTTTACAAATAAAATTTGAATTGTAACATTCAAATATAATCCATAGTTTAAATATACAACACGAGGCCGATGTTGGCAAAAACAGAACAAATAAACAGCGATACACAGCCATGAATTTCGATACGACTAAATTCTTACACCTGAATACGTTTCATTAAATACAGCAGTAGAATATACAGACTTTCACAAAGATAGAGAGACACGTGCTAAATTATTCCTTAGGCTCAAAAAGAAATAATTTAGGCTTCAAGTCCATCGTCTCGCTTTGCGTTAATCAGAGCAACGCAGAGGAGAGGATGACATTTTCAACGTCAATTGGACACGACAGCTTGAGTAAATACAATTTTTTATCCTCATATGGATTAAGATTTTATTTAAATACTTGTTTTGCTTTTCCCGTCAATGTGAATGAAGAATTATTGAGATGATTTTTTAAACATCAACTATTGAATAAGAGGAGAAAATTTGAATTCGGCGACAAACAAAGTTTTAAAACTTTGCTTGAAAAATGCAAAACACTTTATTTATTTTCAGAGATAACGGTGAAATATCTCAGAATTGTTATTCAAGAAGCTTCCAAGAGATAAATTTTGTGTATATTTTATGTATTTTCAGCGCGGTATTATTTGGAGAGAAGGAATGCTTACTTTTACTTTGAGAACGCGCAACGCGCGGCAAGGAAAATTTGCGTGCACTCTTGGAGCTTTCAACATCAAAGTGGCCCGACCAAATCTTGCTCGCTCCGCCTGCTGCTCAGCTCTGCCGGTGAAATAGTCTGGAACAAAACAAAGTTTATCCTTCGCTACACGTATGAACTTCTTATTGCAGACAGACTAAATCTTTCTTTTTATTGCGCGTGTGTCTCAAGGGGCGCGCGGTTTTTCTAGCTTTTTTGTAAAACCCACCACAGCGGCGTATCAATAAAGTTTGTGCTTAAAATAAATTTTCTATTATACAGCCGGGCCGGGCTCATTTCCAGCGATGGAGGAAAAAGCGCAGTAAGCCTTCTTGCAGATTCTAAATGTGCAGCAGAGTGCGAATTTCACATGAAAAATGTGCGCTGAATTCTTTTCCTGAATGAAAATTAATTTCAACATCAAAGCGATTATTACGGTCTCAAAACGAGAGCTTTGATGCATATGAAATTCGATGTGAAAAAGGGACTGACAAATGCTTTGTAGGAAGTTCACTAACTAAGTTCAAAGGACATTTTTAACAGGCAAAGTAAATTCTAAAAGTGATGAAGAAATTAAACAGTCTCCCTTTTCCATACTAAGGGGGCTTAAAAAATAATCAAATACCACAGTTAAGCAATATTTTTTTTTGAATTAAAAATTCTCATAAAAAAATATAGCCACATCTCATATTTAAATTTTCTTCCCAAATTGTGTTAACTAATTTTTGTATAGACGTCACCTTCATTTTTTCTTATTTTTTGGCTTAATTGAAATAAAATAAAATAGGAATTTCGGCTTGAGCACAGTTTGAGCTTATCAACCAGGGCGTCATCTCAAAAGCAAAAGCGTAGGCGGTTGACGAATCAACAACATCAAAGACTGATCTAATTGCTTGTCGGTTTGCCTGCTCTCGGAAGGGATAATATCGCATTTCCACCCAAAGCGAAACCCCAATTGACCAGCAACATTTGCCTCATCTCTTGAGGCGGTGAAGTGCAAATTGGGTGCGGACCCGTTTCGTTGGACAAACAAATGGGTACACCAAGAATTTCTCATTAGGTATATGAACTATCAACGCGCTGAAGGGTTTATTTTGGATAAAATGACAGAATAAAATAATTATATGATGCGTTAAAAGGCACATATTTTGTATTAATTTTTTCATCACACAAGTTTACTAAATTAAATATACATCGTTAATAAATTAAATAATACGGTTAAAAATATCATCCACCATTTAAATTTTCATTTTTTTTTGTATCACAAATGAAGAAAAATTTCAAAATTTGATAAAAAAAAATTTGGGACAAATTGTATGAAGATAATGGATGTGAACCTTTTCAATATTATAATTGCACCTAATATAGGACGGCGATAATCCCATTTAAACTTTTTGCAGAGATTTTTGTATGTGATTGAAAGCTGCCTATTTTTACTCAAAATCTTTGTTTCTAAAAGTATTGTTCAAATTGATACTCGCAGATTAAATATTGAAAAAATGAGAAAGAGGTAGAAAAAAGAAAAGAAAGAAATCTTTAAGTTATAAGTGTAAATTCTAAACTAATTTGGATATATCTTCGTGTCAGGATTCAGAAAAATGAAAAGTACGTGCTCAATTTATCCATTAAAATGGAATTAATTTTTACCACGTCCACCGACTTTTTAACGACCTTTTTAGAACAAGAGAGATAAAAGAAGTCACATGTGGTTGAGCCAGAGTCCAATTACTAGGATTGCTTCCTCGAATTTGGTGACCAAACGAAGGGTGTGATCGGCAAAATTGGAGAGCGAAAAACAATGGGACGTGCAAAGTTCACGGCTGACCGCAGACGCTGCCCTCTCAAATTGAATGCGAACCCTTGCCACACTTGACGATCGGCGCGTCCAAACAGGCCGAGCTGCGCGAATTTCCTCATCGGTGCTCACGGGCGAAATTACGTCCTGTTTGCATGAGAGGCCCCCAGAGATGGAGGATCCTTTTCAAAAATCTCCTGAACAACCAATATTTGAACAAGTCCTTTCGCCGTTTTTGTTGCTTTTTCGGAATTAATTTTGACCGTCAAAGCCGCCTCTTCATTCTAAATATTTATTTTTCTTTTGTGTATCTGATAAAATTCAGGCAACGACGCACTTTTTCGCTGTCGCGCAAAAGCAAAATATTAGCTAGCCAGCTGGAAAACGGAATTTGATAGCTCAAAAGCTGGTGGGTGTAAAAAAAAATAGCATTTCATGCTTTTTTCAACATGTTTTTTTAAATAAAAAATTGCACACCGAGCCCAAGATTACACAACTATTTAAAATATTGATTTAATTTAAAAATTTCTCAAAGTCAAAAGAATGTATTTAACAAAAGAATTTCACATTAAACTTTCAAAAAAATTCGGAATGAATAATATAGCATCAAGGAGGATAATAAGGCTTCCAGAAATTTTAATGAAATATTAAACATCTCATCAAATTGATTTAATATCTTGCGAGGGGAACCTTCTTGGAAATGATAAAAATCAATATTATTTTATTCAAGATCGTCAGAGAGGAGGAACGAAGAGACTGGGATGCTCCAGGATACGAGAATTTAATTGCAAGCTCTGCAATTTCCTAGGAAATGAAAAAAAAACTCACCACCCTCACGTTGCGGCAGGAAGATTCCTCGCTTGGGTTCACGCACCTGGAATGCTCATCTGCATTTACCAAGAGCAAGTGCAATCTCGACAAATTATGAAAAGAAATTACCAGCACTAATGAACTCGTCCATTGCTTTTTAATATCCTATCTTTCCCTCCGTGATTTTAGAAAGGTAGTATTTTCTGGTATGGCCTTTTGCAAATCGAGAGAGATATTTCGTCATAATAGAGAGCTCCAAACGTAAAATCATTTTCTGTAGACCATTCTATCAAAGCAGGAATCCAAAAACTTATTATGTAAAAAAGATATTTTAAAATCCTTTGCACCTCCATAATATTGAAAAAATTTTCAGGGAATTTTTAAATTTTGCATTCTGAATTAGAAAAATTTCAAATTACTTTTTTAGCTGATTCTGATAATTTTGTGATTAAAATACTAAAAACAATCGGTATAAAAATTTTGTGATATTTTGAAATAATTGAAGTTTTTAAACTACATCGAAAATAGTGCGAAATATTTTATCATGAATGAAATTATCTCCAAAATAGACAACCTCACTGTTTGATCAAGGCAAAAATTCAATATTTTTACCACTAAAATTCTAATGGGACCTTAGAAAAGAAAACTTTGTGCACTCGCACCACGTAGCAGCAAAAATCATAAATCCATTTTGACGGGTCTGCGACTTTTGCTCAATGCCGCGGCGGGAACAATAATGGCGGCTTGTATTGTTGCCTTGGAGCGCATTATCTGCGGTCATTCGTCGGGCGGTTGGCAATGCATCAGTAAATGGAAAACACACACACGTATCTCGTTGTTGCGAAATAAAACATGAAAGAAAGAAAGGCTGATCAGTTTTCCTCTGCTGCGCATTTCTTTTCCATAAACATTCTTTTGTTACCTTAGAGTTTCCTTGGCAATTTGAGCGCGACTCGCAATTTCAAGGCGCGCAGTATCTCCCTTTTTTAAAGTTTGTAGTCATTGCTTATTCAGGCAGGCAAATGCCTACTGACCCAAGAAAGAGAGGCTTTGTGATAATAAAACGTCTCCTTTGACCCTTGAATCGAAATGAGGAAATAAAATGCACAGAGAAGCAATGAAAATAAAACACGCCTATCACTCTTTTGGAGGAGTTTTTTTCACTGCAAGATGTTTTTTCTAATGAATAAACAAGATCGAGTTGCTCAACATTTTAGCAAATTTGTGCTTGCATAAAAAATTTTAATTCCGAAACTTTTTATAATGAAAAGAAAAGTGTTTAAATGCAAAAAATTGCATTAAAAAAGCCATACTTCTACAGGTAAAAAGCCTTCGTTTAGAGTTCTACAAAATTAAGTAATACTTTTTAACCGATATATCACAATTATGCAGGTTTTAAAATTTTTAAAAATTAAAATTCTGGGCAGATTTGTAATCTTCTTTTTGCCCTCTACAATTTTGTTTTGAGACGCGAAATAGTACGTCTTTTTCAATGACCTCGTGTCCTTTTGACCTCAAATTTTTTAGCAATTAAATTTAACGACGCACTTTCGAAACTCTGAGATTTGCAATGTAAACAAAATGTTAATTGAGTTGGTATATTAATAATTATACAGTGGCTAAACTTTGCTCTATAAATTTTATGAATATCTGAGCCACCAAATTTCAATATACAAATTTCTCTCGCCTTCAGGAAAGTTACTTCCTTCACAAGTTTCTGCAAACCAAACTTATGTAAGTACTTTAGCCTTCAATTAAATAAAATATTATCAACTTTACTTATTTGAATGAAAGAAAATCTTTAGTAATATTTTTTTCATTCGGTAAATTTGGAAGCAGTCGCTGATTGCCTCATGCATTGCATCACTTTGATCTGCAGCTTCCGCGAGCACGAAATGGAATTTTCTCGCAGCAATCGCAGCAATAAGAGTTCGCAGAACAAGAAGAACAGACTTACTTTATATTTCACTCTCCAGGGGCGGATCAAGCTTGGGCTGGATGAAAGAAAAGAGGCAATAATAACGTCCGTCCGCCGCCGACGCCGCAAATAACAAAACTAATTTGATTGCGCGAGGCGATGGCGCGCGTCTCTTTGCAATTTAATTTAGCAAGGGTGCGGCCGACGTTATTAATTGATTGCCAATGGCCTGGTTATTATCTCGATATTAAGTGAAACTCGCGCCCCAGCCTACAAATATTGACTCTTGACTGAGATTTATAATTGATCAAAAGTTAACGAAATTCAAAACTTCCGCCCAAGCAGCAGAGTTTGAGTTTGTTTCACCAAACTTTTGGTTTAGCTCTTCAGAGTTAATCAGCAAGATTGCCCTGACGGATACAGCAGATAGGACTTTATTAATCTAAAAATGTGTTTTCCCTGCGCCGCTTATCAGGCGAAAGAGGAAACGATTGTTTGCTGAATATGCCCGCGAGTATAAAAGAGCGACTCTAAATTTGGTTGTCATCGAGGGAAAACATGCTTGGCTAATTAACC